ATCTGTTTGTCTGTCATTAATAAATATACCATTATGTTTCACATTTTTTAAGATTAATATATTTTAATTATAATTTAAAATAAAAATTAATTAATAAAATTTTATACCTTATTTACAAATAAATGCAATAATAATAAGTATATAATAAAAAATTGTTTTATTATTTAAAAGAGGTAAAATTAGTTTAATTGGCAAAATGACGTCTTGTGGCGACGATGTTCAGAGTTCAAGATAGAAACTAAAATAGGACGACAAATATATACATTCTTAAATGGTAAATATTTCTTTGATGTAATATATAATCAATATATTATAGCAGCAGGATTAAAAACTGGTTATACTATTAGTTGATATTAAATTAATAGAATTATCTTTATTTTTTAATTTACTAATAACTGGTTTAATAGGAGTATTAGTATATAATCTTATAAATTTTGTAACATTTAATTTAAAATAAGTATTTTTAAAATTATTATAAACTAAACCTTTATCATGATTTATATATCCATCAATATTAAAAATTTTATAGGTAAAATTTTATTTATTTATACTTGAATTGTGAATACTTCTTCTAATGATATGAATTAAAAAACAAACACATTTTTTTATTACTACCTATCAGAGATATTGCTTCAATTCCTGATTGAGCCTCTCCGTTTGTCCATTGGTCTACAGATGGAACACCGTTGATAACTTAGGTTTGATGCCCAGCATCCGGCATAACTCTTTTGTAAATTCACTAGCGAATTGAGGTCCTCTATCAGAGATAACTGTTTCTGGTAACCCATGGATAGACCATACAAAATCTTTAAATAAATCTGCTGTACCAGCGGCGGTAATGGTTTTATTGGTGGGTATGAATACCACTTCTTTGGAGAAGTGATCTACTACCACCATTACTGAATCATACCCATTTGACTCGGGTAGATCCATTGTGAAATCAACCGATATATCTTGCCAGGGACTAGCTGGTATTGGATTCAGCATAAGTTTACTGGCCGGCGGTTGGTGAGAATTCTTAGCCATGGCACATCTCAGACAGGATTTTACGTATTCCTGTACATCCTTGACCATGCCAGGCCACATGTAGTTTCTGGAGATCAACTCCATTGTTCGTTGCCACCCAGGGTGCCCAGCCACTGGAGTGTCATGATGTCTATCTATTGCCTTGATCCTTGCGGACTCAGGCACATAGATTTTGTCTTTAAAATGGAAGAGCCCGTCTTCCCATAAATAGTTCTCATTGCCGTCAAGGCGCACCTTCTCTTCTGAGAAGATGTCTTTCTTGAAGACTTCCAAAAGATCGGAATCCTGCCCAATTCTAACATTGGCAACCCTTGATTGGTCTATCAGGGTGACACCTTTGTTATCATCCTTGATGCCATTGGCATGATCCTCTCTTCTGGACAAAGCATCCGCTTTCCCCATAGAGCTTCCAGGCTTATGAATTAATTTATAATTGAACCTTGACAAGTATACCGCGTAGCAAGCCTGTCTTCGGTTCAAGTCTCGGGCCGTCATAAAATACTCTAGATTCTTATGATCGGTCCAAATTTCAAATTGGTGTCTAGCACCTTCTAAGTAGTGCCACCAGTGCTCTAAAGTTCTAATGATGGCCAGCATCTCTTTGTTGTAAATTTGATAGTTGCACTCTGTAGGCAACAAACTATGCGATAAATAGGCACAAGGCCTCCAAAGATCATCAGGGCATTTAATTGATAAAACAGCCCCAGTAGCAAAATCAGAAGAGCCGGTTTCTAGCCGGAACTCTTTGTCTAATTCTGGAAATGCCAGTATGGGCACTGTTGTGAATGCCTGTTTAAGCTTATCAAAAGCTTCTTGTTCCTTGGCACCCCAGTGCCAAACAATATCCTTTTTAGTGAGATCATTCCACGATCTTGTTATCTTTGCGAAGTTTTTGATAAACCTTCGGTAGAAATTGCCTAAGCCAAGGAAGGCCCTAACTCCTTTGACGCGAGTAGGTTCAGGCCAATCCAAAATAGCTTGAACTTTCTCAGGATCCATCCTGATTCCGTTCTGGCCTATAATCATACCAAGGAGGTCTACTTTCTTCACTTTAAAATTACATTTTTCGGGTTTGATGAATAGGTCCCATTCCTGTAAGCGTTGAAGGACTTCTTGCACGATCTTGTCATGCTCAGCCTCATCGTCCGACTTCGTAAATATTAATAAATCGTCAATGTAAATGACGACACAGTTTTCCATATCCGCAAAAATCTCGTTCATCATGCTCTGGAAAGTTGCCGGTGAATTGGTCAACCCAAAGAACATAATGAGGGGTTTAAAGGATCCTTGGTGGCATGTGAACACGGCCTCCCAAGCATCTTCTTCTTTGATCCGTACATTATTGTACCCCCATCTGAGATCCATCTTTGTCAAGATCTTGGCACCAGCCAATTTGTCTACTAGCTGACTGATCAAAGGCAGCGGATACACATTTTTAACTGTGTGCTCATTCACGTAACAATAGTCCATAATCATACACTTCTTACCATCCTTTTTAGGAATGAAGAACACCGGGGACGTCATAGGACTTTTGGAAGGTCTGATGTAACCCTTCCTAAGTTGTTCGTCTATGAAACTAGATACCTCGTCTCTTTCGGGAGCAGAGAGCGGTATCATGTGTCCTTTTCTCGGTTTGAAGGTGTCCTTCAAATCTATAGCATGGTCCCAAGGCTTAGCCTCTGGGAAGCGCTCTGATTTATGTTTTGAAAGGACTTTCCAGAAGTCATGGTATTCGGGAGGTACCAGCCTCTTAATCTCTTCTTCGGGTTTTACCTCGTCATTGTCATCGTCAATTTTTTCTAAAGATCTGAGCTCATAAACGTGACCAGCGTTTATCTTTTCAAGACGCTCATTGTGACGGACATGATTTGGTTTACCCAAGTTTACACACTCACTCCTGAGGGCAACATGACAATGTGACAACCCCTGTCTGCCAGTCGATCTCAGGGTTGTGTTTAAATAGCCAGGTCCAGCCTAAGATTAAATTAATCTTCCCTAGTTGGGTAGCTTTGGCGGTGACTTGTTCCCTGTGTCCTTGGTATTCGACAACAAAAGAACATTTGTGCGTGATGCAGCCACCCGTGTTAAGCGTACCATCAATGTTATAGATGGGAATAGATACATCTAATTTTACAATGAGGAGTCCAATTTGCTCCGCCCAGACCTGATCTATGAAGATTCCGTTAGCACCTAAATCAAGCAGTGCACTGGTTGGGTGTACTATGCCCCGGGCAAGGTTTTCCACACCAACGTCTAAACGGATCTCCTTTTGGAATAAATATGTGCACATCAACACACGTCTTGGGATTTCGGGAAAGGGTGGCTCCAGCGAAGAAGAAGGGGTATTGAAAGTTACATGTTTTTCTATTTTATTCTTACCAGAATTAAGCACCCTAGTGTTTGTCTCGCCGGGGCCACGCTCAAAGGGAGACGCTGGTGCAGTGGTAGTGTCATAAATATTACAGTCACAATGTTTCATACATGTACATACTTCTGATAACAAATTAAAAAATTTATTTACAAATTGGGGAGCCATCCCCTTCTTTCCTTTATTGCTCGTGCAACACCCCAGAGCAGGGGCCACTTTGTTGTGGTTTACTTCATTGTTTTGTGGAGCGAAGGCACCCAAGTGGCCTAAGCTCCGAACTCTTTTCCCTGAGCCTTCATTTCATTGACCTGTTGGTCATAGAAAAAGGCCCGGATTTCGTCGTACGAACGACCGGTCAGAGTCTGAAGCTGATTGTCTGGTTTTTCGGACTCTAATTGGCGCGCCTGGTGTAACAATCAAGAGTTATTTACTCTGGCGCACACAGGAACACACTATAAAGAAGATGATGGGGAGTGGTTACCCCTTAGGCTGCAGAGAGTTTGTTGGTTAACAACAGGAGGACTCGCTGAGTCCTTCCCCATGTATTGCTCTTGTATATATACTAAAATACATGAGGTACTGTACAGTTTGTAAATAAAGTTCAAAGTCCGATGTCTAGCATGTGACCGGTCACATGATGAGTCTAGACACTGATCAGGTGATGTGTCACATGACTGGTCATGTGACTATGAAAAGTCGAAAATGTAAAGTAAAGTAAATGGCCAGTCATGTGACTTGGAAAATAAAAGTAGAAGTACAAAAGTGAAGCGTAAGTAGGTGCTGGTATGTTAATTGTAACATTGATAACAATCACTTTTGTGGTTGTAGGGTATGCCTCGTTGCACGATGGCCCTCTATCCCCTCCGCAACCCTCCGCATGCCAGCCACCACCATCGCAGGCATTAATAAACATTGGATCAGCATATCGGCGAGCTTGAGACCAGCGTCTTCGGCTAATCAAAAACCTTGGGCGTCTGGTCCAGGAATTCTAATTCTATTGTGACATTTCTGGCTAGGGGTCACCTCCGGGACCTAGGAATTACCAATCAATTGTATTGGATTTTTTGTCGATTTATAACGACAGGATCTAACCTTCATTCTGATCTACTCGATGAGCTGTTAGCAACTTCCTGCCTCACTGGCAAAGTCTACAGGAATTTTAAACCTTGACTTGTAAGTACAGTCAGTTGTGACAAAACTGGATAAGCCCAGTCTCTGCCGAAGCAGCCATTGTTCTCCATGGAGCATAGCCACCACTCCATGGAGTAACCATTGTTCTCCTAGGAGCACAATTGTACTCCTAGGAGTCATTATACTGTAGCAAGTAGCACCTCCAACTATAAGTAGTAGGGGGTTTAGTATAGGAATACCTCAGTTGTTTCTATAGCCTCTCGGGCAGCGGCTGAGGTATGTTACATTACATTTATTAGAGATCACCTTAAACTAACATCTATTGTAGTTTCACTTAGATTTATTATGCAGCGCTTCTTTGGTAGCGCTTACCTTCCTCAACATGATGATATAAAGAAGAAAGCATCGCAGCAAGAGTTTCTCCCAGCTCATCATAGCTTCAGTGATCGATTCATCGCTTACCGTCTCAAAGAGCATGGTGTCCACTAATCACGTTTTTTCTGGTTTTGCATTCATCAGTTTCGTTCTACTCAGTGTCCTTTTGCCACTCCATATAAAAGGTGATTTGTCATCCTCTTGGACGTTTCTTCATTGAAGTCAATGGTGCTGACGTTTTGATAAAGCAAGGAATATTGGTACATGCGCTCTCATTATATGGATAGGCTTGCTTTGCTTGAATGGATTCGTAAACTCAATCATATGGGATCATAATGTCACCGATTGGGCACCTGTCTGGCGTGATATATGTACGTGCGTCTTAGTTTAAATACTTGTTTTTTTTCTAAAATGTCTTTGCCAGCATCTCGTCTGATGATAGGCGGGGGAATTGGTGTGCAAGTAGCATGCTTATGCATTGCTCGTCATTTGTATTTTGTCACAAGAAACATAACCACGAATCGGCTCAATCAAGTCAGGGTACGTTTTATAATGCTATCCACCACTAATCGATTTCTTATTGTCGATGAACAGCATTGGAGAGCCATTGCGTGTGATTATTTTTTGGTTATAGGAGTTCCAATGTTATACATAGTCACATGTAGGTCCCTTGTAAAGTATTGTCCGCAAATTTATGCTTATTTCATCTCAGCTTATGTTGCTCAATATTTGCGCTACATAATTTATGAGGAGATAGGCTGCTATTTTTCAGTATACAACACGCAGCCCCTTTACCCGTTGTGTATTATGTGGCCGTTCGTATTGTCTCTTATCATTGTTGTCTACCTAGGTAAGTATTCAGTGGCTCTCTCGTACCCACTCAAGATAATATAACTCCAGGTGTTACTATTCGCACCTTGATACAGCGGGGAGCAGGATTCAAAACACTCATTCAACATGATGAACAATTTTGCCGACTATTGGCACTGGCCGTTTTGATGGTCACCTGCACGTTTCCGTACAGTCTAATGGCAATTGCAGTGGATGCGACTTCGTACCCGCCTGTTTCATGGCCTGGGTGGGATGCTCTGCATGCCGACATTTCTTATGTTTTACAGGTTCTAGCTGCTGAGTGGCAAGCAGAAATACCTGCGCGCGTGGCTGCTTTACAGTTCAGACGATGGGTTTATGTGATGTACGCCATCATTGTCTTTTCTTTTTTTGGTTCCACGACAGAAGCAAAGAAGAACTATTGTGCTACTTGGGGCTTCCTTACCCGCTGCTTCAATAGCTTGTGTAGAACCACCAATGTTCAGAACATGAGGTATGCATCACGTCTCTCCATTTCCCGCCAATTTCACTGATTATCATGACATATTTCCTCTTTTCATCACGCCTCAACTAGTAGTCGCCCTATACCCGGATACGCTCTCCGAACACCAGGCCATCTTCTATTTCCACATACACTGTCAATTGTCGACAGTCCGGAATGTACACCACGTAACTCATGCTCACCCGAACTGTTCGACCCAAAAATGGGGTCTAATTTGGGCCTAGCACGTACCGAGACTACGCGCTACTCGGGCAGCGACGGCGATGCACAGCACGCGCACTTTGCAACGTCGGTATTCGAACATCCTGCACCCGTATTGGACATCATATCTGTCTTACGTTGCCATCCGCCCGATCCTCACCCGGTTTAAAATATCTTCACATATTCCTTAACGTTGCGTGGATGGTCTGGAGTGTCAGTTCAAGCCGTGGCCCTTTTCATACTGGAGCTAAGCTCGTGTCGCAAGTTTTATCACCTTTTAAAATTACTGTTTACTTACGACAGAGTAAATATGCCATGTACATTACTGTATATGTAGAACCCAGAACCTGTAACAACATACCGTCATTCGATGGGCTCTGCATTTGAGCAGAAGACGCTTTTGACGCCCTTAGCTACGACTGCAAAACACGAAGGCTCGACGGCAGCCTGTTTTCCAGAGGTACAACGTAGTTCTCAAGATGCCAAAGCGTCGCTACGATCTCTTAACACGGAAGAAAGTACCCAATTGCTTCACCGTCTGTCCGAATGTCTCTGTAGCCACGATGCCGCTAGCAATCCACCGTGGTAGTATAGCTTGTATAGCAGAAGATCGATATCGACGATCGACTAAAATCAGAGAAGCCCAGTCCGAACGATGTCGTATCGTCCGTCCTACGAAACGTCATTAGATGTATCAGCCTCAAGATACATATATTTTTAAGGAGCCTTGACCCACCGATACTCTGATTCACAGCATTCATGCACATATTCTCATACAACTCCGACGCTGCGTCTTTCTCCCCATTCTGTCTCTTAACGCCCCTTCTAGCCTCCATCTCGTTTGCATATTTCAGGCGCTCCCGTAAGTCAGGAGAGGTCTTGAATATGTTAGCTATTTCAGCATCATGCGGTTACTTCACTCGTACCTTCGCTCGCAGCAGAAAGTCTCTGCATGAAGCCCTCTACCACAAGAAGAGGGACGGCAGCAGCGATGTGATCACCAGCGCTCGAATCTGCTATAATGGGAAGATACTTAGGACTCGGGGAATACAAGAAATCCAAAGTGTATGTAAACCATGCAATGGCGACACTCCCGCGACCTTCTCGCAATAGCCTGAAATTTACCTAGCGACCTGGGCAGAAAGTATCGACGTCCGCTTAACCGACAAACACAAACCTCCTGTACTTTGCTATTTCTGAGACATGTCTCGGTCTCAAGGAGCTTCCACTTTCCTCCCAAGCCTCTAAATAAATCCTTGCGGCGTCATCACTTCCGCCTTATCGCTCAACTTCCTCCATTCTTGGAGCTCTTCCAATCAGCGATGTGTTTCTGAACCGCTTCCAGAAATGTGATGAGATGCTTTAGGTGGAGGACATGGCCTGCCGAGAGACGATTCCGGAATTTTTGGAAATAGATGGAGAGCTGGTGTAGGGATGTGGATAGTGTGCGACGGGTAAGACGCGTGCTCGATAGTGCCAGTAAAGTGGGTATCAAATCTGCCAAGCTCGTCAGAACTTGAAAGGAAAGAAGAGGCGTCTCCAAGTGAATATGTAATCTCACTGTGGGCTTCGTCGATGACGACTATCTGGTCTGTCAGGTAGATCCCAAGGGCTTCACGAGCAGGTCTTTGAAGGAGTAGATTATAAGGGAGTCGCTAGCTATTTTTGGGTTAGGTTTGGATGAGAGCACAGGGCTGCAGGGGATGCGTACTTCAGCTTGGAGAATCGCTCGCCTTGAGCCATAGTAAGGACAGGTGAAAGCATGCCGCGAGATCTTCAATGTCTTTAGGGGACGCCTGAGTTTCATCGTGTCAAAGGAGGCATTGATCATGGTAATATGTCGCTTACTGAAATCTGATCTCGTAATTCAAGCATACGAAGCTCGTCCTCCACTCCAGGCAAGTTGCTGAAATTGACGTATCCCCAGCTGAGCCTCCTGTGAAGAGGGAACTCGAGACCTCTCGACTCGAAGACCCTCCAATTGTTTTACTTCAACTGAATGTGATTTGTGTCTGCCAGTGTTCCCACGGATACATGCAAGCCGCCGATGACATTCTAGATAGGAGACACTCCTTGTAGAGTATATCAAGTTGCGTGTACCTTTGTGAGCTTTCTTCCCATTCCACTTCTGCACGAGTGTATATTCATAAATATAAAGCTGAAATAGCTTGTCTTTGGTGAGTTTTGTTCTTTCAAGCTACTCGGCAAAACATTAACAGCATTCTGTTACGTTTTCGAAAGCTTTCGTACAGTCGGTGCCAGCACTCGTACTATTCAACTGTACACTCCAACAACAATCATAACACCCGATTCTCCAGCAAAGAACAGTGTGATAGTTATACAAAGCTTTCAGCTATCCAAATATCACAAGTTAGTCCTTTCACTTTTTGCTGTCTCCCTGTACTCAACCTCTTCTTTTTTACTCTAGTGATCCCCCCCTCTTTTCTCATTGAGTGCATTACACTTGCCAAAAACAGGGGTCATGGATTTTCTCACTCTCCTGCAACCAATTTATCCAACATCAGCTATGGTCATACCTCCACAAACAGCTCATCTCCTTTCCCCCCATCCTCTCTGCCTGAGAAGGAAGCCACAATGTATTATGCTGGCTTGCCCTCCTCCCCGCGTTTGTTGGCCCGCACTGGTGTGATTCCGTGGAAGGAGCCCACAGGCCCAGAGGCATACAGCAAGCTCAAGCAGCTTGGGGTTGTCTTCAACCATAAGCTCAACACCATCTGGGAGGACAAGGTGGCTCCTGAGATCCTCACTTTCCTGGATGGGATGGGGGTCAAATGGACCAGCATTGATGTTGTTCGCATTGGTGAGATTGGAGAGTCTGCCCCCATTGTCCTCTGGATTGGGGTGAAACCCAAAACTCTTGCTGGTGAAGATGCCAACAAGGCAGCTTTTGAATGCCTCAAAGTTCTCCAAGAGTTTGGCATCAATAATGTCAATATTGAAATCCGCGAGTCTTCTGTTGTCCGGTCAGCTGGTCCCAAGCTCCTCCCACCTGTCTACTCCTCCGACCCGACTGTAGATGTTCGCCACCCTCTTACTTATGCACTTGGACTCCCCATCTCTGCCCAGGCAACACCTTACACTGCAGGCACAGGTGGCTTTTTCATGGCTGAAGGCAATGATAGTGACAAGCTTCTTCTCATCACTGCTCGCCATGTTGTCCTCCCACTGAATCAGGGGCCGAATGACATGTTTGAACGCAGGAATGAGAGCAAGCCTCGGTTCAATGTAATCCTCCTTGGCAAGGAGGCTTATGATGATTACCTTGCTTCTATTAAGGCCAGGATCGGTGGATATACATTCATCGTTGAACATGCAAAGCAGCGCATTAAGGCAGTTGAGGGACAGGACAATGAAGGGGGCACTGTGGAGTGCAAGGAGGCACAGGACAATATTGATAGGGCAGAAAAGGCAATGGAGGCACTCTACACCTTCTACGACATTGTTGAGAAGAAGTGGGCCTCTGAGGCCAGCCGCATCCTGGGGCATGTGGTCTGTTCGCCTCCCATCCGCCTTGGTGCAGGCACTGCAGATGAGATGTACACAGAGGACTATGCCATCATCGAGGTGGACGGCGACAAGATTGACAAACTTAACTTCAAGGGCAATGTAATTGACCTTGGCACCGAGATCCCGGCTAGAGAGTTTACTGAGAAGATGTATCCCAACCCCCGGAACCGAACCTCCTTCAAGTATCCTACTGACCGCCTTCTGAGGCTCTGGGGCACCATCCCAGACGAGGAGATGCGTCGTCCAACCATGTTAGACCAGAACGAGGAACAATGCCTGATGGTCATTAAAAACGGCAGCGCCAGCGGCGTCACCATTGGTCGCGCCACCGGCATCATGTCCTACATCTGCGAGTACTTCAATGATGGTAACCACTATACCTCCAAGGAATGGACAATCATCCCCTGTGACACTAAGTCAGGCGTCTTCTCCACCCCGGGAGACTCTGGCGCTGTCGTTGTCGATGGCATTGGACGCGTCGGTGGCCTCCTCACTGGCGGTGCTGGCACTACAGATTCCTCTGATATCACCTATGCGACGCCTATCAGTTTCCTCTTGAAGAGCATCAAAGCCAACGGGTACCCCAACGCCCACCCCAACCCGACCTGGGCGCCATCACGAACTTTGTTAACACCGCTTTCAGTTACTGTTCCTGGTGACGACTTCTAGACCATACGTGGTTTGATGGGAGGGATCAGCTCGACGGACACGCTTGCGACCCTCGAGTGGTGTTTGGTGTGCTCTTCGTTGGTGCGGCCTTTGGTCTCATGCGAGATGGATGATGATGCAAGCAATGATGCAAGCATTCGACTAGCCTTGTTACCGTAGCTCCTTTTTTTTCGGACAGTGGGTAATTTAGCCTTTTTACTGTTTCCATTTTGAACACTTGTACTGGACAATTCGTGACGAAATATTGTTGAATTTGTGTATTTGTGTATTTTGGCTTGCGCGCGACGGACTGCACTAAAAGTTAATGCAAACGACTCACAATGTCTATTCCCATGGTATTACAGACTCAGCAATACATTAGAGTATATAAGACAGTTATCAACAAAAGAGACGACATACACGAACGATGGCCATATTACGGTATATCTGTAGGTTGATGAATTTGGTTTCTATACCGAATAACTACTTTGTGCGCCAATAACAGAAACAGCGATTGAGCACCGCCTAGACTGTTGGCATATTGAAACTGGTCTGAGTTCTCATACTAGGACTATGTCAGTCGACATGGATTTGAATTGGCAGTTGCCCTTACCTAATTATCTGATGTGCAATTTCACGAGTTTCACGTACAGTACGCTCCTGTTTCGATCAGACAGGTATCGGGTAAACATTGGGATGGCATTTGTAGAAGATATCGCTCCCATAGCCTCAGCTGCCTGTCTCATGCGCGAGTTCAACGCTAAGAATCTAATGGTCGAAGAGTTAACTTATCTCGTGCCATACCATCAGATCTTCTGCAGGGCTTTTCAAAACTGACTCAAGCGTCGAAAAGGGCAGATGTTTGCTTCATCTGTCCCCCACACTATGTAAAGTCTCAATCCATCAAGTGCCCCAACAACGGAGCTCGCGCCTTCGGCAGTATTCACCCAGCCACCTACAATCACGACCCAGCTGCAGCGCTCGTTCGGCCTGCGCGAGATTTGCGGAATTTGCTTGAGCCGCCACCGACACGATGTTCTGCAAATGCCGTTCCGCCACTTTATGGATCGGCTCCAAAGCACGATGCACCAGAGATGATTCAGGTCGGATTTACAACCCAGCCGAAGTCGCCATCTGCATCGAGTGGCAGCGGCCCTTTGGTTGTCGTATGAACAACCACGACGGAAGACACGAATGCTCAGGCTGCGGTGACAAAGAACACGGAGCTCAGACATGCCCTCGCAGCAAGAACGCTTGAATCACTCACCTCATACCATAGTACTAGTACTAGCTTGGAAACATGCCCTACAGTCGTCTGATTTACTAAAAACACCCTTCTCCGTATTGGATATTGAGACTGCTACTAGCTGCCCATTAAATGAAATTTTTATTCTTGCTGCTTACATTTTTATTGATCACTACCCAAACAACCCAGAATCGGTGATTGACACCAGAGCGCCACTACGATCTCTTATCACGGAAGAAAGTACCCAATTGCTTCACCGTCTGTCCGAACGTCTCCGTAGCCATGATGCCACTAGCAATCCACCGTGGTAGTTTAGCTTGTATAGCAGAAGATCGATATCGACGATCGACTAAAATCAGAGAAGCCCAGTCCGAACGATGTCGTATCGCCCGTCCTACAAAACGTCATTAGACGTATCAGCCTCAATGTACATATATTTTTAAGGAACCTTGACCCACCGATACTCTGATTCACAGCATTCATACACATATTCTCATACAACTCCGACGCTGCATCTTTCTCCCCATGATTTCTCTTCACGCCCCTTCTGGCCTCCATCTCGTTTGCATATTTCATGCGCTCCCGTAGGTCAGGAGAGGTCTTGTTCGCGAAAGGGAGACCGACGATGACGACGGCTCTGGCGAGTTCGTCGGAGAAATTGAGTCCCTCGGAGAGCTTTGCGCCGATAACAGCAAAGAGGACGGCTCCGGCTCTTCTCCCTCCTGCCTGTGTATATCCATTCGTCAGTGCATGCCTCGCTAAGTGTCACTTGGTCGTACATTAGAAGATCGTGCCTCCACCGCATACTCGCGCAAGACGGCTTCGACCTCCGAACTGTCTGGCGGTTCCATGAAGACCTAGCCAAGCAAAACCATTCAGCGGGGAGGCGCAAGGCTATCAGACGCGTTCGCCTACCTTCTTCTTCCCTTCAAACTTCTCGAGCATTCGGGTAGAACCCCATTCCTCTTTCACTACATTCAAGTAGGAGTAAGAAGGAAAGAACACTACCAGGCCACCGGGGACGATGCTGCAGAGGTTAAAGATGATTTGGCCAAGCTCTGCTATCTTTGCACGGTCGTTAGTTGATGAAAAGCTGGCGTGATGGTAGAGATGACACTACCATTTGCTTGTCGCTTTGTCCGCGGTAGTTGAACTCGAGATCACCTCCTCGCGGTCCCTTACCGACTACGAGGGCTTGTATGTTCGATGCAGGTATAATATGACCACAAGAAAACGTCGACAATTTCTCTGTGGGGAAATAAGCAAAGAGCTGGTTGACCACATCTTGTATCTTCGTTTCCATGCAAAAAGTCAGTAAATCAAGCGACCAACGTTGGCGCACGACTCACGGGAGACATAGTTCCTCCAGCAAGAACGACACATCGAGAAACATCGGCAACATCGCGAAAGATGGTAGAAGGGTTGAGCAGTTGGTATTTGACCTCGACGTCGTCGCCATCCGAGGTTTTTATGATAGATAGAATGATCCGACCATCTTATGATACAGATATATTAGTTACTTCAGATACCCCAGAATTGCTTGATGCACACCTTCACTCGCAGCAGCAAGTCTCTGCATGAACCCTTCTACCACAAGAAGAGGGGCGGCAGCAGCGATGTGATCACCAGCGCTCGAATCTGCTACAATGGAAAGATACTTAGGACTCGGGGAATACAAGAAATCCAAATTGTATGCAAACCATGCAACGGCGACACGCCCGCAACCTTCTCGCAATAGCCTGAAATTTTCCTAGCGACCTGGGCAGAAAGCATCAACGTCCGCTTAATCAACACATACAATCCCCCCGTACCTTGCTATTTCTGAGATATGTCTCGATCTCAAGGAGGTTGATACCGTCGACTTTCCTCCCAAGCCTCTGAACAAACTCCTGCGGCGTCATCACTTCCACCTTATCGCTCAGCTTCTGAACTCCATCCTTCGAGCTCTTCCACTCGGCGATATGTTTCTGAACCGCCTCTAGAAATGTGATGAGACGCTTTAGGTGGAGGACATGGCCTGCCGAGAGACGATTCCGGAATTTTTGGAAGTAGACGGAGAGCTGGTGTAGGGATGTGGATAGCGTGCGACGGGTAAGACGCGTGCTCGATAGTGCCAGTAAAGTGGGTATCAAATCTGCCAACCTCATCAGAAATCGAAAATAACGAAGGAGTGTCTCCAAGTGAATATATAATCTCACTATGGGCTTCGTCGATGACGACTATCTGGTCCGTCAGGTCGATTCCGAGAGCTTCACGAGCAGGTCTTTGAAGGAGTAGATTATAAGGGAGGGTCACTAGCTGTTTTTGGGTCAGGTTTGGGTGAGGGCACGGGGCTGCAGGGGATGCGTACTTCAGCTTGGGGAATCGCTCGTCTTGAGCCATAGTAAGGACAGGTGAGAGCATTCCGACCTGCGGCCGCGAGATCTTCAATGTCTTTAGGAGTCGCCTGAGTTTCATCGTGTCAAAGGAGGCATTGATCATGGCAATATGTCGCTTACTAAAATCTGATCTCGTAATTCAAGCATACGAAGCTCGTCCTCCGCTCCAGGCAAGTGCTCGCATCGTTTATCAGCTTTCTCTGAGCATCAAATGAGTTTGCGTACGCGAGTAAGTTTGCATGCGGCCACGTACCCTCACGCAGTTTGCGACATCTCTCGTCAAGATCACCGTGTTTAAGTTTCACAGCATCGTTGATACACAGCTGTTTACGAGATCCAAGGGAAACCGTTCTCCACTTGTAGTATTTTTGATCGTCTTGCTGTGAATCATTTTCGTCGTCGTCGTCGTTGCTTCTCTTTGCCGGCAAAGCCGAAAGATGTCGAGAGACACCCAAGTCAGAACCCCCCTGGCCACCCCCCGGCACAGGAGGCGACGAATGTTTGAATTTGAGTTTTCGAAGCTCGGGGAGGATTTGAGATAACTGCGAGTGTGTACGAGATGCATAGTATATCTTAGTACAAGTGGGTTCCTCTGGGATTGAAGGCTGGCGCTGATAACTTTTCTCGAACCTGAGCTATGGCCATTGAGTGAAAAGAAACTCCACATCAAAGAAACTCAAAAGCACCTTTCCCTCAGAGCGCGGACCGCAGGAGAGAAGTTGTCTCCCTCATCCGCCGGTTCTGTCCCGTCGTCGTCAGGAAGGAACGTGTCATCGTCAGACAGGTCCGCATCGGGCATCAGTCGCTGCCTCCATATCACCATGATCAAAGATACCATCACCGAGAATGTGTGCAAAATGCTTACGGGCCTCTTGGTGACTTTGGCACGCGCCTTCTTTTTCAAAGCGGCTTCCTTCTTCCTCGCAGTGGCAAGCCTCTGTTCGTACTCTTGGTTTTGAGCCTCGAGCTCGCGCTGACGCTTTTCCATCGTGTGTGCAGCCACCCAGTCAGGTTCTTCATACCAAAGGGCTGCGTCAGAATGGGACGATTTAACGGGTGACGATACACAAACCGACCGTCTGAGCGCGCCTGAGAAAGTAGCTGGCCCTTCCTCACGCGTTCTTTCTCGTCAGCTAGCCACGATAAGCTGGAGCACAGCAGACTCAGTGTCTTTCCCTGTGAACAAGATGTGGATATAGCTCAAGGACGTGGTTTGACCCGCGGTGTGCTCACAGTTCCTGTGGGGCTTTCCACGATAGCCACTTGCCTGTTCTCGATTGAGGAATAGACATGTTGCATGAGGTCGATCTGGATTGGATAGGGATTGTAAGGAAATGCAGGAAAGCTGTCTGGCACAGGTAGTTTCAAACTATTGTCAGAGGCTGCCATATAGGAAAGCGGGAGTCGCGGTGCTCTCATGAGACGCGTCGTGACCGAAAGGGAGTCGCGTGACCGGCAGATCTGTATTAATATCGGCATGCATATGCACGCTCGGGTAAGCATTTGGAGAGAGCACAGGGGGGCAACGATGGTCGTCAACACAGGCATAATCTGCATGTTAAAAAAGTTCGGAGACTCGTAAGTGTACACACAGACTGGACGTAAATGGAATTAGAGTGCGAGGTACTTAGTCAAAACAGCGAAAGAAATGAGACATAATATACACTTTGGCAAAGTCATACAACACCTGCAATACGAGTAGCATCGTGTCAGAAAGGCTCAAAGCCCTGGATTCTGGTGGTGCCCATCCTTCCCGGGTACCATCTCCCAAACACTGCCTGAATTAGATCCCACTCCACAGTGCGGAATTGCTACAATACCAAGCCACGACAGCATCGCCGTCAAGTCGACACATGCAGAGCCCCTGGCTCTTGCGGGGTCTCGATATACCACTCCTTTAGCCATTTCTCTGCTACAGCGTATTCCTTCTTGACGCTCTCCAGCAAAGGGTCTATTTTCTTCAAGGCTGCTTCGGGTGCGAGGGGTTCCCCTGCTTCTTCGTCTCTCAAAGAACCATAGTGCTGGATTTTTTCGCACGATGCTTGGACTTTGGTGACACCGAGAGCAGCTGAGGATCCCTTCAAGAAATGGCCAAGCGAAGATAATTTCTCCAAGTCCTTACGTGAGCTAAAGAACGGGGTAGCGGGTTCAGGCATAGGGAAGACGAGAGGGAAAGGGAAGCTCACAAAGCGTCATCCATATCTTTGAACGTGGTATTTGCCTGCTTGAAGTACTCGCAAGTCATGCCGCGAGAGAAATCCCGCTCGTCGTCTTCATCAAGCTCGAGGATTTGCTGGAATGTCTCCATGTCAATGGTGTCTTCGGCATCTGGCTGCAACGCATGGACGATGGTCAGAATGGTGGGTGGAGAGGAAGCAGATGGGGCTACCTGAGGCTGTTCTTCGGCATTGTCTGGTTTCTTGTCGACTGCAGGCTCGACTTGCGCAGAGGGTTTAGGAGTGGGTGTCTCTGGGTGTACGGAAGCGGAACGGGGTTTTGTGTCTATCTTGTGTACGAGAGATGGCTTTTCTGCTGGGGGTGAGGGGGGGAGCTTGTTGTGTTTGTCGGGGAGCTGAGGGGACTTGAGTCTGAGTGGTTCTTGGATTGGGGCCATGGAGGGCATGAGGAAGGGAAGGAGGGATTATGGCCGGAGACAAGCAGCGCGAATATCACTGATTATCGGCCTCTGCATCGGACAGAGCCGAAATGCGTGATGACGGAATAACGGATCGCTCAATTACGGCTCTCTCAGCACTTTACTCTACCAGACACATGTACTCTATTCTCTACACAATTCTCTCAGTCCGCAACGCCGCAATCTCTTCAGACGTGTACCCCATCTCTGACAGAATCTAGATGTAAGAAAATAAGTGGGGTCCATCATAAAATTTATGTCCGCGTCTAGACCATCTTACCTCTCCAGTGTGCTGCGACAGCCATGGTGGCGGAATCCTCACCGGCATCCTCTGCCCATTGTATGTCACAGCGGGTGCCACAAGCTTGATTTTACCCGCTCGGGGGTGCTAATCATGAGGTGAGAACCCCTCAGACACAGATGCATGCTTCATACGTACATCAACCTCCACAGTTGATTCCCGAGCTACAGCCTGGGGGTGCTCAAACGTTTGCCGGATATTGTTAATCGGTCCAAACGGTACCCTGTCATGCAGTAAGACACGTGGTTGCTGTATGCTCGTCGGAAAAATAAATAACAACCCACCCCTCACCCGTGAATCGCTCTATCCAATAGTCCCGGTCTTGCCCCTTCAGAGTGCCAGAGATGATGTCTATCAACTCCGTGCGGTTCGCTACCCGCGCGGCATTGTTTGAGAATTTGGCGTCATCGACAAGTTCTGGAAGCTGTAGGATGGCTTCACATAGAATCCTGAACTATGGACACGTTGTCGTCGGCATGACTTACAAGTACATATTTTCATAATAGCTCCACCTACCTGTTTGTCGTTACCTGCTCCAATCATGAGAAATCCGTCTTTGCACGGAAACACTTGATAAGGCACTATCGACGGATGTGCTGTACCGTGCCGACCGGCCTCCTGCCCTGCAATTAGGTAGTTGGACGCGATATTGGCTAGGCCAGCCAGCTAAGACAACAACCTCTCGTAAACCTTGCAGTCACGATGGCTCATCACATGCTCTTACTTGAGATTCAAACAAGTTGCAGTCAATCCAGACCCCTTCTCCTGTCTGCTGTCTGGATAGCAGGGCAGCCATGATGGCTCCATGGGCGTAGAGCCCAGTGGCGATATCAGTGGCAGCAACTCCAACCTTGGCAGGTGGACGGTCGGGTTCTCCGGTGCTGCCCAAAGTAATACGTAAGACTCCATCGCGAAGGATGATATGAAGAGGGCAGGAACTCAAGCGGACATATGCATCAGACCAGCTTCAGCCTCTATGACTACGTCGTACCCCGCTGCCTGACGATAGGGGCCCGTTTGTCCATAGCCTGTACTAGCAGCATGCGGATACTCCAGAGCGAAACGACGATAAGAGTGACGAACCAGTTATAGAGGCATAAACGAGGCGCGGGTTGATCTTTTTGCAATCTTCCCAGCCCAAGCCCATGGATGCCAATTTACCAGAGACGAAGTTCTCCACGAGCACGTCAGACGTTTTGATGAGTCGTCGTACCACCTCCAAGCCGTCCGGCGTTTTGAAGTTGACGGTGAGCGACCTTTTGTTCCTGTTGACTGCAAGAAAGTAAGCAGAGTCTGGAGGTAAGTGGGATGCCTCTGAGGGGGCGTTTTCTAGCAAGGGTGCAGACGGCGGGCTCCATGAACCTAGGATGATGCGGTATGTCCATTGACAGGTGCGACTATTTGCAGTACAACTGAGCTATCTTACGAGTATCGTCCCCCCGCTCGACCTCTTCCACCTTTATGACATCTGCACCCAAGTCTGCCAGCAACATGGTCGCTGTGGGGCCTGCGAGCACCCTGGTGAGATCGAGCACTCTGATCCCTTTCAAGGGTGGAGGTATCCCATTAAGCTGCGACGATGCTGCAGAAATATAGCGATAGACAGCTGCTTTCTTTGGCGATGCATGTGTGCAGAGAAGGCGTAGAGCACGGTGTTGCATGCAAGAAAACATGAGCAGGTTTGAATAAAGCTGAATCACATTAGCGCGTTATTGCGGCTTTGTGCGGTATTAGCAGCAGAGTTACGTAAGGATGGCTGCAGGTTACCACTGAGTGCGAACCAAAGTTAGAATGGACCACTGATGCCGCAAACTCACAGACACTGGTTTTGATCTTCCAATACATCTCTCCACATTTCCTGCAGAGCAGTGGCCCTTTCTGCAGCACGCTGCAAGCCAGCAGCCAGCGATGGGCTTTTTCTCTTCAAACAAGGCAAACGACACCAATTATATACACGATGACAGGACCGTCGTCCAGGTCATTCGTTCCAGATTTGTAAGTTCTTTTGCTTCACCGCAAAGAAAGAAGTTTCACAACTGAATCTTTTCTGATCATCTTTCTTCTACGGAACAGTACGGAAAGTACAAAGGCAAGGAACGGGCGGCTTTCCCTGACTCGTCGCCCTCCCTTTCATCTTCACGAGACAAGTTTATGACGCACAAACCCAATGAGAGTCGTCCCAAGTCTAGGACTGACTCTCGTGAAACACACGCTTTTATGCACTCTGTATCCGACCACCCTGGACAGCATGCCCGTGCCCATACCGATACCGTTACGTTCGTCCACTCTATCATTATTTTTCAATTTCCGAGATTTGAACCCTTACCCACTCCAATGTCCAGCACGACGCTCGCTCAGCGTCTCAACGAACTAGCGACTGCAAACTCAGAGGGCCTTCTCGAGTGAGTGGTCAGACATTCCAATCACCAAGAATGCATAACTGAGGGTCAGGTATCCATCCGGCTATCCAGTAATGAAGAGTACCGTCTCCTCCGTCAAAACCTCTTTGAGCGTCTTACGAGCAGCAGTCCGGTTCCGGTAGAGAGCCCTATGGTTCCAATGGTGAATCATGGCGATTCACAGGGTGAAAGGTGTACGTCACCTTCTCTCTACCTTCTAATTTCGTGAATGATTCTAGGTCATCGCAGCGCAGAAGCGTCTTTCTTCAGCAACGCATTTGTCTCAGAATAATATACCCGGATCACTCCGTTCGCCTTCCATACGATCCAAGTCTTCCAAGTCTTCCGCCATTTCAAATCTCTTTGCCAGAGTGACCACTCGGCGGACAAGTATGCTATCTAAAGATGACCTGACAAGCGATGCCTCCAGCGTGTTCTCCTCGAGTTCCAAGATTTCACAGAGATATCAACAGCACGAACAGGACACTTTGCGTGGAAGGAGCAAGAGATACGGCCATGTTGGTCCTTCGCCTAGTCAATCACACATTCCTTGTGACATGGCTGCTTCGTCTTCTAATCTCGAAAATGGACTGAGCCACAGAGCGTTCTCGAGCAGTGGCTCTTTTCGCTCTACTCATAGTATTCGAAGGCTGGGAAAGACGACGCCTCCTTCATCGTTTCCTACACGTATACCCGGCTCTGACCATATTCATACCCCCTCCCTCTCGAATATCGATACGTCGGGAGACGACGAGCTCAAGAGTACTCAGGAACTTCGCCGCGATCTAGCGTCGGTAGAAGCGGAGGGTCGAAGGCTCCTGGATGCTTTCAACGGACTCGAACTAACAGCGTTGACACGAAACCAATATAGACCGACTGGTACTAGTCCCGTTAAATCTTCTTCATCTTCACCGTTACGACCACAAAAGCAGCCCAGTGAGCATCTTATCGTGCAAGCCACTGGGAATGCTGGGACCATTCGAAGACGTGGTTATGACAACGATGGCATGTCGGTTCATTCTAATTCTTCAATAGGAACCGGCCTATCTAGAGCTGTGCCATACCGAAGCACAACGGTAAAGCGACCGAACGCACCTTTGACCGCTCCAATACCGGTCGTCCGCAAGAATTCGGTAACGTCTATGTCTTCTCGCACGAGAGATATGGCATCTTCGCCTGTCCCTTCCCAGTCACACGTGGGAGCTAACGGTTCCAGTATCAGCTTGACCAAGTTTTCGACTCATAATATGTCGATACATTCTCAGCCTGAAGATGACGAGTTTTCAGCCTTGGAAGCGGAACTGACCGAAATTCGTAGGAGACGGAAGGAGGTGACTGCCCGCTATCAGGGTCGTCTGGAGTATCTCCGTGCTCAGCTGAAGGGTGCGGAACTGCGAGAGAAGCTACAGAAAAAATAGCAGTCTTTCGGGAGGAGAGCGTGATACGACTGGGGATGTGATACGATTTGGTACGACCACGATTTTTGCTGGATGGCATGATAATGCCTCTAGGTCCATGGTTCGATTAATATGCAGGTTTGGACGAGACATCCATGCTTCTTTCTGAATATACCTGACATGCTACAGCATGCTACTTGATATTTTATATAATGAAACAATGTTGATACAGGACAAATAGCTAGACATGTTCTAAATAAATAACATAATGGCCGAGGTGCCATAGCGAAGCGAACCGTTGCCTTATCTGTCGGCGTGAGGTGGTTTAACGGGGCTTTTTTGACTTTTGATACCTCAGTCAGCCAGCGTGGACGCCTGGGCTGAACGACGTTTCTTTCATAGATGTCGAGCAATCCGTTGGATTATTCCTTCACCGTCAACGACGATGATCTTGCCTCAAGCGTGTCTGCCAGTATAAGCTCCACGCCCACGCCCACGGCGTCTCTTCCAGGCCAGCTTCACCGCAGTCAAAGCCATAGTTCTCACTGGTCTGCGACTGACACTCCCCACCATCACCACCAAGGCACTTCCTATTTCCCAGTCGCCAATCGACCAGCCTCTCCATCAGTAAGACTCCCAGCCCATCCCAGTCTGGTTCGAAGTATGTCCGCCAGCTCGGCGAAGCGCAGGGCGAGGAGCAGCAGTTTGAGCAGCTCGCGCGCGCATGCGAGGGGATACAGAGATAATGGCGCGACCCTGAGCGAGGAGGACGAGGGCAGCGACAATGGCAGTGCCAGCGATAGAGACGACGAGGAAAACAGAGCTGATCGCGGTAAAGCCAGTGCTTTGGCGATAAGTGCAGCTGGAGACGACGAGGAGGACGAGGACGGTTCGGACAGGGAGGACGACCCCATCACTGTCAAGGACCGTCAGTCCCTCATCAATGTCGAGCACCCCTTCGGTCTTCGCATATGGAAACCAGCGCTGTACAAGAAATCCAGGTCCGTCACGCGCGATGCAGATGCCGCCCTTCACTCCGTTCCCTCTGCCCAAGCAGAACGCCATTTCCTGCCCGGAAACATATTTTGGGTTGTGTGCTTCGGTTGGTGGTTGGCAGTTTCGTGTTTTTCCGTCTCTGCTCTTTTGTACTGCGTGCCCAAGGGTGGTAAACGATATTCTAACCTCGTCTTTGGCCTTGGATGGTATGTTGCATGGCCATTCGGCAAGTATGTCGAGGGAGATGGCCACCTGAAATCACCCTCTGAAGACGAAGAAAGTCGTCTGCAACATGACGATGTCGATGGTCCGTCTTTATCCAGAAACTCTACTATTACACCTAGCACTGTGCTTCCTCAACATTCAATTTCTGTGTCTCAAAACTCTGCCACAACCAGCGAGAGTACACCTTTGTTTATTCCATCTGACATTCATTCTTCGACACTCCCTCCTAGAACTTACGGCGCCACTCATTCATCTAGCCAGACAAGATCGTCAGACTCTACAGTTGTGGAGCACGATTCGAGTGATTGGCTAGGCCAGACTGTCTTCTGGGCAGCCTTCGTGCTAATCATTGCACCTCTGATGTTGATAGCATGTGTCGCTTGTTGGGGACTTATCGTCCCTATTCCCATGGCTAAGCTTAATTGGGCTCTCATTCAATACATTTTCGCCGGGCCAACGAAAATCCGTTTCTGTGCAGCTCCCCCAGCCGTTGTCGTATCTGCTCCCGCCGCAAATCCCGTCCAAAACGCTGGCGCGTCTGATAACGAAGCAATTCCTCCCTTATCTAGGTTTTCTGTAAAGCATCCAAGGCTCTCAGAAGGTCAAGTTGCACCTTCTCCTTCTGGTTCGCCAACTTCCACTGTCCTATTGTGTGTATACAAGGCCATTGGGTTGCAGTACTACAAATATACTGTCGGAGGTGTCAATATCATATTCATCAACCTCCTTCCCTTCGTCTTCTTCGTTATCTTTGACGGTTTTGTCCTGCTTCCTTTGGTCGAACGCCATGAAGCCGCTGGAAGACATGTGCCGGCACTCCTTGAATTTCTAGCGTCTCGAGCTCTTATCTTCATCATGAGTTTGGCTAGTGTCATACCCCTGTCCTACTTCATTGGCATGGCGGTCGCTTCTATATCAGCACAATCATCCATCGGTATGGGTGCCGTCATCAACGCCACATTTGGTTCCCTGATCGAAATCATCCTATACTCTATCGCCCTAACGCAAGGTAAAGGACACCTCGTGGAAGGTTCCATCGTTGGCAGCTTGCTGGCAGGTGTGCTTTTGATGCCTGGAATGAGTATGTGTAGTGGCGCCCTCAGAAAGAAGGAACAGAAATTCAATGCTAAGAGTGCCGGAGTGACGAGCATGATGTTGATCATGGCATTCATCGGTACTCTCACTCCGACGCTTTTTTACCAGACTTATGGGAACGTAAGTATTCGTGCTTCCTTTGGCACATGTCAGTCTAACTCCTATGCCATAAATAGTTTCAGCTCGTATGCAGTGGTTGTCCAGGCGGACACCCTGGGAGTTCAGTTACAACGGATCATCCATGGAAATGCGATTATTGTTATTACCAACATCCCGACCCTGTTGAAGATCCCTTTTACCAATCTACTGTCAAGAGTTTGATGTACTTCTGTGCAGCCGTTCTTCTATTCGTGGGTGAAGCTACATGTTTCTACGATCTGAAGCGCTAATCAATGTCTTTAGTCCTACTTGATTGGTCTTTGGTTCTCTCTTCGCACTCATGCTAGCCAAATTTGGCAAAATCCTCAGCAACTATTGCAACCTCTTGAATTGCCAGGTCCAAACCGTCTGCCCGGCTATCAACGCCCTGCCCCGGGCAGCAGTTCTGCTGCGCCCACCATCTACCGTGATACTCGCGGATTACGCCACAAGCCTAGTGTCGTCACCAATGCGGAGAGCGAAAGCCCTTCGCGTTGTCAAACACCCACTCCCAGACCCCCGGAGTCGCCTGCTCACCTCGGAGTTGATTCGAGGGTTGTTTTCGACCGGCGGCCACCTTCTTCTCCTTCGATGACCAGACGGGTCTCTTACGCTCCCCAGGCCACGGGTCACAACTACACCCCGCTTCTTGAAAGCGTTGATCTTGCCATCAAGAACAACGGGCTACAGCCCATGCAGTTCTCCGAAGCTTTGACCACAGATGAATTCACTCGCGCCGTTGCCGTTGCCACCGTCAGCGCGCTCAGACATCAGCAGACGCACGCCCAGTCTCCTGCAAGACTGAGATCTTCGGCTGTGGTCACTGAAGTGGAAAGCCATGGCGCTCACGAAGGACCGGCGTGGAGCAGGACCACTAGTGCTGCTGTGCTGCTCGGATGTACGGCGCTGTACGCTATAATAGCTGGTAAAATCGTCTTGTGCGGTTTTCTGAGAGTCATTTTACTGATTTTTTTCATTCCAGAGCTACTTGTTGATGTCGTAGACGTGGTGCTGCAGGGCTCCGGTATAGATGAGAAGTTCCTTGGAATCACGCTATTTGCTCTCGTTCCCAATACCACAGAGTTCATGAATGCGATATCGTTTGCTATCAATGGAAACATCGCTTTGAGGTATGTACACATGGTGATCTTTACGTTCTGCATCATATGAACTCATGGCCAACAGTATGGAAATCGGATCTGCTTATGCACTTCAAGTATGCTTGCTCCAGATACCCGCCATGGTAGCCTTCTCGGCTTGGTATGCACCTGACAAGATGGGAGAAGTGGCCACCACTTTCACGTAGGATGCCATTCTCTGATGTGTGTGACGGATATTGAACCAGCTCTGTTGCTTCTAGACTCATCTTCCCCCGCTGGGACGTGGTTGTGATAATCTTGTCGGTTTTCTTGATGACCTATACCTATATCGAAGCGAAGAGCAATTACCACCGAGGAAGCATTCTCATACTCAGGTGCGTGATGCATTTCAACACTAAGCCAACTCCAGTATCTGATTTTCGGCCACAGTTACCTTGTACTTGCATCAGGATTCTACTTTGCCCCACAATTGTCATCTGACAGGGAAGAAACGGCCGTCGACTGGAACCAACCCCTATCAGCTGTTACCCAAATGTTCTCTTTTCTGCGATCGTAGTGACCATCATCAGCGATAGTCGGGTTACCCACTATTACTGGAACTTGTTATACATAAGCAAAAATTTAGAACAATCGTGATTCATCTCTTTGAAATACAAATGTATGGATTACACATCATCACATCAATGCATGCTCTGCAACCTTTCCAGTACTCTGTGTATTCTATCCACAGAAATCGTAAGACGTTCGGCTTCTCCTTGCCCATCCATAATGCTCTTCAATGGTCCAGGGTCATTCAGGAATTGCATGAATTTTTCGAGGAAGTCGCCGTCGAGGAAGCCGAACGAGGTAGCTTCTGCATCGCTGCGACCGTAGGCGTTCTTTGGGGCGCGAAACCTTTCATTGCATTGTAAATAAGATTGTGAAACGATGACTATTATCAAAAGACAACCTACTTCGTGTGGGTGACACCCTTCGTTTGCGATAGGTACGTGGACATATTCCGTTGCAAAGCTGTCATATGCAAAGAGAGTTCGTCGCCCATATCCACGATGACGCCAATGCAACCCGTGGATGTGAAGAAGAGCTGCTTAGGTTCGAGTGGCATGTCGACGGATACGTCGTGCGCAGTTAGGGCCCCTGAAATCAGCGTCATGATCAGCTGTTTGAAGCGAATCATACTTGACTACTTGCCTGGGATGAACTTGTTGACCATGTCGCCAATGTAATAACTTCCATCGCGCTCCAGACTTTTACGAAGTTCCGTTTCTTGTAGTGCAAACGTGAAAAGGTTGTAATCGCTCTGAACCAGTGATGAAAATTGCCATATAATGCACATTATGCTATACCACGAGCACTCACATTGGCGCCAATGATACTGCTTTGATCCAGCATCTCTACGCAGACCGGCCATAGAGACCCATAATCCCTGGCAAGACATTGGATCTGAGATTCCACCATTCTCAAAAACGAGATGGAGTTGATGGCATCTCCCACAAGGATTTTGTCTCCGCGACAAACCAGGTTGGTAACGAGGTAGTTATGATTCCATTCCGTGATCTTGTGCAGAGCCAGCAGCTGGGTGCTAGCATCAATCTCGGGGCGGTAGACGACGACCTTCAGATAGTAGCGTTTAGAGGTGCAGATGGGCGGCGACGTCTCATACTCACCGAACTATTGATGGCAGCTATTATCATCCCATTTACGGACCCTACGGCATAGACGCAGCCTCGAACCTCGAGAGAGACTGCCATTGTGATTTTCTCCCGCAATAGACTACCGTCTTCGGCATCAAAGACCAATAGACGACCCTGAGAAGGCTCCACCTCATCCACATATTTGTACGTTCCTGCACAAATATACGTTCCTATGCTGCGCTCCAACGTAACGGATACCACACCGAGTGCTGTTATCTCTTCATTGGGGTCACACCTGAATTGACCCAATCCTACGTTCAGACAACCCGGTTGAGTGGACCGACTCGACAAAACAAGATAGGGTGCTTACTTGCGAATGTTGTATGATCAAAGAGTTGCATAGAGCTTGAAGTATACTCCGCTTTGTCGATTCTGGTGGGCGTGATAGAGATGCAACCCACTGCATACGCTCGTAGAGATGGCACATGCAATATACGACGGGGGTTATCATACCCAAGGGGGATCTACCATATCAAGCATGCCAAGTTAGTCGAGGCAACCCGCCCACCATCTCAGCGTGTCAATGGACGTACAGAACGGATGTAGAGCTTGTCCAGGTTCTTTACGGAACCGATGACAAGCCCTGTGGAGGTGGCCAGAATAACTGAAGAATCAAAAACCGTCGTGTTCAACCTCGACACGGCGCTAACCTCCTGATAACATCTTTTTAGCCCATCGAGTATTGAAATGGCATAGAACGTACATTCAGCATCAACGGTGAATGGTGTAGACGTTCCTTGTCCCAGAACAATATTGACGTTCTGCTTCCGCATGCAAAAACCGTACGTCTGCCTTCAACGTCGCAAGGATGCAGCGTTACAGGAACATTGCCCACGGAAAATATTTTTTGGCCGTGCAGTTCCTCCTTTTTGAATTCGTAAGAAACGACGGACCCGTCCCCCAATCCTACGATGAGGTACTGATTGTACTCGGTTTGTTTCGGAATATCGGAGCGAGTGAAATTGAACAAGAGCAAGGATCGTGGAAGTGATGGTAAGACAGGTGTTTTACAGATTGATGCGAAGTGTGATGCCGCGTTCGCAGAGAGAATTTCTATGTGGTTCGATGACCAGAACGAGACGACGATGTACATGGAGAATTTCTTTGAGGGGTTCAAAGGTACACAAGAAATAGCGGATATCTCAGTCGGATAATTCGATGAACCGTCAAGGTCCCGCCAGCTGTTGATAAAACGATGTCAATCGACGAGTGGGATCATATATTTCCCAGCTTACTTCAAGCAATCGAAGCAATTACGGTCATCCAGATTAAGTAAAACAATCCTTCCACTGTTCAGCGCTAAAACGAACTGGCTGCCATTGGCACTAGCAGCTACAATTTCTCTGTTTTCCCACCCTGGCCCATTTGTGCTAGATAATTTGGCTGGAGTCCAGATATCACCTACGCGAGCGTATTCCCCCAGCTCCACAGCATATTCGAGTAATGCGATGCCCCTTGAAGTTATCTGAACAACAAGCGATGAATCAACATATGAGTTTGTCGCTTGACCCGGAGCCTTCGGACGTCCTAAAACGTTCGCGATGACGAGGGTGGGAGAGGTAGTAATGAACCCCTTTGAGACTGGATTGACATGAGACGCAACATTTCTTCCGTCGAATGAAAGTATGTGTGTAGCCTTGAAGGTCGATACTGCGACGTGAGTATCGACACTAGGGCCATATGAGCGACTTATCACGCTGAGAGTAGCATGTTAAGCTCACGTATCGTAGTAATTGGCTCTGAGAGGCCAGATATTAGTGACATCAACAATGCCTTCCATATTAGCCATAGCCTTGAAGTCGGCACCATTGCGAACGATGCTAATGGATCCAGTGTTTTGCCCTCCGGAGCAAGTGACGACGGCATGCTACGCCGGTATGAGTACTGTGGTGTATTTTGAACAGGGAGAAGAGGCTCACTTGTCCGCTGTTGTCCACATCTACTAATGCAGCATCTATGATGGGAGCAATATTTTTGTAACTCTCGATCACGCTCAAAAAGCTACCGCGACCGTTGATGATGCATCCTCCACTCCGATCGGAACTTTCCTCCATCTTTCCTTTGGCTGCCAACGACGATGAAGTTGTGGTATTGATGTCAGACGGGACCGGCAGCGTGGGGGATTCCAGGCTTTGAACAGGCGTCGTATTGATTCGGAGCAGCTGAGAGTCACCGAAATGAGAGCCGACGTATAAAACTTGACTTGTTAGATAAGTCAGAGTTGTAGCTGAAGATGTCTGCAAGGTATTGAGTATGCAAATCAAAACGAAGGAAGATCTGGGATCACCTCGCCAAGAGCAACTAGAGTAAGTGTCGTCCCTTCGTTAATACCGATGGATAGCATGGCGAGTCTCCCATACTTGTCGCCGATCAAAAATGATCGACCCAGTTCATCACCAACGGCACACCAGCTGAAAGCAGTGTGAGTAGTTATAAGACCACAATAAATCATGACCATGGGCTTACGCAGTTATTTCGCTCCATGGCCAGTCCACGCTTGCTCTAGCCTTTTTTTTTCTCCACTCCCTTTCATCTTCTTTCTGCTTAGCTTTAGCTAGCTCCTTTACTGTTGAATCCTTCCCCTTGTCCATCCTTCGCTGTTTCTGCTTCCTGTTCCCTTGAGACTCTCTCGATGATGTATCATAAAACAAGATCTTTGTGCCCCCGATGACAAGCATACCTCCAATGAAGTCCTCGTCGTCGTCTATGAATGGTGGAATGTAAACCAAAGAAGGCGGCTTATCACCTATCGGGAAAGATTTTGCAGATAAAGGAGTACTGGGAAGGGCAGGCGAGGGCGTCGGAGAAAGCTGATATTCATCCAAGCTGATATCACGAGACAAGAGCTGCAAACGTTTTAGATGGTCGATATGCATGATGGCCAATGTGTAAAGATCAGGTTCTGAGGAAATGAACTCTAGGGCCAACAAATTCAACTCAGCTATTCTATGATGTTAGTTTGAGTGAAAACGTGCAGCGGTGATATTGATTGAGATACACACGATACGTCAAAGTCCGTGTCATAAGTCCCTTCTGGAGTTATAAGCACGATTTTGAGCTTTCCAGTATAAGGGCTGACCACGGCCAGTCGTCCTGTAGGGTCGACCAGCACATTGTTGAAGAACTCGGCAAAACGAGCGCCCCGCTCGAGAAGAGACAGATGTTTCGTGTAAATGAGATCTAAGCCCCCGGATTGAGACGCTTGATAAGATAGGAATATGAGCTCAGGATCTGGATGGTCTGTCAGTACAAGGATGGTCATGCATTGCTTGTTCTATGGGAGGGGTATGGTGTCAAAGGGAACTGGCGAGATGAGAGGAGAGGCTTTACCTCTGATGGTACAGCTTTTATAGCGCCTACTCTGCCCCAAACCTCGAATCTACACTCATGCCTTAGGCCATCTGGCTGAACAGACGAGATGTGTATTCGATTGAGATTTGCGACGACCAGATAGTCGGTGTCGGTCTTTCCTGTCAGGTGGCATCGCAGCGAGTCGAGAACGGACGATGAAGGATGGAATGTGTTCACGACCTTCATGGCGATAAGACAAGAGCGAACTTATAGCGAGGCTTATAGGCAAGCCACTGAGGGGTTTCCTGAGAACAGCACCGATGCAACGGCCCGGTAGCCGTCATGAATACCAGCAACTAGTCCTACAAGTCTTTCTTAACCAGCAACTAGTTCTACAAGTCTTTCTTAACCAGCAACTAGTCCTACAAGTCTTTCTTAACCAGCAACTAGTCCTACAAGTCTTTCTTAACCAGCAACTAGTCCTACAAGTCTTTCTTAACCAGCTACCATAGTTCCATCATCGTGCATAACTATGTCTTGCGAATCATCTACATAGCCTGTCTGTTGTCCAAGCACGAATTTATCTAACAGTGTCGGACCCGTCCCTCCTTCATCTTTTTCTGCCTTCGGTTTGCGCTTTGGAGGAGCATCTGTCCTTGCATATGCTAGTATCTCTGTATGAACGAACAACATCCATGCCATAAAACGACAGTCTATCCAACAATGCGTGGCGTCTTACCCTCAAGAAAGAGAAACTCGTCTGCTCTTCGCACCACGTTTGCTTGACACTCCATAAGATACCTGAGGAGGAATTAGGTTTGAAATAATAACATACCAATGTCCTTCTGTTGTACCGTCGTTCGTTTCTCCCTCTCCGCCGACTTCTGGCCGGCGTCAGCCAACCGCTTTATAAACTCTTCCGTCGCAAGTGAAATCAAGAACGTAGCGTCTTTGGCCATCATCGGCAGATCCTGCATTTGCATGTCAGTCTGTTTTTGAAAAAGGTACTCGAAACTACAGAGCGAAAGAACTCGCCTTGTCAGCCTTGATAATCCTTTGTACCCTTGAGAAGGGTAAGATGGATTTCCCCGCTTCCCTTTCTCGCGCAGATTCCTTCTTTTCTCTCTTCTTCTTATCCTGATCCTGCTTTCCGTCAGCCTGCACCGATTGCGATATGATGAACGCCCTGAATCGAACGCACCAAAGGAGCATCCAATAAGTGTGGTGCTATAGTCGTGAACTCCATGGTAATGGCAAGACGTGAGATGTATAGCACTATAAAAACACGTTCAGCACGCGTCAATGACCAGATCTACGCGTCGAATCAAGTCATGGTCTGCAAACAGACGGCTGATTCGACATTCAAAGTCACAATCGGGTTGTTGAACAAACTGTGACAAAGTCTGGCAGACCACGCTAACACGTGCCGGCAAGCGACGTGATTCTCTAAAATAACATACGACTTCAGAGCTGCCGGCCCAAGATTCATGGCGACCCCCACTCATGTCCTCAACTCAACGCTGGTACAAGTATTAAACGAGCACTACAGTATTAAGATCTATACAAGCGAAGAAAACCAAATGAACCAAATGATAATGTTGTCATAGATAGTCGTTCCCTGAAACCAAGCTCATCACAAACGCGCCCGTATCTTTGCGGCGAGAGCATCCCCATCGTCATCGTCCAACTCTGACCGCGACTCGAACTCTCGCTGATGCATGTCCTTACAGGCAAAGAGCCCCGTGGACAGGGTTTTCTCCACATGTTCAACCCCTTTACCACCGTTTGAGCTCTGGCCAAAAGTCGGGGCTGGTATGATATGATAATGCACCTGTTACAGATGGGAAGGGACATGGGTAAGGTCAAGGGGCTTTCGGTCACGTTTAACGTACATGAGGCACGGCTTGAGCGTATTCTTGGTTGCAAACTACATTGAGGGCAGTGTTATCCAGGGCTTGTCGTGATGGCTGGTGAGCTCTAGGCACTGAGAATTAAAATACGACTGAATCTCACCTTGTGTAAGGGCATGTGCGACTTTGGAAACCGCTTGTCCGACGGCCGCTGCAAAGTCTGGAGGCAAGTCCGAGAGTCTAGGGCAATGAATCTTTGGAATGACAAGTGTATGTCCCGGCCGTAAGGGTAATATGTCTGTTCATCAGGAACAATGAGAGACCTGGTTGGAACTTGAAGGATGCGGTAGCGGGAACATGTTCACCTAGAATTGCTACGACTTTGTCATCTTCGTATACTCGGTGTGCAGATGAGCTCCCTTGAATGATATAGCAAAATGGACAATGGGAAGTATCTCTCCAGTCAGGCGTGACTTGTCGATTTACATGAGCATTGATGATGAAAGATGTCATTCCTCTCTGGTTGGACTGGAAGTAGTCAGCAGCATGCTACCCTAGCTAATTCTAGCAACATACATGACTGATTTTCTCACTTCCGTAAATGCACCCTCCTCCCGATTCCGCGGTGTTTGAGCGCATCCGCTGAGCAAACCAGGAAACATGCAAAGTAACTAGTGCTCTCTCTATGTGGTCTATCATGATGGATATATAGGATAATACGACAGTAATTCATCTGCTTCCTAGAATGCTACGCAGATATACCATAAATCCTCCTGCGATAGCACTAGTCGTGATGAATAAAAGCTCTCGACCGCTGACCACATTTGGTGGATGTGCAGGGGTGGCCAGAGCTTCCAGTGCTAATGCATTCTCTTCTGTGTTTGCAGAACGCGCCCGTTCTTCTACCGCCTTCTTCTGCGATGCATCCATCATTCTCGTGAAGAGTTTTTCCTGCCCCACAAACCGATCGGCCAAATGCTGCATCGCGCCATTCAGCATCGTCGCATTCTCCTCGTTCATCTCCTCAATCTTCTTCTCAAACGTCTGCGCCAATCTGCGCCTCTTCCACGGCTCCACCACCGCAATCGCCAGCAAGAACACCGCCAAGTTGAGGCCCAAGACGGCCAACGAGCCATACGTCGACGCGCTCCTGATCTTGTCCGACCAGACCTGTTCCTCGTGGTACCGCGCCAGGATGGACCTCATCAGCTCGCTAAACTCCCGCTCGACGGCATCTTCCGTCTCCTCGACCCTGGCTTTCGCCCGAGCCTCGTCCTGCTCGTATAGGTGATCCTGTCGAACGAGAGAGGTGAACCGGCTGACGTCGCCATCGCTCCAGTTCGATTTGCGCTGCAATAAATCGTTCACCTCGCGCTGGGACACGGAGCGCTGCGCTGCGGCATCGTCATACGCCGTCTTCGCCTCCCTCGAGGCCTGCCTGGTAGCCTTTATCTTAGCCTCTTGGAAAACATGTTATGGTTGCGCATTCTGAAAGTGAGGATGGGCGAGAGGAGCGTACCTTGGTTCACGACTTGCCTCTTCAGCGCTTCAATCTCCTCGTACCCCGTTACATGATTGAGCTGACTCCCCAATCGAGAGAACGTGACCGACGTTCTTGATGTCACCTCGTCGGTGCGTCTCCTGACAGCTATAGCCGTAGACTCGGACCACCTTCGAACATGGTCCTTGAGAGAATGCAGGGCATACGGGCTGGAGTTCGTTTGGGATGGTCCGGATGGGTCTGTGAGAGGCGAAACGTCCGGTGATGATTGGGGTGGCTCCTGGACGTTATCCGCAGGTTTGACGGATGGCTTGGAGAGGTCTGTGATAGATCTTGAATAAGGACTAGAAAAAGAATGAATCGTCGCTGGCAACCTGGCTGCTCTCCTCAGCATTACTGTGACTGAAGAGATTCGGAGAGAACGACACGGAGTTTCCCGGTACCATGCATTATGGCAATTCGCTGCTACTGTACTGCAACATCGCAACATCTTGGATTAGACTCCTTAGCGAACATCTCCATCACTCAAATAACTCAGTGAAACAGTTCACATGGATGATGATGTCGAAAGCGACGTCTATTCCCATTGTATTCAGTGAAATACGTGTTACTAATGCATGCGGTCCACGATCGCAGCTGAAAAAATTAAGTAAATAATGCCTCCGTACTACCGCCATTGAGCGGCCATATAATGATGATGGACGCTTGGAGAAAATCAAGGGAAAGAAGTGAGGAGAGTAGGGATATCTACAGCGATTAAAACCACGGATAACATGACTGGTCGTTCAACTCCACACATCCAACATGAGACGTGAACGTTCCTTCAACAATTTCATCTCCGCTGCGCCCTCCACTTCGGCGCTACCACCCTTCGCCTCACCAAGAATTCTGCTCAAGACTTCTTCTACAGCTTTGCTCATGGCTTTGGCGTCACCACAGATGTAGACATAACCTTTGCCATTCAAGATAGCTTCAGCAATGTTCTCTCGGTCTTGCCAGATCAAGTCTTGCACGTAGATCTTGCTTCCGTCAGGCTTGTAAGGAGGCTCGCGCGAGAATGCGCAGTGCATGGTGAACTTGCCACGTAGCTCCTCAGTGTATGTTGGCCATTCATCCTTGTACAAGAAATCCTCGGTAGATTTGCGGCAGCCATAGAACAGCGAGATTTTCCCCCAGTCTGCGAGAGCCTCTGGTCCATTCTTGTCCAAGGTTCGGCGAGCAAGAGCAACACGTTCTTGGACAAAGCCACGGAAAGGTGCGACACCCTTAAACGTTGATGAGCCAACTTCATATGGAAAAGAAGAAAAGACATATACTCACAGTACCAGGTCCAACCATGATGACAGGACTTTTCGGGTTTGTAGGAAGTCTGAAAGTCGAACGACGGACGTGGATAGGAATCTTGTAGATCGTCTCCTGCTTGTGAGCTCCTCTAGGGCCTTGAATAGCATATGACGGCATCGAAACAGTTGCGGGATCCGTATTGCTGGTGCCACTCATTAAAGGTGCTGCTTCACCATTGGCAGCAAATTTCACGTTCAGTATGAAATTGGTTCCAACACCATACACCCATCTCGCTTGTGTGGCTTTGTTGGTGGCTGATTGGTACTTGAGAACCACAGCGGTGACGTGAATAGAAGTAGGGTGAAGCTTGGGGCTGGAAGAGATAGAGTAATAACGAGGTTGTAACCGAGGAATGGACGAAACGATGATGTCGAATGGAATGGGCCAAGGAGTTGTGTTGTCCTTAGTGGGAGGAACACGTATGTCATTAGCAGCCGCAATTTGAAGAATTTCTCCCAACTTGAAACATCCTTGTCCAATAACCGCAGCATATTCTTCCTTGTCAACATTGAGGTTCTTCAAAAATGCTTCAGCCTCGGGCGAAGGTGCAAATTTGGACATGGCTCCGAGAATTTGACGACCAACTACGGCACTGATATCTATGTAGTGACGGAGAACAGTGGCATACGTTGTAGGCACAGGGAAGGGAACCTTGGCAAGAGCGGGATCCAATGACTCAATACCGATGACAGAGTCCTTCTTGTCGTAAAGTCCGAGAACACAGAGAAGACGGTCGACTTCAGCATCGGGATTTGATGGCCACACTCCAACGTGGTCTCCATGTTGGTATGTAATTCCTGAACCCTCGATGTCAAGCTCAACGTGAATACAGTTACGGTCACCAGTCAACTGGAACAGCTCGCGAGAGTTTCGGACGGGAGATGCGTATGGGTTCTTAGCATCATGAATACCTTTAGTCTTCGTAAGAGCACGTGCAGAAAGTTCACCTAAGCGACTAAATGAACAAAACACGACATAACCTTGGTGCATGTTGGCACTTACCAAGGTAGACTTTCTCCTGTGGGTGAGAATCGAGCTCAGTGACAGTGAAGTCAGCGGTATCACCACCCTGTCCTTCTTCGACATTCATGGCGGTAGCAAAAGCCTCCCACATAGCATCCTTCCATTCGAGGTAGTCCTCTTCCATACTCTTGTCATCATCTCCCTCCCCTCTTTCGCCGATTCTGACCGCTCCCATCTTAGTGAGCTCAGCGTCGTAACTGCGACCAATGGCGTTGTAGTGTTCATAAGTTTTGTTGCCCAATGAAAAAATGACATATTTGAGACCAGGAAGCTTGTGTTCACCATTGCCGAACGTAAAGGAATCGTCGGTCAAATTCTGTGTAAGTTGTACAGCATTATCCGTAGGTTCACCCTCGCCATACGTGGCAACGACAAAAAAGACAGCGCAATCCTCGGGGACTTCGTCAAGGTTCTCAAAGTCGTATTCTTCGGGGTCACAGACCAGTGAAGTAATGCCGAATTTCGTCTTTGCTTCCTTGGCAAGACGAATAGCGTATTCCTCAGCTGTGCCTGTTTGTGACCCGTAGAAAATGACCAGTCGTTTTTTCTGCATGCAGGTGAGCACAAATAATAATATAGAAGTGAAAAATAGGCTCACGCCATCCTTCATTTTCGCAACGAAATCCCTAGGATTACCAGAACCATTTTCGGATTTCGAAGGAGCAGTAGTTACGATTTTTGGCTTTGATGGGGCAAAAATTTGATCTCGAAAGAGATATGCAGCAGCAAGGGTTACACCCAGGGCAAGAATGACAACGTCTGACGAGGACGCGACGGCCATGGCAGAGGAAGAAATAGATATGCCCCAAAAAGCGGCAGGTGAAGGAAGGAGATGGGAGGAAAGAGCAAAGGGCGTTAAACGCTCAAGAAGAGAACGGGGGAGACAGAAAACCGGCGAAAGCGACGTGGCTATTCAAGTGTCCCACGCTCAAAAACCAATTTATTTCGGTTTGATATCTGATATCTGGCCTACCGTCGGGTTGAATTATGTAATCTCCATTTCCTCCATGGGGGGCTTTGCGGCCGCAGCCACTGCCTTGATCTGCACATTTGGTAACATATGCTGACACTGCCTGACTCCATCCCGAACTCTTGCAGGCAGGCGCTTTATCCCCTCGTAACCCATAGTCATCGTTGCAGTCAATGTCGTGTGTCAGGCCTGTGCCTTTGGCACCGATACCGCTCCGGTGAGTGACAGCAGTGCATATCATACTAATTGAGCTTGGTGTACGAGTGTAGCAGCACGAAGTATACCTTGAGATCGTGGGCTGCTCTTGACTATAAGGTGACTGTGCTCTGCGGCGGTATGCACTCCTTTCCGGCCCGCTGCTGATCATTGAAACGTTGAAGTGCTCTTCCAATCCCCCCGCATCGAACGCAATGCTTCAGTCGTGGTTCCATTGACTGGATACATCTCTCGACAGAATCTCCCGTGGCACTGTAAGCATCGATAGATTATTGTCCAAATCAGTCTAGTAACTAACACTGGCCGTGACTCGCGGAGCGGTAATATCGATATAGCGGAGTGGCACTACAGCCGGTACCATATCTACAATCTAATGAGAATGGCTATAGTAGGGCTGTTATGGATGGCAGTTATAATGATATCTTGAAATGCGCACTGTATCGTCGATCCACAGCGTGAATGTGGTGTTTCCCCATGGAAACACTTTTAAGGAGCTGAAGCCCAAGGATAAAGGACTCTGCATTCCTTAATTGCATGCTTGAACAACCTAAACTATTACCAGAGTGAATATTCTTTTGTCTCGATTACTTTTGCTGTCGAAGTGGGTTGGAATCATAGAACCAGAGTATCTAGACACTTGCACAAGCTATTGGGGATGTTCTTTTTAAGCACTAGCAGACTTACTAGTATGTACTTAGATTCAGAAGTGCCGCGGCGCCGCGGCGAAACTTCATGATTCCGGATAGACCATATTTGGAAGGGACCTCTTTATCTTTCAGTGCAAAAAAAAAAAAAGAGAATCGTCGCTGGTTGGATTCATTCGACGAGAATGATGATAGACACACCTTGGGATGATAATGCCAACGCCAACATTGTGCGAGAGACGGAGTGGTCCAACATCTCCAACGAGTTTACAAATGTAGGCCGTTTAGGCATCCCATTCTATACTGTACAGTGATCGCGATGCTACTTTTGATAGGCTGGTTATCGTGAAGGGATCGTAGCAGGAAAGGAGTCTACATTGCAAGAAGGTTTTGATGCAGGCTTTGCCAGCGTCGGGGTCCCCCTTGGACGTAAACTTGGCAATCTGCGTGGCGTTATCTCTGCAGTACTCTCGGTTCTCGGTTCCCAACCAGACAGTCAACCATCTGCCGATTTACTCATTGAGGCTCGCGAGATCGCTGCTGCACTGGCCAATATTCGCTTCTCCGATATCGCACCTCCTGACCTGGAAGCCGAACAGCATGCCCGAGAACACCTCGATAAAGATGACCTGCCATTGGGTGCTGGTGAAGAATCAGAACAAAAGAGAAAGCTTGAGAGCTTGGAGGACATGATGCAGAATATGGGGGCGGGTAATCCGAAAGACAGACCTACGGCAGCAGATGTCACAAGATTGGAGGCGAGACTAGACAGTTTGGGATCAAAACTCGGTTTGCATGATGCATAGCGCCGATTTGCCTTGATAGTTGAGGGATTACCTATGTATGTGCAGCGAAGTTGTTGTTGTACTGGTTGTGGTATAGAAATGATATATTGTAGACCTGCTACTATAGATTGGCAACAAAAAACTTGGAAGTGAGCTGTGAGGTTGCAACTCATGGATTAGGGTTAGGGGCAATGACACGTAGCCAGTTCTACATGCCTAATACGCCGCAAACCTGAGTATACACAACATCTACTTACTACGCACGAAGGACTCCTCTACCAGTCATGACTGTTCTGAGGTTCGTGATTTCCGTTATCATCATAATATTTGAGTAATCGGAATGGGTCAGGCTAGCCTCATGTGTCATTGGTGTTTATGCCATGTTTCTGGTGAGCCAGGTTGCTTACGCTCACTATATATTGTGCTTAATATATATTTCAGTTATGGGCCATCGCACAAGAACGACGTACGTGTTATATGTCACAAGTCTTTGAAGATGACCCACTGAATTAATAATCGCAGTTTCTGTACCGTTCGACACCATTGATGGCACGAGTTCGGACAAGTTTAAATCGGCACTTTTCTTAGGAATCTGCCAGAGCACTTTGAGTTCCATATCCGCACTGCTATACATCTTCTTTCGCCGAAAGTCTGGTGAATCCATCTACACGCTCCTTGGACTTGTTCCCCGTCCATCCCCAAAAAGTTCATCGAAAACTAACGGTTCCTCCAACACCAAGGTATACAAAAACGGACACTCTCAAGCACAAGCACCCAAGGAAGAAAAAGACTCCAAGCAAGGCGGCGATTCTTCTTGGCGGTCACAGCTCCTCCTTCGATACCTCCAATGCTCCGTTTTCATCACGTGTGCGGCGCCCTTCGGTTTTGCTGCTCTATCCTACATCACTTATCCAGCCATGGTCCTCGGCAAATCTTGTAAACTTGTACCAGTCATGCTTATGAACATCGTCCTTTACCGTCGACGCTTCTCTCCGCATAAATACCTTGTAGTCGCAATGGTCACCGTCGGAATAACGGTCTTCATGGGCCTGGGTAGCGAGAAGCCCTCTAAAAGCACACACAAGTCCACGGGACAGGGCGAGCTAACTCCATATGCAAATGCGATTGGTATAGGCTACTTACTCATCAACCTTGCGTTGGACGGCGCCGTTAATTCCACTCAGGACGAGGTTTTTTCGCGGTACAAAGTCACTGGGCAGCAGATGATGTTCTGGATCAATCTTTTCTGCACCCTCCTAAGCATCTGCTTAGCTGCATTACCCCTTCCCTATATACCCGTCCTTCACCCTACCGCCGGCGGTCAATCAGAGTTTATGGCTGCTTTATCGTTTATCAGGTCACATCCGTCGGTGGTTCTACCTCTAGCCCAGTTTTCTCTCACAGGTGCATTGGGTCAACTGTTTATCTTTGAAACTTTGCAACACTTTGGCTCGTTGACGCTGGTGTAAGTTTAAACAATAGCCTCTGCTTAATCTGGTCTGATCTGATTGACATTCACAGGACAATTACGTTAACACGAAAGATGTTCACTATGCTTCTTTCTGTTGCCGTTTATAATCATAAACTCACACCTGGCCAATGGCTTGGCACGGCCATAGTCTTTGCGGGAATATCTGTGGAGGCTTTCGTGAAACGCAAAGGTTCGTGATTATCTAACATACGAGATGCCAGCTTTCTTAACAGTGCAAGTAGATGTTCACATTAAAAAGGTTACTCAAGAGAAAGAAAAGGCGAAAATCAAATCACTGTAGACTTCAATGTATATCCATAATCTTATCATACCCAGGAATGCAACAGAACAAAGCTAAATAGCAGGTACAAGGAAGAACGCACGGATCAAGAAATTAAAAGTTAATACGTTGCCACAGTCAGGAGAGATGGACCTCACAACCTCATTACGACTCCATTGCATCCATTGCACTTACATCGAACGACTCATCCCGCATTAATACCCGTTTTCGATCGTCCTCCCTGTAAATCATACATGCTTAGACTATAAATTAACTATACAGCATAGAGTGAATGTTTACCGATCATTGTCTTCCTCGTCTTCATCAGATCGTTTCCTTCTCGATATCACTCGCTGGTTGTTTGGGAAGTTAGCAAGAGCAAGATTTGCCCTGTATATGGATTCGTATTCCTATCATGTGATGTCAATCGAGACCTCGATGTGATTCAAAAGTGGCTCACTTTTATTTGTGTCAAAAATCCGCCATTTGGAGATATGCAATACCGTCTGTTTTGTACTAGGTGCAATGCGTCCTCCCATGATAGGTGATAATGTTGCATCACGAACATCACGACAAACGCGGGAGATAGGCTGATTCCACCTAGAATTATGATTGGTGCGATGGTATCGTACTGGTATCGTGCCTGCACCGTATGTCACTTACCGTTACAGTGTACGAGAACTCTGCCATTCTGACTCAGTGCTTCTTGAATAAATGCATTCGCTCTGTCAAATCCGGGTCTCCGCGTGAGCTAATCTTGCAGCAGGATGAACCCAAAATTAAAGAGTTACTGGGGGAATAGACGGATAAGGTTCTGCTCTTCGTTATCTTCAACGTCAAGCACCAGATAACGAAAGATGTCAGGAAAACGAGGTTTCACCGAAAACGCCTCTTTCACGTCGCGTATGCAGACACTATACAAATACCTCAAACCGTGAGTGATCTGGGTATGGCCTAGAGAAGTACACATTCACATATGGGTTACTCTCAGCGAATTTAGAAGCTCCAGAGACTTGGATGCTTGAAAAGGGCCCAGTAGTAGCCCAGGCAGGATTTCTTGACATTCGCGTCTCATTTCATATCTAATTGCTAAAAGAATGAGAAAAGTCCATGGATATGGGGTTTGCTAGGATACTCACCTCCATTCGACATCACCTGGTCCTTGAATCAGACTTCTAAGTTCATCTTCGCTGGGCATTGGATGCATTATGAGTAGTATTGTACAATTTTTGCCAGTGCGGCATATGTCACGGTGACCAGAAACCAGGGGGATGCCGCCACGCAGATCGGAGTTTGATACACAACCAACTACTGACAAATCACAGCCCAAGGTCAAGTTGCGAAACTGGAAGATCCGAGAGAACTGGGTGAAGATTAATATTGCAGCTCTCTTCAACTGGTACGTTTTGGTTACTGTTAGGAAAGTATATCAAGAAAATTCAAAGGCGATTCACTATATTTTCAAATTCTCAGGCTCAAGCTTTATACAAGGGTGTATCACGATTATATCTGCATTCATTGTCTGCGATGGAACCTGATGATGATGAAATACCGTATGTTTCTGGTGCCCTCCCCATTTTTGATGGTACAATGACTAGGCGATGAAATATAGCGTTCTCGTGGAACACTCGGAACAGGTAGATTCGACCGTGGCACATCGAGTGCCATTGACAATTATCTGCGGCTTTCTTGGTGCAGGAAAGTCTACGCTACTAAAGTTAGTAATTCCAATCCACCCCCTCCGAGTGATGCTGACGGTTTCAGTATTCAGGAGAATATTGACAGAGCGACATGGCTATCGAATAGCGGTCATTATGAATGAATTTGGCGATACCGCAGTGAGTTTTAAGTCATCATCTCTCCATGCACGACAAATTTCACACTATACGTAGGATATCGAAGGTTCGTCGTTTGATCGATCTGATACGTGCCATCATCGGATTGACAGCATGCGGTGCATTTAGCAAAACGAATCAACGTTTCTTCTGCTGATGATCCCACCGCCGAGAACTCCGAGGAATTTCTAGAGCTGGCAAACGGCTGTTTATGCTGTAGCGTGAAAGATGCTGGTGTGGCAGCCATTGAAAAGTTGATGGAACGCAAAGGTGGATTTGATCATATTTTACTAGAGACCACCGGCCTTGCAGATCCAGGTAAGTTACAACGGGTTATACCTTTCAAACATGTGATGGAGGAAATGCTCTTTTATTTTTATCAGGCCCCATTGCGTCTATGTTCTGGCAGAATGAAGATTTTACTTCTGGTTTGGGTCGGGACATCTGTCTCGATGGAGTGCTATGTGTTGTGGATGCCGTCTTTGGTCGTCAGGTAAGGTGGATGTGGCCTTTCTGTACTAGAGGCTGAATGTTCTTGTTAGCAAATGGAAGAAGATCATACAGTTGATGGTGTTGGCGAAAGCCTCAGGTAATGTCGCTCATGGTAATACATTGTGGGCACGCGTGTCTGACTTCATTGAACAGGCAGATTGCTTGCGCCGACGTTGTTCTTTTGAACAAAGTGGATCTAACTTCTGAAACAGAAGTCAACGAAGTCGAGGACCTTATTCACAAGGTCAATCCGTCCGTGCCCATTCATAGGACTGTCAAAGGAGAAATTGATCTGGCACACATAATGAATATCAACGCGTACACTGCGGGTTCTGCATCCTCTAAGCGCGGCAACTTTATTCACGAACACGCGCAATGTGGCGATAGTCACGACAGTCACGACAGTCACGACACCGACCATTCTAACACACACTATCAACTGCGGGGGATATCCAGTCTGCAAATCTCATGCCCAGTGTTTACCCCACTGTTATTAGAGAAGTTTGACGAATGGATCCGAACTATTCTCTGGGAAAATCGCCTCATGGGGGACGATACAGGACGCGAAATCAAGATAATGAGATGCAAGGGTTTATTTATCATGGAGTCCGGTGAACAATACATGTTGCAAGGGGTCCAAAACTTGTACGATATAACAAAAGTTGATGAAGAGATCACTGGTATACCAGATTCAGGAAAGTTGGTGTTAATTGGTAAAGGGTTGGACTCGTTATTGCAGCAAAGTTTGCAGAACGTATTTCATGCACAAATATCTTGATTATTGTTTTGGTGTCATATTTTGTCTGTATGAAAGTTAGTATCGCAATCTAACAGAACTCCAAAAAAAGTGTTGTATACCGTGTATAACCCTAACCTTATGGTCCAAACTGATTTGGATCCCGGGCCCTTGAAACTCTTTTTGACTCGTATCGAGATGGTGGATTTCGGATCCGGCCTCACAGTAGCAATAGTACTGAAATTTATGTTCTTTGGCCTACACCAGACTTGCGCGATTGCGATTCTTTCAACGTCATGGAATACCCAGATCCAGCCAACATTCGCATCGTCACCACACTTGGGCATGTTGACCATGGAAAGACGACCTTGATGGATGCACTTCTCGCTGCAAATAACATCATATCTTCCAGAATGGCTGGTAAATTGAGATATCTCGACAGTCGAGAAGATGAACAGGAACGAGGAATCACTATGGAAAGTAGTGCCGTCTCCTTAAAATTCCAGGTTATGGAGAAAGCGGTGGATGGAGGTACGCATATAACTTCGCGATCGTACCAGGTTATGTGACAAATCAATCCAGGAAGTTCTCCCAAGACATATGTCGTCAATTTTATTGATACACCTGGGCATGTAGACTTCTCTAGTGAAGTATCTACCGCATCTCGTCTGTGTGATGGTGCTCTGGTTCTCGTGGATGTCGTCGAAGGCGTCTGCACTCAGGTACTTCATTTTCATCCAAGGCCATGCTCTATTGGTTAACTTGCATCAGACCATTGCTGTTCTTCGACAAGCGTGGCAGGATAATCTTCGTCCAGTTCTCGTCATCAATAAATTCGACAGGTTGATTACTGAACTGAAACTGGCTCCCGTGGAAGCTTATCATCATCTCTCGCGATTGATTGAGCAGGTCAATGCCGTTATGGGTGGATTTTTCGCTAGCGAACGGATGGAAGACGATTTAAGGTGGAGAGAAGGGCGAGATCGCCGAATGGCTGCGAAGAAGGATCAGTATGCAGACGAAATTGAGGCCGCAACGAATGAAACCGATGATTTCAAAGAGAAAGACGACGAAGACCTGTACTTTGCGCCCGAGAGAGGGAACGTTGTATTCGCTTCTGCCGCAGATGGCTGGGGATTTCGCGTGGGGAAGTTCGCCCAGCTTTTCGCGGCGAAACTGGGAATCAAGGAGGCTATTCTACGCAGGGTGCTTTGGGGTGACTTTTTCTTAGACCCAAAGACGAAAAAAGTGATTAGTTACAAGCATTTGCGCGGTCGTGCCTTGAAGCCGTTGTTTGTCCAATTTGTATTGGAAAATATCTGGGCTGTATACGATGCAGTTGTCATTAATCCGTTCGTTTTATCATCACAATTCTGTGGTTTACCCAACTCTGACAATTATCCCTAGGAATACAGAGAAGGTTTCAAAAATAGTGACTGCCCTCAACTTGAAAATAGCCCCTCGAGATTTGAAGTCTAAGGACAGCCGAAACCTTTTGTCGCTGATTTTTTCCCAATGGTTGTCCTTGTCCACTTGCATTATCCAAACTGTCATCGACATTGTTCCGCCTCCTCTAGTTGCACAATCCATACGTTTACCCAGATTACTTTACCCCGACATATACGAAGAGACCGTCATACCCAAGGACAAGCTCGAAAGCGATCTTTTCAATTCTAAGTTAGATGATGACGCATACGTGGTAGCCTATGTTAGCAAAATGTTCGTAGTGTCTGGAACAGAACTACCGGAGAACAAAAAACGGTCCTTGACAGCAGAAGAGCTGCGTAATAGAGCGAGGGAAGCAAAAGAAAATCGTGAAAACGCCGCGTCCGAGGCAGCTGTATCCGATACTCCTCCACCCAGCGCAGGATCACACCCCGTACATGAACCTTCGCAAGTAGACCCGACCACAGCATCCGAAGCAATACTCGGGTTTGCCCGTCTCTACTCAGGTGTACTTCGACTTGGTTCAACAATATACTGTGTATTGCCCAAGTTCAACTCTTCTTTACCACCCACGCATCCCAGCAATGTTAATCATATCACCACGGCTACAGTTGAAGGTCTGTATGTTATGATGGGACGTGAATTGATACCTGTGGAGAAAGTCAGAGCGGGAAGCACATTTGCTATCAGAGGCTTAGCAGGTAAAGTCTGGAGGAATGGCACACTTTGTGGGCCTGGTGGATCCATTGTCGTCAAAGAACAAGAGCCAGCACATGCTGAGTGTTTAATCAACTTGGGGGGAGCCAGTCGCATGGTAGGTTCTCTTGCTGTTTCAACTATGGCTTAATCCTGATAGTATAATTCTCTAGACGCCCCCTATAGTCAGGGTTGCGTTGGAACCTACATATCCAGCCGATATGCCTAAACTAATCGCTGGCCTAAAACTACTGAGCCAAGCCGACCCATGCGTCGAAACATTTCAGCAACAAACAGGGGAGCATGTGATTCTTACGGCTGGTGAGTTACACCTCGAGGTAAGCATTAAATCCAACAGCGGTGGCTTGTCAAAATGGTTAACTTGGGGGCTTTTTCAGAGGTGTCTGAAAGATTTAAGAGAGAGATTTGCTCGGGTTGAGATACAAGCTTCCCAACCCATCGTGCCTTTTCGTGAAACTGCTGTTAAGGCATCAGGTTTGCCTCATTCCTGTTTATTAGAGCGTTCATTCAACTTATACTGAAGTTAGATATGGCACCACCTAAAACCGTTGGTGCTGTTCGTGGCACTATGAAAGGTGCCAGTTCCCAAAATTTGATCACGTTCACTATCCGCGCCCTTCCTTTACCGGCCGACATACTGCAGTTTCTTCTGCAGAACCTTGCAATTTTGAAATCGCTGCAACAGATGGCAGAGTTGAAGGAAGGATTAGATATTGACGGAGACGACTACGATGAGGTTGGAGATGTTGGCATTCAAGGTGACATCCTTCAAAAACCGACCGTCAAGCCGAGTGAATTTTGGACGGTCTTAGAGGAGAAGTGCAAGGAGGCCGGAGGGGAATGGGCCAATATTGTTGATAAGATATGGGCCTTTGGCCCGCAAGGAGCTGGGGGGTGCGTCCTCGTTGACGCACGAAAGGATAGCGCCTCTGTGTCGTAAGTCAATATTTACTTGTTCCAGTGATTACAACGTCACTGACCCCATCGATAGGCTAAGGCGTCGATTAGAGAAGACAAAAATAGAGGCCGCAAGCTCACGGGCAGCACGTTCTGACTTTGATTTTACCGGACATCTGGAGACTGGATTCCAGCTTGCTACTTTTCAGGGGCCCCTGTGTGCAGAGCCCATGGAGGGTCTTGCCTATTTCGTTGAAAGCTTGGTCGTGGATGAGGAGGGTGTGGGGAAAGAAATTGGTGAGTCATTGGAAGATATTAGATGCTTTCGAATGCTCAGATGCTACCATCAGTGCAAAATAGGATTACACAAGTAAACGGCTCTGTAATATCAGCAGTTAGAGATGCTTGCAGGAACGGTCTACTCGACTGGTCACCAAGGTTGATGTTGGCAATGTATTCGTGCGATATTCAAGCTTCAAGTAGGTGTTATACTTGATTCGCCTATGTCTTCTCACCTGGGCATACGTACAGCGGATGTTCTTGGAAAGGTGTATGGAGTGGTTGCTAGACGGCGCGGTCGAATTGTTGCTGAAGAAATGAAAGAAGGAACCACGTTCTTTAACGTGTCCGCATTATTACCGGTCGTAGAAAGTTTCGGTTTTGCAGATGGTGAGCGAGCTTGACGAGATATCATTATCTGGTTGTTCACTGGTACTGTTTATTACAGATATTCGAAAACGGACGTCTGGCGCAGCTAGTCCACAACTAATCTTCAGCGGGTATGTTTGATCCGCACTTACGACTGAGATTGCGACGAAACTGATATGAAATGAAAAGATATGAATTATTAGATCAAGATCCATTCTGGGTTCCTACGACTGAGGAAGAATTAGAAGATCTTGGTGAGAAAGCAGATCGATCCAACGTAGCGAAGGGATACGTGGATAGTGTTCGGGAGCGCAAAGGGATGTTTGTGGACCGCAAGATAGTAGAGTTTGCAGAGAAACAGAGGACGCTTAAGCGGTGAATGCTGTAGTACACGTTTTAAAATTAGGCTGCGCATGTGATGATTATGTAATCTGAAGGGAACTCTTGTTCAGTGGCCACATTGCTGTTGTAGTGACGCTCAGCCTGGTTTTCCGCTGCAGTCTCCAGCCATTTGTTGTTCTATACCTTATCTCCACCCAGTGCTACTCCCCGTAAAGCCTTTCTCTTTCCTCTTCATTTCTCTCTATCATGAGCACCGCCATGTATGCTGGTCACCAGGCGTATTCTCCCGCCATCATTTCCGACCAACACATCCAGGAATCCCAAGCTAACGACGAGCAATATGTCACCACATTCTTCTGTCGTGCTCTCTACGACTATCAGACAAGAGACGCCTCTTCCCTATCATTTCATAGAAATGACATTATCGAGGTTCTCACTCAACTGGAGTCAGGCTGGTGGGACGGATTGCTGGGAGACGAGCGCGGATGGTTCCCTTCAAATTATGTCGCCGTCATCCCAGATGAAGAAGCAGAGGCTGCTCTATCCTCCTCAGAATTGCAGCAGGTTGTAGAATCATCGGGCGAAGTTCATCTTGACACATCCCATCACATACCCCCAGCGGCTCAAGGCCACTCTCTGTCCGATTCTGAATGGCTGGCCGCAGAAGTGGGCCATATGAACTCGGGGGATGGATTCGCTGAGCTCGCAAGTGCTGCCATGAACGATGCAACACCATCCAGTGATTTTTGGATGCCTGAGGTCACTCCAGATGGCCAGGTAAGTTAGCGCTATCGAGTATTCCTTTCTGCTTATGTATACTTGCCCTCCTTCTCTACAATCCCAGATTTATTATGTAAATACTCAAACCGGCGAGCGCTCTCGTGACCTCCCACAAGAAGTTGATGATACCTCTGATGGAGAGTTAGCTGGTCTGACTTCATCACAGTCGAGCTCTAGAGCTGGACCGAGCGCAGCGTTGGGGCTCAGTGGTACTGCGGAAACTAACCCCGCTGGATTCGGCATTCTAAAGCGTTCAGGAACTCCAGAACCTTGGATTAGAAGACTCGCCGATGATGGCATGTCCTATTACTATCAGAACAAACTTGATGGTCAAGTTCGATGGACTGCTCCAGACAATGAAACAAGTCAGACCCGCGACAAGTCTACGGGACGAAGTCGTGCGCACACAAATGCGTCCAATGCGCCTTCTAATCATTCTAATCAAAACGGTGCCATTAGTCGTCTGCGTTCGGATTCAGCAACATCACAATCCATACAGAGAAGCCAGAGTACCGCTGGACAAATCAGTGACGTCTCCGACGATGATCGCACGCATTCACCATCTTGGTCTGATTCGCGTTCTCCGGATGACCAAGAGTATGAAATAGCGCAGGGATCGCAGCCTGTAGAATACACAGACGCGGAGAAGCTCGCTCAATCATTGCAGCAGTCCCTGGCGCCTCCACCAGCTGAATTGGTATCCGATTTGTCCCATCTTGCGCGTGATGCTATTTCTGCCGTCATTCTTAACAACCAACAGCTATCCGGCCTACCACGGAGACCAGATCAGGGAAAGGCGCTTGACAATTTGATTAATAACGTTGTCATTGCAGTTCGTAACCTTCTTTATGTTTCCGCCCCTCCCTCTGGACATATTCCCAGCAATCTTATCCCTCGTGATGCCCGGGATCGGCGCGAAACAACTGCCTCGCAAACTCTGTTGAAACCAGCTCAAAGGAAAGTCACCGCAACGCTATCCAAACTTGTCCTGTCCGCGCGGGCGATGCAGTATGACTCTGGGCCCTCTGCACACGAAACCAGCAGTCGCATAGAGAGCGATGCAGAAGAATTGGAGCGTGCTGTCCTTGCGTTTGTCCTTGAAGTGCAACGATGCCATAACGAGCAACTGGGCGGTATAGGACTGAAACGCTTATATGGCTACTTCTCCGTGATCCATATCGGACTAGGTCTCGTAGGCGCGGGAAATGCTGGTAGTTGGAAAGGTTTTGGATGGATAGGTCTAGATGACAGCGAAGAGGCGCCGAGCAGGGTTTTGGGCACTGAAGTTTTCACCGAGTTCAAATCGTACATGGTGAAGCTTCATACTAAGTTCAACTCCTTTGGCTCAGTTTTGAGGAGCACCAGCAGCGAAGCTCGTGAGTACAGTTAACTTCTCTGGAGTCCTTGTCTCTGATGTTTTTGGCTAGAGCAACAAGTCTGGATAGCGAGCCAGGATCTCATAACTGAACTCTTCGCGTTACTGTTATTTGTTGCGAATATCCATCTCGCACGTTACGTTGATATTGATGGTTTCCACCGAACCTCAATCAGCCCACAATACATGCAAACCGTCGAGAAAGCTAGGCTTTTAGTCCGCACTCTCGAGACCGTCGTCCAATCTCTTTATGACGACGGATCATCTATTCTCATGGCAACTCAACATGTTCGTCGGTCGGATTATCACTCCCATTGGCAAGAAAGAGATGCATGCTATGAATTTCTCGATACTACAGCCGCCTCGCTGAAGTCGAATATCCGCTTCTTGCAGCACACATTGGAAGCCCTTATAGCTGTTGGCCACGACCAAGCAGATTCGGAACAAGGGGATTACCACGGCTCTATTGAATGGCGTATGTCACGATTAAGCATCATTGACAATAACTTCGACGCTCGGCCCATGTCTACGCTCAACCCACTTGATCCAGAAAGCGAAGATATTGTTGACATTGAAGTTGCCTTTGGTAAAAGTGCACTGAAAGCTACCGGATATTTGCCCTTATCCAGCGCTCGATCTGACACATCACGAAATACAACTTCCACTGCAACCGTCGCATCTTCCAATAATTCTAATTCTACGGCCAGCACACTTCCAGCTTGGGGTCAAGACCCTAACATGTCTACCAACACACTTGTTCCAGCGAATGGCACGAAAGTGAACGCCGTTTCCCCTGACGACCTCATGTTTGACAGTCGTTAGTATACACTTCTATTCCTCGTTGTTCTTCTCTAAAATGTCATTTTCTTCTAGCCACAGCAACGAACAGGGCACCCGCAAATGCACTAAAGATCAAAAAGATATTCGGTGACGATGCTCCGAAACATCTTATTAATACCCTTATATCAGATTCTAAGCCATGGTACCTACGACCGAATTATAGTCCAACCGATATTGTGATCGATCCAGATGGCAGTGTCAGAGCAGGTACGGTGCCAGCTTTAGTGGAACGCTTGACTGCACACGAAAATGGCGGTAAGTACACTTGGCACAAGATCCTACCATTACATTTGCTTATTTTTATTGAAACAGACCCAACATTTATTAAAACCTTCTTAATGACTTACAAGTCATTCACCACTCTAGATGATCTTTTTGACCTTCTAGTGCGGCGATTCTTCATCCAGCCTCCTGATGAGTTAGAACCACGAGAACTTGATGAATGGAAGCAGTTTAAGCAGCATATCATTCAGATGCGGTATGTCCGCTGTCTACACATCATGGCGATTTTTATTCTCAACGCTTGTTGCAGTGTTCTCAACACCATAAAATCTATGGTTCAAGATGACGATGTCCTGGAAAAAGAGGATATGTACATTCTTGAACGAATGAAGGACTTTTTGTCACATGAGAGTGTGATCAAATTACCAGCAGCCAAACAGCTCATAACGGCTATTGAACGTGCTGTAAGTCGCTTTTCCCTCTTCTACAGTCTTGAGTGACCTAAGGTGTTGTTATCTAGCAGCGAGGCGGAGATGTAAAGAAAATGACTATTCATACCAATATGAGCAACCCTCCGCCTTCCATAATCCCAAAATCAAGCAAGAAACTCAAGCTCCTAGATATTGACGCAGTGGAGCTGGCGAGACAGCTTACCACGATAGAGAGCCACCTGTATCAGAAGATACGGCCTATGGAGTGTCTTCAGCGATCACGAGAACAAAAAACTGATCATAACGACAACATCGCTCGGGTGATCCAGACTAGTAATCGCGTAAGTAGTAATCAATTATCGTCGATGGCCCATGGCTTATGTCCATCCGCTGAATATTATATTAGATTGCGAACTGGGTCGCGGATTCAGTGCTAGTCCACGAGGATTCAAGAAAGCGAGCTGCTGTTATTAAGCAGTTCATTAGTGTTGCAGATGTAAACTTTAAATATTATGAATATGGGGTGAAAACTAACGGATATGCTTACAGCGGTGCCGGTCCATACACAATTATTCGAGTATGGTTGCTATCGTCTCAGGTCTCAACTCTCCTCCAATACGCCGTCTCAAGCGTTCGTGGGAGCAGGTTAATGCGCGGTACATGGCTCAACTCGGTAGTTGCGAGATGACCATCGACTCGAACAAGAATTTCAATAATTACCGATCCACTCTGGCCAAAGTGTCACCTCCTTGTGTGCCTTTCATTGGTTTGTGTTTATGTTTTTGGTGACGAACTTGCGATATTCAATCAACTTTCAGGTGTTTTCCTAACTACGCTAACTTTCATCCAAGACGGTAGTAAAGATACGCTACCTGGGGCTCTTGTGAATTTCCGAAAGCGTCAGAAGGCTTCCGAAGTTATCCAAGATATCCAGCGCTGGCAGACTGTGCCACACAACTTCAACCCGCTTAGTACTGTCATCACTTATATCGAGGAGTCCCTAGGAAAGTTCACTGAACAGCTCGATATTGGTGACTTCTTCTGGAACCTTAGTCTTGAACGTGAACCGCGGGAGAGGGAGGATGAGAAGATGGCACGCTTGTTACAAGAAAGTGGGTTTTTGTAAGCGGTGCTATACAGATGAGTCGGACAATTTTGTCTTTTCAACTTTATGGGTGCTATGCTTTGAGTTTTGTATTATCTTCCTTTCTCGGATGGTTCATTCCATGTTGTATATCTAGTGCATGCTGCTTTATGATACTTTACCCTGCGCTATACAGATTTCCCTTGCCTTCTATATAGATAACTAAGTTCACTGAGAAAATGACCATGTCGCTGAGCACTGAGCTTCTGACTTTTGTTATTTTTTGAATTCATGGCAAGCGTGACACCAAACGGAAATATGTGACAATGTGATGTGATGGTGCTGCTTGCGCACGACTTCTCGCATCGCACAAGGTATTATATCCATCGATCGCATCTTGTCGACATCAATATACTTCACTGTGGAAATATCCATGGCAGAAGCAGGTTCATCTTTCTTTGATAAAGAGCGGGATAAGCTTTCTGCTGAGATAACTACGGTAATTTGTATTGAATCAAAATATATCAGTACTGATACAGGTACTGCAGGGTTTCGAGGAGCTACTATCTTCGAGTAATGTGTTGAATCGAAAGTTGGAAGAAGTTTTAGGGATGACTAGAGAATACGACACAATTGCTGCACTTTGGCAGAGTTTTCATGAGCTAATGCGCGGACAGAAGAGTGAAAGTTTGGATGAAAGAGTCGCTGGTCTTCCGGGTACCGGTGGCCATGTAATATCACAAAATTCTGGCACGAAACGATAAAAAGAAAAAGCAGAGAAACATGTTGAACGTAAAATAACATTCTTCGTCAAGGTATCCAAATACAGGGCAGTAACAAGATGTATCATCGGCAAAACAAAAAGGGAGATAAAATGGCATGAAAAGTCCGTTTATACATTTGCCCAAGAAGCGACCTGGCGCCCATTCCAAGTCAGCGTGACAGGATAAGGATAGCGGTAATGTACATACCCAGGAGAAACCGCTGAATTCTTGCTGATCCCTGGAGGACAGCTGGCCATGCACGGGAGTCAATGTAGGCTGCTCTTTCGTAAATTCTTCGTCGAAGTTACTTGTGTCAGCGCTGCCGTTCTGTCAAACACTGAGTACAAGTCAAACTAATGCACGAGTAAACATAGCTTACAATAGTGGGGAAGTACGGCGGCGGAATTCGCTTGTTCAAAACATCATCAAAATTGACATCTTTGAAGAAAGGATGTCTTTTAATGTCTTCCGCATCAGCTTTACCGGACCCAAGTCGGCGAGATGGATCTCTGGTCAGGAGCTACAATACATAAGCTTAGTTGATATCACACGACCGACACAAACATACCTTCTGAAGAATAGATACAGCATCTCTAGGCATGGTAATAGGGTATAGAGGTTCGTCTTCAAGAATAGCGTCGAAGATTTCGTCTTCGTCGTCCCCACGGAATGGAGATTGTCCCAATAACATTTCATAAGTAAGAACACCGAATGCCCACCAGTCGACAGCAAGGCCATAGCGCTGTTCCAGTAAAATCTGACATCACATCGTGAGCACTGCATCATATACGAGGCAAAAGGTGAAATACTTCTGGGGCCATGAACTCTGGTGTACCACAGAATGTACTGGTGGTTGACCCATAATGCATCTCTTCTTTGCATAATCCATAGTCAGCCACTTTGACATGTCCGTCTAAAGTAAGCAAGATGTTATCGAGCTTCAAATCTCTGTCATACAATTAGTATCAAAGCCACCACTAATTGTTGCCCCATACCGATATATGATCCCGTTAGCATGGAAATATTCTAGAGCAAGTAGGACTTCACATGCGTAGAACTTCGCTTGGCGCAAAGAAAACTGCTTGCGCTGGATGTGTAACATGAGATCACCACCACTGACATACTCCATGACAAAGTAAACGCGAGTTTCAGTTTGGAAACAAGAATGGAGGTTAAGCAAGAAAGGATGGCGCTCGCGGGCGGCAGCCAAAAATACGCGCTTCTCTGAGCGAGTACTACGTGGCTAGATCAATAACCGCTTGGTATGATTGAACCGTGTTTCTTACCTCTCCACTTCATCGTTGTCAATGATAAACTCCTTCTTCAAGACTTTAATAGCATACAATCCATTGGATTTCTTCTCCTCGGCTAGCATAACTTTACCAAAGTTACCTTTTCCAAGAACAGACAGGAAATTGAAATCATCCAGACCGACTTTTCGTTGACGAGACAGTTGGCGACTGGGTTGTACTGGTGAAAGCCCCTGTGGTTCAGGTTGGTAAGGTCTTTGCTGAGCATAAGGCACTGCTGCCTTGGCGGGAAAACCTGGTTGAGGATAGGGCAGCTGCTTCTTTTGGAAAATTTTAAGCTTACATTTGAAGGAGATCGAAAGTAAATAGATACCTGTGGCTGAGCTGAGTAGTCATCCTGTCCGGAAATTGCTTCGAAACCAAGGGGAGCGCCGCTCCCAGCTGGAGGTAGCAGGGCTTCGTTCGGATATGCAGGCGGTACTGGGATTCGGGCTCCCGGGGGCGGGCGAGGTGGGCCAGGTGATGACGCTACTGGCTGTTGCTGTATATATCTGGGATCAACTGCTCCATCCTGTGCCTGTGCCCGACGAGCAAAAGGATCAGGAGCAGGGATAGAGGGGGGAGGCTCAGTGCCAGTAAGCTGTAGTCGGTCCATGCTCTGAGTAATAGTCACGTCGGAAGGTGCTGAGAGGACAGGAGTCTGAGTTTGCGAGGCATGTGGGGGATGAATTGGAGGTCGGAAACCTGCTGCTGCTTTCCCGCCACGGGCCTTATTGATATCGCGCCAGTCGCGAAGGAGTTGGTTCGCTGTCTCCATCGACATACCACAGAAATCTGGGACGAGATGAGCGCAATTTGCATGACAGGTTATGTCGCATTCTGTGCATTTCCTTGCATTTTTGCGACCCAGGGGTAACATATAACCACAGTGGCAACACCAGTTTGCACCCATATTAGTAATCTGCTCGAAACGATGGGGAATGCGATGATTTATCTTTTCCTCGTCTCCCTCCTAGCATAAATTCAATATAATAGACCTATCAGGAGATAGTTATGATTACTTACGCCGGTGTTGGATTTAGATATACATTTAGTGACAACCTTTTCGTAGCATTTCTTGTGGCAGGTGTAACGACAATCTTCGCATTGATAACCAAGAGCGTTAAGCAAGAAGTCGCCACAGAAAGCGCAGAGCATAATCTGATAGAATTGACGTTGCACGAATTTGTGACCATTCATTTCATGTACTTCGCCCTTACGCTTCCTTACTGCACCTTGACGGCCAAGGCCACCGGGAGCATCTAGAGGGCGTTTTCTAACATTTTCTTTCACTAAAATTTTGAAAAATTAGCTGCTGAACTTCATCATAAGCTGAACACGTACTGAAGTTCAGCTGGAGAGCAAGAGCACCGGCAGGCTCAACAGCGAACCAGGCATCAATGCCTTCGCTCTGGCTTCCGGGACCTCCCAGACCACCCGATGCAGCAGCACCGGCACCGAAACTTAATGGTGCGTTGACATCTCCAAAATTATTGGTTTGCGACGGAGGTGCGCGACCAGTAGGACTATCGCCATCCATTGCACCCGCGGTAACCCAGCCTCCCTGCCCGCTTTCTAGCATCACCTTCTGCCGTCGTAAAGCTTCGACCAGATCACTGATCCTGATCCACAGCAGGCCAATAGGGACAGGGTGTACTTCAGAGACCTGTTTGTCGTATACTGCTATTTCAACTTCACTGGCCTTGTCCACGACAATTTCAAATTCTTCGTTCCACCGATCTGTGCGTGAAGGATGCGAGCGGGCACGCTGTGTACCTTCCACTTTGAGTGAAATGTATGTCTCGGTAATTTGCTTGGATGCAGATCTTGATCTTCCAGAGTTCACGATGGGGGCGTGGTCAAGTTCTCGGGCACCTTTTATTATTACTTGCAATTTTCCTGAAAGCGGTTTTGTACGCAGCTCTTTCCGTTCGCCATCGGGACCGACGCCCGGACCATCTGTACGGATTTCAGCGACAAGTAATATATGATAATAGAGAGCCTACCATGTTCTTCTTCTTCCTCTACATCGTCCAGTATGTGAAGGTTCTTGTACCGTTTGAGTGCCGATTGGAGGAGCTGGATCTTCTTTTCACTTTCAACTCGCTTGCTTTCAGCATCTGCCCTAGATTTCTTATCACCGTCAGCCTGATATAGTTTAGCCATCTTGTCGATTCCCTTTTTGTATTGCAATTCGACTTGTAGTTTGAACTCGAGTTGGTGAAGCATACGGGATATCTTCGCGGTTGTGTGGGGAGTATCGGCTTTGATAAGATCAAGATTGGTGTACTGCTTTGATTTTGGGGTTCCATCAACGTCATCGCCATCCGCAGAATCTAGGTTTGGGACGAAATCTGTGGACCCAGACGCTCGTCCTCCACGACCAGCAGAATCGAATTCTGACCCTGGTATTTGGGGAAGAGAGCGATCTCTATCGGTGAATCGACCGCTCTTTGGCGTAGTCGGAGAGATACCCTGAGAAGAGGCTGCATCCCCAGATCGCGAGTGATCATCACGCTGTGATTGCTGCTTTTTGCGAGCTTGTAATTCCTGCAGCGTTGTCTCGAAGTAACTCAATGAACGCTCAGCCTCCCTGATCTTGACATCGTTGCGCCTTAGGACATCTGGGTTCGTGGTGGCCTGTCTGAGAAGTTTGGATGCTTCTAGGACCTTGCGCTCTGTCTCTATACGTTTGCGGACGTCCTGGATCTTCTGGTCCAGCTCGTTTGCCTAAGACAGAGTAAGTGATCTGCTTTGATGAGGAAATAAAGCCAAAGCATACCATGGCTGTGAACACTGTATTTACAAAGCCCCGTTGTGCTGGGGGTGATATCGAGGTCGTCGTCCTATATGGCGACGAGCGGTTGAGATGGGTGTGGCTCTAAGACCTAAGGCTGTGGGTATCTGAGGCTGGAGAGTAATTAGCTAAGTGCCGTTACCTATTACTGACTTAGCTAACCTAACTGCACACACGCACGTGCATAAATACATAAATATATATTTCTTATCTTCCCCATGAGTGAAGAGCTTTATTCATGCCGTCCTTTTCTTGCCATTCTTTCGTTCGTGCTGCCTCTGAGGAACATAAACTCACTCTCAGGATATGTCACAACCTCGTCCACAATGACCCGTCAGAAACTGTTTATAAAATCAAAGGACGTTTACCAAAGGAGCTGGATGTCTTGCTGTCTTCAAACTTGACTTTCTCGTTCGATGGCCTGTCGCAAGGCAAGAAAGTGCCAAAAGATATCCTTGCACGCTCTATAATTGTTGTATATCTTCGAAATTACCTTCGCGCAGCACGTAAATTTTCACTTTGCAGGGTATGCAGCTGATTTTGACGCGTAGAATTCCGCTCAACTGGGGCTGTGTACGGTATCGGACCCTTACGTCGACGAAGATGGTATCACTAAATGTATGTACGGCTGTTAACTTCTAGGGTCTGCTTTCTGAGAAGCACTCCAGTCACGCTAACTTCATCTCAATCGTTACCTCATTCATCGCTGCCTCATGCAAAACTTCTCTCAGTCGATCTTCTTTATATCTGGAAGGCTAAACAACCTACATATAAGGATTCTCCCAACTCGGCCGCTTTTTTGGATGCTGCAAGCCCCTTCTCTTCTCAGATTTTTCTGCCAATCGAGTCCATCCTGCACCGCGTTACTGGTCAGTTTGTTACCTACCATTTAGTCAGGTGCGTGGACTCCTCTGCATTCTTGCTATATGCTGCATTAATTTTCAGTCGGTACCCTCTGATATTTGGGCCTTGGTGCAAGGTATCTTGTTTTCGACTAGTGACACATACAATGATTTACACTGTGTTCCAGAAATTAGATCTCGAAAACTACTATTCTACCTCAATTTCATCCTCTGTCCTTGATGTTATTAATCGTTCTAAGAATCCTTTTTTCGTTTCAGAATGCAGACGTCTTCTACGGGTACGTATATATCACCGTTTCCTGGCCTCAGGTTCTGACATATCTTGTCGCGTAGATGGCTAGGTCTTACAACAGCACATTCTTTCATGCGTCTGCAGCTACACTTTTGGCATGCCATGGGCAATTCGATACGGTAATCGATAATAATGAGAAACTAAAGTATACTCTCGACCATTCCTATTCGGATCAGGAGGCTCTTCGCATGTCTATGGAGCGAATTTACAAAAACGGTGTCCCCTGTCCACGCTTCAAGGTCAGTTTCAACTCCTGTTATGTAAGTCTGGACCATCGTCGATTGTCAGGTTAGCCCGTTGTCCCCATTCCGGGGCTAGTTCCTACGGATACATCCGAGGATGGTTCCTTCGACCTCTCACAAGATTCTTCCTATGAAAAAGATCTTCTGGACACCTCATTTCATTATGAAATTCTCGATCTCGAACATTGCCCCACCCCACAAGTTGGATTCTACGAAGAGCCTATAGATCTGCAATATCAGTCGATGGGTTTCTGGACCACTGAGACAGTGGAAAATGTACTGCGGGACGACAAAAACGAGACGATACCGGACATATCTCTTATCAATGACCCTAGTTCTTCTGTTTACTGCACGTTACCATTGCGTGGCTCTCCGCTTGCCGCGTCGGACGAAGGCTTTCAGTATTCAAACTTGGCTTCAAATCCATCATGCTCCTCGCAGTCATGGGGCCATGACACCTTGGAAGATGCCGGAAACTGGACTTCTAACGCTTCTTCGTTAACGCAAGGTTCACATCACCTGACGTACCCACGGACACCTTCGCCCTCAAACGTAACAGGTCTATTCACTAGCGAAGTCCAGGAGGGTATTTTGCTCGGTTTGGATAGCCCAATCGATAATTGCTTGACGGAGGACTCGGACTCGGACTCGGATCTACTCATCGACTCAGATGACATGTCACCACCTTATTCATTAGCAGACTGTCAAAATTGCTCCCTTGGCCATCGATTATCCTGCAGTTGCAGATCACCGGACGTCCCTCTGGGAATGTATGACACTACTAGGACCGCAGCAAGTCCATTTAGCGATTCACACTCCAATGCAAACACCTTCTTTCAGGGACTGGAAAGAGGTAACACGCCAGGCGAAGGCTACTCCGTCGAATTTCTTGATTTTGATATTGAACTCTAGTTCGAAAATGGAGTATGGGGCCAGTGCACACTATCATTTGTTTGGACTGCAATCGATGTTTTTCACTTGTGTTTTAATGTACTTCAATAAATCCTCAGGTTATATCAAGGTTGCAACGATGTGACTGAAACTGAACATATTTTCTTGTACTGTTAGTCCTTCACAAGCTTCACTGCGGAACTTGGAGTATGTAATGCAGTGTCATAGTACCACGACTTTTGTTGATACTCCGACACGCACTCCGCAAGACATGCCCATTACGCCCCGACATAAAGGCAATTACTTAGAAACGTTCTCCACCCTTGCACAATATTCGCCATCGGATTATTGGTATCGTGTTTCCTTTGCGACGACCTTGCTCGCCCTCCTTTCGTCAAGGCTATCTAGCTCCTCCTTCGTCTTTGAGCCCGCTCCTCCATCGCCATGCACCCGGCAAAGCGCAACAAGATTGACATTAGTGTAAGTATATCGCATTCGCCTTATCTACCAACGTATACGCTGTATATGCAAGAGCTTTTCACGATGCTGATGGATCTTTTATGGCGTACAGAAACTGACGGAGGAGGAGCAGAAGCTCTTTCGTCTGTACGGGAAGTTACCATCACATAAGAATATCCTCACGAAGATGCAGAAGGCGAGATCTGACATCTTTTGACACTGACATCAATCTTACCCTGGGCCATCAGGATCGCAAATATTTTGACTCTGGTGACTACGCCCTGTCAAAGGCAGGGGTTGCTCCACAGAACACTGTTGGAACAGCGATCCCCAATCCTGAAAAGTATGTCATTCGATTGTTTTGTGTTCTTTGACGTTCTCATCTTCTATGTTTATAGCATTCCGCATGCCTCATCACCTGTTACCAGTCATCAAGGTCTATCGGTATCCCCGACCAATAGTACGAGCCCCGTGAAAGAGAGTACATTAGGCCATAGCGATGAAGAAGCTAAAGACTCGGACAAAGAAGAAGCAGAGTAGCCTGAAAGCTCGCTTACTTTGTCGCGGTCCTCGAATCTCATAGTCATGATCACTGTCTGATACATGCAACCTTTCCTTTAGTCCTGATCAAGTCCATGACAACCTGCTCATATTTGCACAATCACTACCTTTCATTGTCTTGATTCTGCTTGTATCGTGTAACATCAATCCTGAGGATGCAAAGCTGTATTCTCATATCTTTTGCAGGTGGTATTTATCTCCTTTCCGTGGTATCATCGTCACTTGTATATTTTCCGCGTTGCAGCGCCAATAATAAAATGCAAAATGTAGCAGTTGCCATAAATGGTTATTATATCTATGAGCATGTGACGCTTAAGTGACATATTCCATGCACGCCAGTCACGGTGGCGAAACTCCTCCTGCCTACTATAATCGATGTATGGTCTCCAGAGACGCGACTTTCCACCATTGTCAGTTGCAATATCGTATCCCGTCATAGAAGACACTCGTCGTGGCATGTCGAAACCCGTCTCTCGCGAGGAAATTGGTGAACGTTTCGGTCAAGCAGTCGCGTCTGATGAGGCACTGGTATCAGAATGTGCGCTCTGTTCTTTTTCTCGTGTTAGTTTGTCCATCTCACGTTTACAAGGCATGAAACTGTGCCAGATGTTTAATCTTTCCGTGGAAGACCTTTTGTTCAAGTGGGAAGCGTTCTCATACACTAGTGATAATACAATCAAGATCTTTACATTGAAATCAGCGGTGGACTTGAAGGCGCAACTTCAACGCGAACTAATTGCAAGAAGCACGCAAAACCAGCAGACACGGCCCAACGCGAACTCACTTGCAGGTCACTTCTCTGGTTCATCCAAGTTTGCGCCCGGTAAACTGAATAATCTGGATGGGCCTTTGAAGCTCGGTGCACTACGGCCCAAAGTCCACAAAGAACACACTGCCGCTGGTCCAAGTAACATGACTACTACCCCTCAAATTCCGCACGAACAACATTCTGCCGTCGGTCCAGGTAACATTACCGTTACTCTTCAAAATCCGAGAGATGAAAAGAGAAACTGTGAGTCATTGTCTATCGCCTAAAAATATATGACGATGAAGTCAGCCTCCAGACAAATACATGTACGAGAAAATATTGGAACGTAGTGAAGGTCTCCAGGTTTCCTCTTACCTAGGTCTTTATGTGTACTGACAAATAACATGTTCAGTGCTCGACGATAGAATTGATGAATTTGCTGGGTTAGTGCAAAAGTACTACAATATCGAAGATTTAGGCGACCCTGGATCCGCATCTGAAGTACATCCTCCCTCATATTAATCATCCTGTGCTGAGACTATTTGGTAGGAAGTGATAACTGTTGTTGGAAGGATAGTGCTTGATGCGGAGACATCAAGTTCTGGAGCGAAATTGAACGAAGCTTCTCTCCTTCTAGAATCGTCACGAATGATGGGTTCTGGTACAAGAATCCCCATTCGCTTCCAAGGAACCAAAATCCGCGGCGGACCCAAGGGTGTAGGGGGGATGGGACTATTTCCTGGCGCCATTATTGCAGCTCGTGGTAAAAACGGAGGTGGTGGATGTTTTGTAGTGGAGGAGTTACTCACCGTAAGTGAAACCATATGTTTTTCGAACGAAAGAACCAACTCCGTCGATATGACATCGATAGCTCCCTCGCTTGAAACCGCCGCCGTTACCTTTGGGGAACGCGGATTCATCCTTATCCATGTGCATAGCATGTGGACCATTTACGCCCGATACTGATCTTGAATATCAACCATTCCATCAATTAATTCACACCTTGAAGTCGACCAAACCAGCTATTGTATTGCTCGTATGTACAGAGGACTTCCTGTACCCTCTGATGCTAATGTTATTTGCATGGCCAGATAGGGCCTTTTATTGACTCTGCTCACCCATACATAAGAGATGGTGAAGTAGACCGGACTCCAAAGGAAATGTTTCAAACCCTCATACTAAATCTGCACGACTTTCTGAAAATATCTGGAACTAGCAACGTTTTAATGGTTCCTAGCATCCGGGATATTATCAGCGACCACAACGTGTTCCCACAATCTGAGCTTGATGAAAAACTTAAAAATCTTGAAAATATCGATAACCCTGAAAAACTTGAAATCTTTGAAAATCCCGGAAACCGTAAAAATCACCCTGTAAGTCTCAATATAAAATCCATTCTAATTATCGACAGTGACGCGGCATATAATAGCGAATTCACTTCCTATCAAATCCTTGTCGATTCTCCCTAAATGGTATTTCATTTGCAGTCAGCAGTGTCGATGTTTTATTCCATCTTCGAAAAAACGAACTTTTCAAGCGTGGGGCGGAGGTCGATCCTCAGTCATCCTCTGTCCTTTCTGCCAATGATCCTATGTCAAATTTGTGTCGACATATACTACAGCAAAGAAGGTGAAGGTCCTCGTCTATCTTCACGTCCGCAATATCTTACCGATGCCTTCCAGTTTCTATCCAATTTTTCCCGTTCCGCTTGATCTAACAGATGAAGTTAATCTTGACGTCTCGCATTCTGAAGGACTAAAACTAGTTGATGGGCCCGATCCAGTCGCCCCTGACGTCCTTATTGTGCCAAGTAGACTGAAACATTTTTCAAAGGTCTGACTTTCTTTGCCGCTGCACTCTATATGTGTTGACCCTCAATCGAACAGGTTGTGGATGACACTGTTTCCATAAATCCATCTTTCTTATCGAAAGGCACATATGCAACTGTTTCTTTAGATGATAGCAAAACATCTGGATCGTTTGTAGAAAGGGCTATAGTTGATCTAAATAGATTATCCTAAGAGAGGAGATGTTGTATTGTATTATATCCCTGATATCTCATTTTATTGACTACCACTGAGAAGCTTTACGATCAGTAAACGTTGAGCTAGTGGAACAACGAATCGGCAGTCCGTGCAGTGCAATAGCAAAGTTATGCCAGGCATAAAATAGATCCTTATATGGATGTGCTTCTTTCACCTTCCTTCTGATGCTTAAGATTAAATCCAGAGACTCAAATTGTGGACTGAGGAGGCAGTACTGCAACGTTCGTTAAAGTGATAAACAAAGAGGTTTTAAAAGAATTGACAGCAGATACTGTAACGCGACAACTACTATGTATATTGCATATTCCACTAACTTAGAACTCCCTGTTGCGGACTTTCTGAGCTATCGCGTAGCCTGATGCGAAATGGGATAGCTTTGCATCCACAACAAAACCCTGGACTTTCTATCAGACTCGAGTTAGAATCTCAAAACGTTAGTTGAGCTGACCTTTTTATCATATTCTGTATAATATTCGTCAGCAATTGTATCACCGAAACATTTCCCAAACTCACCTTTAAGCTCATCAAATAATTTGTCCAGCTCCACGACTTTTTTCACAATGTACTCGCCGGCATCTAGTTTGGAGTTCGGTGTCTCCAACTTATCCTTCATCGGTACATTTACAATGACCAACTTCATGTTCGCGTTCGTCATGCCTTTGTATTGGTTAGTAATCGTCACTTCGACATAAATAATCAACTAGACCTGGGTCAGCAACTATCACTGGCGTGGACTCAGTCACCGACTCAGCCACATAACCAGTTTCCTCTTCAAGTTCGCGAATAGCAGCTTCCTCTGCAGTTTCTCCACCATCTATAAGCCCTGTAAATATTCATCAGCGTCGGAAAGGATGCAATACCAGTAAAGTATCGTTACCAGCAGGGAGTTCTACGGACACCGACCATTATGAAGGTACTTTAGTAGATGATCAGGGACAACGTCGACTTACCAATGATGTACTTGTCGATTGGGGGACGATATTGCTCAATTATGACCGTTGAGAGCGGAAATGCGTTCGTCTTAGAACGCAGTATAGCTAAAACGGCGACAGCTGAATTGATAGTCAGTGCCAGTGAAAGGCGACAATCATTCAGAAATCGACAAGTACTGGAAATAATTAGACGTATGCGAACCATCGATACCAGATGAACCACGAGTCTTGCGCTCTGCACACTCCCATGCTCTCTGATAATACACGCAAGATATCGGTGTGATGATGCAACAAACTAGAACAAGACTATGATGAAGGGCTGCATACCTGAACACCTTCCTGATCTGTGTAATTAATCTTCTTGAGAGTGATCCATCTGGTATTGGACAACTTAATTCTGCTGATGGGCTGATTGAACATCCGCCATAGCGCTTACTTCGCGTCCGAAGCTGATAGCTCTTCTGTGGATGTAACCTTTGGAGAGGGCATCGTTGAATAAACACGATTTGTATTATATGTCTGAGAGATCGATGGCAATGCTTGAATTGACGGGTAATAAGGACTCTTGGTCTTGGTTGCGATGTTATTGAGAACGTGAATGCAGCGAAGCATGTCACATGCAATTCAGGTTAGGGTCTCGCACGTAAATCATGGACCGCGACCACCAACACTCAACAAAACATAGGCGCTCTCATGAGAAACACGGCGAAGAGAAAAGCAGGAAACGACACAAATCTGAACATGGAAGCAGCAAGAAACATAAACGGGAAAGCCGTAAGAAGCTAGAAATCACAGATGATGATCCCAACGACGAGGACATGTGGGTGGAGAAGAACATTGACCTGGATAGAGAAAACGTATGTGACATTGTCAGTAAAACGCGGACTAGCTTTGACTTGAGATCTGTTAGCTACTAGCGAACGAGATTCCTGCAGCGGGGAGCTTGGAAATAATATCACATGCAGCTCCGTCAAAGTCGGATCCAGACCTTCCACCAAGTCTCAGTGTGGAGACGCCTCTCAAGCGTGACGAATGGATGCTTTCACCTGCAACGGAAAGACTCGCAGCGCCGAGTTCATCTAACCTCCAAGCTGGGCTTCCCACCGGCGATGAGTCACTCACAGAAAGCTACGGTGATTCTTCTCATGGGTCAAGAACTCTTGGTGGCGGTGTAGATTTCTTCTCTGGTCTTGGAACGGAAAGGAAGAAAAGTTCTCGGCTAGAAGTCCCTGATCCTGACAAGGCATGTTTCTTTCCAACAGTTTGTTGTGCTAGCTAATGTTATTTTATTGCAGCTCAAGGTTAGTTCGAAGGAGCTCAACGCTGATATCAGGGAAGGTCGGAAAATCGACCACGATGCCCCTCTTCCTCCACCCAAGTCTGTGACCCCCGGCGGCCCTGGCTCACAGTGGCGTATGATGCGACTACGCCGTGTATACGAAACCGCCGAGGAGGAAGGGAGACCTGTAGAAGAGGTGGCCTTGGAGCGCTTTGGGACACTGCAGGCATATGAAGAGGCTAGGGAAGAAAGACGAGTTCTCGACGAACGCGAAGGCCGTCGCGGCGACCGGGGTCGTGGGACAGATAGAAAGGGAAAGCTCAAAGAAAGCGAGGGAGGAAAACGCTTCATGTTTACAGATATGGGTGATAGTGGAACATCAAGTCGAAGTTCATCTTTTCGCAGGCCTGGTAATTTTGACAATAGTGCGCCATCGACGCCATCTCCCCAGTCCGGGCTGCCGGTGCAAAAGCGACTCGACTCTCTTCGATTGCCGTCTCAAGCTGCCTCGCCCCTTGCACAGTCACATACGCCCATTCCCTCCGTTATGACCCCTCCTGTCGCGACCGTGTCCTCGAGACGTGCCTTGTCTCCATCTTCCCTGAACAAGCTTCAAGCGCGTGTACTGCGTGCAAAGCTCATGGGCACATCTGACGCGGAAGCATTGGAACGGGAATACGAAAACGAGTCAAAGAAAGCAAATGGTGCGATTGGCGATGGAAATGTTAGGACCAAAGTGGAGGTTCTACCTACTTTGGATGCTCGAGGTCGCATGTACGATGTGGGTCATGGTAAGGACGATGGAAAAGCATTGGCTGGTAATCGAAAGAAAAAAGAGAAGGTTCGTCATCATTTATTTTTATGGAATTCTTCCTCCAATCTTGTAACTGTTAGGTCGAAACTCGAGATCCTAAGACAGGTGACATTGTTCGCTATAATGCAGATGATGACACCACGACTCTTGGAGAGATGCTTCGGCAAGAGAGATTCGGAGCTGGCATGGAGGACCAAAAGAATCTCGATGCTCAGTTCGCAAAAGCCATTATGGGCGATGGTAAATTTGAGGTAGGTTGTTTGAGGTTATTGGCTTCATTTTCTCAGCACTAATATGTCTCAAGAATGATCTCGATTATATGGACGATAATGCTGAAAAACTTGGCCGACAAAAAATGCGTTCTGATGCCATGAAACGTCAATTTGCAGTCCATGGTAAAGCATATTCAATATATTTTTGGCGGTCTCAGTTCTCATGATTACATCCAGACTACAAACGGACTCAAAAAGCTTTAGCTACCTGTCAATTCTGTTTCGGAGAAGATGATTCTCCTCCTAAAGCACCTGTGATTGCCATGGGCACTCGGGTATATTTATCTTGTACAACAGACGAGGAATTACTCGATGGTCACTGTTTGATTGTGCCGATACAACACCATCTAACCATGCTCGAAGGAGATGATGATGTATGGGACGAAACCAAGGTGCATTATTTCCGCCTTTGATTTAGCAACTGTGTTGACGCGTCGTCCAGAATTTCATGAAAAGCTTGATGCGTATGTTTGCCGAAGAGGACAAAGGCGTGATTTTTTATGAAACTGTAATCACTCTAAAGTGGCAGAAACATACATGTATAGAATGCGTCCCGCTTCCATGGGCTCAGTATGATGTCATACCCGCCTATTTCAAAGTAAGTAAATAATCTGTCCCTTTATCCAATGCGTGCTTATATGTATTTATATCTGCCAGGAATCCATCTTACAATCCGAAGCCGAGTGGTCCCAACACAAAAAGTTAATTGATTTTGGAGCAAGACCGGGGGGCTTCCGGCGAGCAATGGTCCCAAACCTTCCATACTTCATGGTTCAGTTTGATCACAAGGGAGAGAAAGGTTATGGACATGTGATCGAAGGTACCGGGGAATCAGCTGCTGCTGGCGAGGAAGATGGAGCCCTTGACGAAGGTGAAAAAGGTGGCGGCGACTTTCCGAGGTATGTACATGGTGATGCTTTCTTCGTGATGCTTTCACCTGATATCCTGCGTTAGATACTTTGCTGGTGAAATTATAGGAAACGTGCTTGACATTGAACCGCGACGATGGCGGCGACCGCGTCGGATCGATTTTCGTCATAACAAGGACAGAGTCGAGCGGTTCAAAGAGAAATACGACAAGTTTGATTGGACTGGTATGATAGGCAGGTAATATTAATGTCGACATACAGACAATATTACATTCATTATGAGTGCTACGTATACATTATCGAACCTCAGTGTAGTCTACTGTGCTATCGCATGTTTGAGTGCTATACTTTTTCTGGTATGCCTTGGTTTGAATCTGACTTGGACGCGGGAGGCCTTTGTGCCTTTAAATTGTGGTATACCACCGACGCCGACTTCAAAGCAGGGCCACATTGATTGTGCATAGGGTTCGTTTGCATTTCTGCTGATATTTAACAATTTATTTGTGAAACCGTCATGTTTCGTTCTGGTCTTTCGAATTCTCTCTGCAATGCCCACATGTTGGCATCTTTTCAACATATGTGCTTGCCCCGAGCCTGCGCTAGGCTGAGTACAGCAGCTTCGCTTTCTGATGCTGAGAACACACTGCGTCGCTCGTATCTCTATGGTACGCTGGTGCTTTTGATCTTCTACCTAAACAATAACAACGAGAGATGTTCTTATCCGTTTAGTACCTGCTTCATCCAGCCGGATGCTTGAGAAATCGCTGACCACCGACTCCGATGTCATTATATACGATTTGGAGGACAGCATACCTCCCTCGGCCAGTGACAAGGATAGCGCACGTCAGAGGCTGAGCGATTTCTTGAACGTATGTGCCCGATACCAATAGAATCTCGGTGAACTATTACACACTTGGCAGAACACGCTTGTTACCCCTCAACCAGACCGGATAGCTGTTCGAGTGAATGACATTACTACACCTTTCTTCCAAAGCGACATATCTCAAGTGGTGAGTTCAACATACTCCACTAGCTCATAGAAGCTTTCACCTCATTTTCTGTCCTTTGGGACGTGACAGCTCAAACTCCCTTCTGTCCGGACACTCATTTTACCCAAGATTCACGCACCAGAAGATCTCCATTATGTCTCGAGAGTTATTCGTAACTCTTTAGTCCATGAGTCATCTCGCGATCCCTCCATTTCTCCTTTGAACATCGTAGCAAGTATCGAGAGCGCCCGGAGCACATATAATTTGGGGAACATTGCCTCTTGGAAGTCGGAATATGGTCCGATCACAGGAGGTCGTTTGCGCTCTCTCTTGGTACTAGTGTTTTCTACTTATTGATTTCATGAGCTCAATCGTCTGTTACTTTAGTTTGCTTCAGAAGACTGTAATACTCCGTGGCACATACTCCCAGAAAAACGCTTGATTAACTAGTTTGTTTTACAGATTGTGCGGACACTTCAGTTATCCGGACAAAATCTCGCCAAGAGTTGCTTTTTGTGCGCTCCCGAATTGTGATTACTGCAAAGGCTTTTGGCCTGAATGCCATAGACATGGTATGTATCTCTGGATGGAGACGCCTTACAGAGCTTCCTGAGCCATGTTTTAGGTTTGCATAAATTATAAGGACCTAAACTACCTAAAGGACGAATGTGAAGACGGAAGGAAATTGGGCTTTGATGGGAAGGTTATTACCCCCCTTTCTATTGTATGAGATCCACTGCTGATTTCCGGTATAGCAAGCAATACATCCTACCCAAGTCCAGACGATACAATCAACTTTTGTTCCAACATCACAAGGTCATTTCCCATTAGTGATTTAGCTGAAAAGCCACCGATGACATGCGTCCAGAGATACTTCGTGCAGCCAAGATACTTCAACAGATGGAAGCTGCCCATACGTCCCAAAGAGGCGCCTTTGGTCTGGAAACGACAGACGGCGGGAAAGAGATGATCGATGCGCCTATGCTTAAGCAGGTCGGTTTTGCCATATATTGGTAACAATCATACTGATATCGTTTTTCATGACAGGCTCTGAAGACTATTCACGCAGCAAAGATGGCAGGATTGGAGATTCCCATCTAACGACAATTTTTATATGTGCATGGTTTACTGAGATAACTGCTGTAGTGTTGCTTTTCTTGTACCGAGCGAGTCTGTATAATTTATGCGTCGAGTTTCTGCTTGGTTTTTGCAGTGAGAAATCAGCTGTGTGGCTGTGTAGCCTTTCGCAAACAAGGTACAACCTCGGAGTGGCAGACTGTTACTTCGAGAGTCTTACTGTCAGTACAAGTTGGCGCTAGACTTCACTTGTAACCCATATGTCGTCCGACCTCAACCGGTTTATCAGCGATAACTGTCTAAGAGTAAGCCTTTGATGATTAGTACCATAAATATCGACTGACTTTTCCCGTTACACACAGCTTTTTGGCCTCGCAGACAGAAGTATTATTGATTTCGTCCAGGCTTCAGGTATGTCTGTCAGTCACGTTTGGTGGTTACGACCTCACTGAAGAACTCCAATTGTAGCGTCAACTTCAAAGACTCCGGATGCCCTTTTCTCTTCCCTCAATGCTTCTGGCTTACCAAACACCCCCGACGCTCATTCTTTCATAAATGAACTCTTCGCACGAGTACCTCGCAAGACCAAGCATAAGCACTCTGACAGCTCCCGAAAGCAAGCTGAGAAGGAAGCAAAGGCGCTGCGATCACAGAAGTATGGTTTCTTGCTTGAAGATGAAGCCCCGAATGATGTTGTGGAGCTGAAAAAGGAGAAACGAAAAGCAGAGGAAAAGAAAAGTGGAGGGAAGGATAAGCGGGAGCGGCATATACGGAAAAGAGAACATGATAGCAAGGAGTGGGAGAGTGACGAGGAGGAGAAGTCGAGGAAGCGTTGGAAATCGGACGATGAAGACCTGAGACGGGGGGACGTAAATGACGACGAATTGATTGAAATACCAGAGGACGAAGACACGAGAAGGGAGCGCGAACGTGCACGAGATATGGAAGAGCGAGACGCCTTCGCTGAACGAGTACGGGAGCGCGACAAGGAGAAAACGAAGAAAGTGGTTGAAGATCGTTCTTCACGGAATGCTGGTGCTGCAGCTGAAGCTGCACAGAGAAGGCAATTGGCCGATGACACGGAGGCTCGAAGTCAAGCCCTTCCATCATTACGGCTACACTCTCGACAAGAGTATCTTACGAAGCGAGAGTTGCAACAAATAGAATTGCTGAAAAAGGAGATCGCAGACGACGAGAGTCTCTTCCATGGCATGAAGGTATCAAAGCGGGAACGACAGGACCTCGAACGTAAAAAGGAGCTTTTGCGACTTGTCGAAGAACGTATGAAAATTAATGATAAGTGGGACGGATACCAGCTTCCCGAAGACTATATTACAGAACAAGGGAAGATTGACAAACAAAAGAAAGAAAACGCCCTTTACAAGCGGTACGAGGAAGCTAAACCTAAGGATGACCAGTTCGTTACCGATGTCGACCAGTGGGAGGCGAGTCAAACAATGCACAGTACCTTTCGCACTGGTGCCCTCGACAAACCAGAGCTTGTGGATGACTATGAATATGTATTTGATGAAAGCCAGACCATCAAATTTGTGATGGAAAATACCTTGGGTGGTGAAGGTATGATGAGTGCCAAAGATAAACTCCTGCAAATGCAGATTGACGAGGCCGAGAAAAGAGGTAAGCAGCGCGACACTTGCTATTCAATATATCCCTCATTTCTCTCTACATATAGCTCAGTCCATCGATGAAACACGCAAATCCCTCCCGATTTACACATATCGTGAACAATTGCTCGAGGCGGTCAAAGAACATCAAGTACTCATTGTTGTAGCTGAAACTGGATCAGGAAAAACTACCCAGCTTCCGCAGTATCTTCATGAAGCGGGTTATACGGCGAACGGACAAAAAGTCGGCTGTACCCAACCACGTCGGGTTGCCGCAATGTCCGTCGCTGCGCGTGTCGCCGAAGAGATGGGTACCAAAATCGGGTATGAAGTTGGCTACTCTATACGATTCGAAGATTGTACGAGTGACAAGACAGTTCTCAAGTACATGACGGATGGAATGTTACTTCGAGAGTTCCTGACAGAGCCAGATCTCGCGGGATATTCTGCTTTGATCATCGACGAAGCGCACGAGCGGACGTTGAGTACGGATATCCTTTTCTCGCTAGTCAAGGTGTGTGATGAGCTGTTCACAGACGCTATAGGGAGCTGATATCGTCAATAGGACATTGCTCGTTTCCGCCCTGAACTTCGGCTCTTAATTTCCAGTGCCACTATGGATGCTGAGAAATTTAGTGAATATTTCGATAATGCCCCCGTATTTTATGGTGCGTTGGTCTCAATTCTACAGTTTTGATTATAATTGAGCATCTGTACAGTTCCTGGTCGTCGTTATCCCGTCGATATTCATTATACTCCCCAACCAGAAGCAAATTATTTGCACGCCGCGATTACAACGGTATTTCAAATACATACAACCCAACCTCGCGGTGACATTCTCGTGTTTTTCACTGTAAGTACTGCTTATAGATGTCACACTCTGCGCAGCTGACAGCAACCATAGGGTCAAGACGAGATTGAAGCGGCTCATGAAAATTTGCAAGAGACAGCTCGGGCACTTGGTAACAAGATCGCCGAGCTCATAATCTGTCCAATTTATGCCAATCTTCCAAGTGACATGCAAGCCAAGATATTTGAACCGACACCTGAAGGAGCGAGAAAGGTTGTCCTTGCGACAAATATTGCGGAGACCTCTATCACCATCGACGGCGTTGTATTTGTGATTGATCCAGGTTTCGTCAAGCAAAATTCATATAATCCGCGGACTGGAATGTCCTCTCTTGTCGTTGTTCCCGTAAGTTTATTCTATTATAAACAACGAATCATCAATCTGATGTTTGGTGCAGTGTTCTCGTGCATCTGCAAATCAGAGAGCAGGTAGAGCAGGACGAGTCGGTCCAGGCAAATCCTTCCGGCTGTATACAAAGTGGGCTTATGCCAACGAGCTTGAAGAGAACACCGTCCCTGAGATACAACGGACTAACCTAGGGATGACAGTCCTCCTTCTCAAGTCTCTTGGTATCAACGACTTGATCGGATTCGAATTTATGGACCCACCGCCAGGAGAGACGCTCATGAGAGCTCTGGAGTTGCTTTATGCACTAGGTGCCTTGAACGACCGGGGGGAGTTGACGAAACTTGGTCGACGGATGGCAGAGTTCCCAGTCGACCCCATGCTGTCAAAGGCAATCATTTCTAGCGAAGACTATTCATGTACGGACGAGGTACGTTTGTTCTCTATGTCATTATGCTGAACTTACTGATCCGCTCCGTGCCTAGGTGCTTACAATCATATCTATGTTATCGGAATCGTCGTCCCTGTTTTATCGACCAAAGGATAAAAAACTTCATGCCGACCAAGCACGACAGAATTTCGTCCGAGCGGGTGGCGATCATTTCACATTACTCAATGTCTGGGAACAATGGGCCGAAACAAATTATTCACAGCAGTTCTGCTATGAGCAGTTCCTACAGTTTAAGAGTCTTAGTCGTGCACGAGATATTCGGGATCAGCTGGCAGGATTGTGCGAGCGCGTAGAGGTAGTTGTACAGGGCAACCCCAATTCGAATGATATCACGCCAGTACAAAAAGCACTGACTGCTGGTTATTTCTATAATACGGCTAGTCTTCTGAACCTTTCTTACTTTCTATTCGCTCATTGTGGATATGCAGGCACAACTCCAAAAGAGCGGTGATTCGTACAGGACATTGAAGACGAACCATACTGTATATATACATCCCTCCTCGAGTCTATTCCAGCACCAGCCTCCTGTGAAGAACGTGTTGTATTATGAGCTTGTAATGACATCGAAGTCCTATATGAGGTATGATCTCATTTTTATGCGTCGTAGTATGATGCTAACAGTTTACTCTCAGACAACTGATGGAAATCAAACCTGCATGGTTACTGGAAGGTGTGTATCCCGATAACTTTGCAAGGTATTCACGAGCTGATCATGGTTTGACAGTGGCACCACATTATTTCAAGCCTGCGGACCTTGACCAACTGGCAACTGGGGACAAAAAGATGCCCAAGGTCGTTGGTGCATCCAGCGCTGCGCCCTCGTAGGACCGTGGTAGGCTGTCCTTATCTGCTTAACGAGATGCCAAGGGCGTGCACATTTTGCTCTCACGTTTGCTGTCAGGTCCATGTATCAGTATGTTGTTACCCAAACGTTCCTTAAAAGACGTGACTTTGCAAATTGAGCTGCTGAGTATATTGCGTTGCAGTGCTTTTGCTGTCAACAAGGCGTGATCCAGACGTTCACTAAGACCGTTACTAATGAGATGTTTATGACCGCATCACGTGAACGAAAGTCTCCTATATAACATGCCCTCAGTGATTATGCATACTAATCACCTTCTAATTCACCGCTTTCCTCCACTACAAAACATGGTTAGTGTCAAGTATAACGGAACTGTTCTCGCAGAGAGTGATAAGACTGTGGTTGTGGAGGGAAACCACTATTTCCCCCTTGATTCCGTTAACCGAGAACATTTCAAAGACTCCAGCACAAGGTAACGAGATTTCATGGACTGAATTGTCTATCATTACTTACTTCTTTATATCAAAGTACTTTCTGCCCATGGAAAGGGTAATTTGCACGGTTTCTAGCATGCCAACCAACTTACATCCCCTTCACTTTTCAGAACTGCATCCTACTATTCCTACGAGTCTGCCGGTGACAAAGTCGACGACATTGCTTGGCAAGTGTGTTAATTTAGGCTGCGGACCGACCCACCTAATTCGTATGTTGTGCAGGTACTATGCGCAGCCGAAAGAAAAGGCAGCGCAAATTAAAGATCACGTCGCTTTCTACAAGGTGAGCCGTACGTTCTGTGCCAAGTGATCGTTACTAACGGAAACTGTCAGAGCAAGGTCGAGATATCCTCCTAAATGCCGCTGGGGCGTGTACTTGTATTGGCTGGATCTGTAAATTACAATGAGTTTGATGAAATGTACTGTTGTTAGCATCACGGCCAGTGTAATTCTAACGGTTGTTGAAGTAATCAGCCAGACGCGACTCACCGGTCATGGATTTAGGACTGATTCGCAATTCAATCCAAAATAGAATTCACAACAGGAGTATGGACAGAGCCTGGTCGCAATGAGATATGGATAGGGGACGCGTAAAGGGAGACATCCAGCGCGTTCCATTGTTCTGAGTTCGTGTTTGTACTGTATAACCGTATGGGTGAATCATGATAGCGAGAGCTGGGAAAGCATAGGGCTGCCCCATGTGAGAACCACACGCCGACCAACACTTGCTCTTGTTTCCTTTCCCTCCTGTCGGCTAAGTGAACATACTGCCATGCTGGATCGCCATATGAACAGAATGCAGCTCAGCGCCTGTCCAGATAGCTCCGCTGGAGATAGAAAGCAACGCTGTTGGGAACCCAGCCTACATCTGATAGGTCTTCGCCGAGATAAGGATGGATCTCTGTCGGCGAGAACCGGCTTGGGGAACTGTGGCTGGAAATGAGCTCGTTTTACGTATGGCAGAGCATCAGGTGCTCTCCAGCTTTATCATCCTACAAACTCTCCCCATATTCCTCGCTTTTCGTCCAACAAAAACTAACACACATATACTGCAAGCTTTCCTGTCCTAGGCATCCCCCGCTTCTGCGGGGTTGAGAGATGCAGTCAGGCAGTGCAAAATGGACCGCAAGCAGCATGATCGGTACGTTTCATGTCTCTCGTCGCCCTTGGCTACATCTCTACATTTTTGTTGCATTTCAGCTGGTGCAGGAGGCGGCCTCGTAGCCGCTGTCGCAACTTGCCCTTTGGATGTAGTAAAAACGAAACTACAGGCTCAGCCGTTAGTGGTGGGCCAACCGGGTTACCTCGGTGTTTTGGGTATGTTTCAAAGGCCCCTTACATTCGTTAACGTGCTGAAACGGCTCTACCCTCTTCCTACTCCCTACAAGACACCGTAAAGACCATTCTACGATATGATGGCGTACGCGGAATGTATCGAGGACTCGGTCCGACAATATTAGGCTATCTTCCAACCTGGGCTATTTACTTCACGGTTTATGACGGAATAAAAAGGCATTTCGGAGAACCGTCCCTGGGGCAAACAAAGTCTCATGATCGGCTGTATCCTGCCCCCCAAACCAAGGGTTACCAACCCCTCATGCGAGACCATGCCTGGTCTTTGCATATTTGTTCGGCGATGATTGCTGGAGCGACAAGCGCGACATGCACCATGCCGTTCTGGGTGATTAAAACACGATTTATGGTACAGTTATACCCCTAGCTCCTTTTTTTGCGTTCAAACTTGCGATCATTTACCTCGTCGCACTTACCCAGACCCAATCTCGACGGGAAGTGAGATACCGTCACACGTTCGACGCCGCCCACATGATTTATCGGACCGAGGGTCTTCGTGCATTTTATCGTGGACTATTACCGAGCCTTTTGGGCATCACGCATGTCGCGGTGCAGTTCCCGTTGTACGAACAACTCAAGGTTTGGGCACGTGAGTACTGCCCATGTCACCTAATTCAGGGACGTTATCTGACAAGATCGTTCCTAATCTTCGCAGAAGGACCCTCGGACGCCCCTCTACGCAGTGATGTTATACTTTTGTGTTCTGCTATATCAAAGATGACGGCCTCGATTGCTACATATCCCCATGAAGTGGTTCGAACGAGGCTCCAAACTCAAAGACAACCATTGGCAGACGACGCTTCGTCAGATGGCATGGTCAAACGACATATACGGAGAGGATTGATTTACACAACCAAGAAAATTATCCAGAAAGAAGGATGGACGGGTCTATATAAAGGGTTATCGATTAACTTGGTCCGAACAGTGCCGAACAGTGCAGTGACGATGCTAACGTGAGTCCCTTCCCTCTGATCTCCGTGGATGTTTCAGCACTCAATGGTGATCCCTTCTTTCTTTTATCTTTTATTAGCTACGAGCTGCTGATGCGACACTTGACGTCTCAGTCATGAGTAATATTGCCACTGCCTAATAATGCATGGGGGAGTATATCGCGTAAGTTTTGTATAAGGGGTTGCACAATCGCATTTTCTAGAAGAGACCATAGATGTTCTCGTGTATACTACCACATTCGCTTGCCACTTTATTTTTTTTTCTGTCTTATTGCAAACTAATGTGATATAATCATTAAAGATCCCTTTTTTTTCTTTCTGGTTTGGCTTGGCTTTAAATTCAGTTTATGTGCGTTTCTCGCCCGCGCGCGCACCCCGCAGTCCAAGTTGCGCCTTGAGCAGATCTTGCGCGCGTTTACTGTCGAACGCCGGGGCCCAGCTTCCATTTGGATATGACATTCGAAGAGGTGCCCATCGTGGGCTAGGACATCATCATCACTATCATCATCCCAACTTCCCCCGCTTATAACATAACATGACATCTCCGGCGTTCGAATTGAGTGGATGCATGCAGCCAGGAAGCAGGAAGGCTGGACTGTCTTCTGAGTCTTTTTTTATTTTATTTTAATTTTTCTTTCGCAGACGCTCGTCTTGAGCACGACCCTCGCACCGGTATTCCCGGTCGGATTCGTTCTATCATGCACAAAGGTTCGGCCAGTGCAGGCCGACGTACGATATCGTTCTCTAGCCCCGGTTCTGACTATACTTATACGGAGGACTTCGACGCGTTCTCTCTCTCGTCTTATGCAGCTCGCCTATGGATATGACAAAAAAAAAGCTTTATTTAGAGAATGGAAAAAAAAAAAAAAAAGGGCGGTCCGAATGTCAGTTCAAGTATTAAAAGTAGCACAACAGTACAAAAAAAAATCCAACGTTGTGTGTGTTGTTGCTTCATCATCATATTATTAAAAGAAAAAAAAAAGAGGCGTCGTACTATGGTATCTCAAGCAACCTGTTACAAAAGTGCTCGTTTTTCCTTTCTTCCCCCCGCCCCCCAAAAAACATAAGTCGTCTAGCAGCATGAAACCATAGGTAAAAAAAGGAGCGTGGAATCGCAGTGAGAACGGCACCGGTGGGTGTGAGGCACATGCAAAGTTTGGGATACGGCCATGCGCAGATGAAAAAGATGGGGGGGGCATGGGAAACGGAAATGAGGGTAGGAGTGGGAATCAGAGTCCGAGGAATATTTGACAAGTGGGATGGGGCATAAAGAGCGAAAAGACCCACGATGAGCGAGAACACGTAGACAGGTTATTTGAGTGATTTCAACTAGGGGGAATACGAGAGTCCAAGTAAGAAAGCAAAACGGCCACTGCTAGGAACTACCAAGTGCCATGACAAAAGGTAAGAAACCAGCCGTGTAATAAAGTGAACAGGCCGCAAAAGTATAAGGCGTATAAGAGGTAAATCGTCAGAAGCGACAACGAAGGGGGAAACGCAACTACACATCGCATATCGATGCCACATCAGAATACGACTAGAAGGTAAAAAAAAAAAAGGTATCCGAGAAGATATACAACCACCAATGAGAACCAAATCACGAATAATGTAGAAAACAAAACGCGTACGATGAAACCTGGGGCTAGTGGTCCTGCACTGTATCACCAGCATCACTTAGGGTTTCCACTCTAACCCCTCTCGACGAGCTGACACTCCGTATATCTCTACCTTCTTCTGCCAGCTCTCTGCTCAATAGTTCATTGTCCTTCCGACCATCCTGCGGGTCCGACCCATCCCCTTCATCTACAGGGGCACCCGCGAAATCGGGTTTTCGGAGTGCCTTCCTGAAAGCATCCGCCATAATCGCAGCATCGGCACCAGAAAATGGGCCTGAGTCACCAGCAGAATTTGCACGCGAGATCGTGGATGCGCCATCAGGTGATACGACTGATGGTGCGTGATGCTGGTCAGACGTGGCGTGGTCTCCTGCACCGACTGCGCCCATACCACCCAGAAGCGGTAATTGAGGCGAGTTGGAGTTCTGGACGTTCGCCATCATGGGAGACGATGACCCCATGGATCCCCGATTTGAAGACGCACTACGTCTGCGTAATCTACGCATGATGAGCCATGTCATCACCCCTCCAGCTACTATGGCAAGGAAGCCTAGCACGACTATGACAGCGATTGCCCAATGCGGAATTGCTGTTTTGTCGCCTTGAGATTGGACGCTCCCAGGAGAGCTGATGGAAGTTTCGGCTGAACCTGATGTAGTGACAGAGGTGGGGACAGATGAAAGTGAAGCTGAGGAGGCGGAAGCAACGGACGCTGATGATATTGAGGAAGCGACCGAGTCTAGATAGGTGGTTTCTAGTGCAGATATAATCAGGTTCTAGACGCCTGACATGAAATAGAAGTGATATTTACGTAGAGCAGTGAAAGTTGGCTGTGTCGTCTGAGAGCCATCTAGTCCTTCCTCTGCGCTGGTCAGTATCCAGAAATATTGGTATGACATATTCTGGCCTGGGGCCCAAGAAGCGCCTTTTTCGCCAAACCAGGTGTCATTGACGAGGGTAGTGAAGGTACCAGGGGTGCCGTTGAGAGGATTAGACTTGTTATACCACGCAAATAGTTGTGAAAGAGAATCAGCATCATAAAGGTACAAGTTGACTTGGTTTGTCTGCGTGATTTGAGGACGACGACTGTTCCCTATGATAGAGAGGAGAGGTTGGGGGTATGGATGTGAAGTAAATTAAGGCGACTTACAAACGAAGCCGGCATACTGATGCTGGAGTACAACAGTACCGTTTGACGGGAAACAAGAGACGATGTTGTTACCAGAATAAGTCTCACACTGAGTCTGTGCAGCGACTGTAAAGAGAAGGGAGTTTAGATTGAATGGAAGAGTGAAGAGGTAGTGGAGCGAAATGCGATGAAGATAGGGCGGAGTGGGATGGGGAGGGAGAAAGGAAAAGGGGAACGAACCGTATTGGGGGTCTTCTGATATCTGTCTAGCGGCTACTGTGGATTGACGGGGAGAGCGCAGGTCATGTTGTCTCTTTCTTTTTGATCTGGAGGGCGATGTTGGCGGGGAAGGAGTCTGTGCAGGCCAGGGAGAGTTCTGAGAAGGAAGAGCAGCCATTGTAGAGGAATATGAAGATAAAATAAGTGAATTGGATGAGTCTAAGGGGAACAAGCTGGAGTAGAGGGAGCAAAGAAGGCGTAGGAAGAGCGGAGGATAATATTCTGAAGAATGTGGAAGGTTGCTCGCATCATCCAGGTGGGAGAGCAAAGCAAAAGAGCTCGTACCCTTTGGGTGGGGAACGACCGTGGTGGTGACGGGGATGGTGTGGGCGACGACGACGACGACGAGGAGGAGGGTGTGGACGACGAGCGACGAGTCCAAGGTCGGGGACAGCGTTGCAAAAGACGACCTCAGAATTCTCAAAGACCCGGAATACCCCCATTATGTAATAACACCTCATACCGCCCGGTACTCCCACACGGCCTCAAATATACATATTTATATTGGATATCTCTCTCGAATACCTGCTGCATGCGAGCCAACCCTCGCCCGCTCTCACTGTGTCCTGCCCGCTCGTCGTTGTGCGGTGGTCACATGACTGGACCCCAGGGTATATTGGTTACATCACTGAGTGTATCTAGATCACATGGGAATCTATCCTTTCATCCAAACACCCGGTTCCAGGGGACCCGACCCATAATTAGCCCCCACCGACCCATGCCCGAAATGCATGCCTGCGTCTGTGAATCTGCCATGGCCAGCGCAATCATTTGCTGCTAAAAACACATCCATGCTAGTCGCCATACATGCCCTCTTCTTATAATTGGTAACGGTCTATCGTGCCCGGGTACCTGAGAGTCCATCGGCGAAACGTTTTGATCCATCTGGAAAGCAGTTCACTTCTCGGGTGGGAGCTGCGGGTCATTGCGAGCGTATGGATATCCACTCCCCACTCCTCCCATTCCCACTCCTGCTCACTTCCCTCCTACCTACCAAATCAAATCAGCTTACCTTGTTCGCCTCATTTACACACTCCGCCACGGGGCCTCTTAATCTACAGCCATAGAACAACGGATACCCCATCTGCAGTGATTAATTGTCCACTGACGGGCATTGGTGGGCTTTGGAACCTCGCCATACTTAAATTAACGAGTAGTCTTGTCTTGTGATAGACAGAGTCAGAGACAATACATCCAAAAAAGGGCATACCAGCATTACGTAATACACACCACCCAACGTTCAGAACATTTGTGCCACTGTCTGTCTATTGCAATGGTTGCTGACAGAGGATACACTATCTTGCTAACTCACCTCCATCGCCCTTCCAACACCCTCCCTTTGTCTACCATCCAAGCCTCAATCACACACTTTCTCGCAAACCCTCAACCACTCCCAACGCCTCTCTCTGCTGCCGTCGTCAGCAGCCCGTCCTTTCAGCCATTATCCCACTCCAAACTCCAAGCTCTCAACACTTCTTTCCGCCATGCTGTTCATATAAAATCATGCGCTCTCAAGTCTGACCAGCCTGGCATATTTGCACAGAGTATCGGTGCGCAGTTAAAGAGCTGGGCTTCAGCTGTCGTAAAAGGTCTCCAGGGAGGACAAGCCATCATAAAATTGGCATGCTGTAGCGGTCTGTTGCTTGGTTTGGACGACATCACATCAACCTTACCTACCAATCAGCGAAACATTCGAGGCCGTGTAGAAGATGAACTCGTGTTGACAGTTGCCGAGGTCATTGATATCTTCTCCTTCAGGCAGTCCTTTGATGCATGGGGAAAGGCCTTTGAGCCCGCTACAGAAGACGGAGAAGGTGAATAGCGTATCATATCGAGGTATGCAAACTCTGATAAGACTGATCCAGTCGACGCACTGTCCTTGGCTTTGATCACGGGGTCCCAGTCATTACTGCTAGTAGCTTCTGATAAAGTGGCAGCACTCCCTCTGGCAGTAAGTTCCATGAATTACCTACAGACTGTATTCTGAAAGTTTCAAGTCTCTTTTGAGACTCGTCGCATACACAATCAGTTCTGCGTTCCAGTCCGGTATTTTCCTGTCGTCTTTGCACTCTTCGGTGCTTTGCAATGAAGAATCCAGAGTGCATATACCCGTCAGTCTGTTCGTTTATCGCGATCGAACCACTCACTGAATATTTATCTAGACCGCGGCACCAATACGGACTGCAGTTTACTCCATATCATCTTCACCATTGATATCATCCATGGGCTCACTATCGAAACTCTGCGCGAGGACGCTGTCGATTCTAATAGATAACCGGCCCAAGCAGCATATGAACGAGATCCTTAGTACCTTTGAGCTGCTCGAGTCTATTGCGGCAAAACTCGATGCTGATTGGTCGAGCAGCATTTTATCTGAAGGACTTGACCATGACTCGATTGGTACGGCGCATATTATATTTATCCTCTTCATACATTTCATTATCAACATGCCGCAGCTCCAGATAGTCGGGAAATAACGACCTCACTGTGGAATATCCTGAAGACGCTTCTTTTCGCCACGATCATGATTACTGAATCAGCTCTGTCCACCATCGTCTTCCTCCCACCTACACTTTTTCAGGGTTCGTCCAGGGTATCCCCGAAGGCGGTGGTATTGGCTCCGCAGCTACCCTCGACGTGTGCGTTGACCACCCTCCACACGCTCTCTCATCTATCTTTTGTGATTTCACAATTCGGTGGCGTGACAAGCACTGCGACAGGGGGGTTTGTGGAGCTTAAAAAAGCGTTTTATACGGCGCTTGATGTCCTTTCTGCTGATTCCGCAGAAAGCGAGCGATTTGTAAGAGAGCTGTGTGATTCCCTGAAATCCAATGGTAAAATATTCATATTCTCAGCATGAGAAAATATTCAACTCCTTTATGATCTAGGCATCAACTCTATTCACCCCGTTCAGAAAGTCAAACAAGCATTTGCACTTGCGAGTATCGAGCAGCTCGTACCTGTTCTTGATCCAGTTATCGTAGAGGACGTCATCCTCCCCCTATGTCTACCGTGAGCCCCCCCTTTCTCAGTCATGTCCATCCGAAAAAACTCACGCACGCCTGCTGTATCCAGACTCCTGTCTGATTCCACTCATCGTGAGACCTATGAATCAGCACACAGTGTTGTGCTTGCCATCCTTGCTTCGCACACCCAGAAAGGTGGCCAAGGGAACATTCCCTCGTCTACGGGCCGACCCGAAGCGCGTATCAGAGAAGACAGTCAGCATGTTGCCAACTCAGGTCTCCACGCGAATGGTCGGTTTGCGGTGTGCATTATCCCGTTTTATGCTGCTTGTTTGATAGAGGTGAGAACGTGTCCTTGATTGATCATCTTGAGTGCTTAAAGCGGTGTGTCCCCTGCGTTTGTGGTGTGATAGAATTCGGTGGAGGGCACGTTGAGCGATACTCAGCTGTGCCTTGCGTATGCTGCGCTGGTTCGAAGCGCGAGTACTTCGGCAGACGATACGAGGGATGAGCAGTATGCTCTTGCGTGGTTCTGCGTCGATGCGCTCTTGACCGCCATACGCTGGCTTTCATATCCTACTTCCGCAAACGCGAACGCGGATCGTCTACACCGTCTACACCTGACCCTCATATCCTGCGTCCCCTCCCTCCCACTCCCACTCCTTCCTCGCGTGCTGGAGGCAACACGCGCCATCGTCGACTCGGCGTCTACTGCAGATCATACCCAGCGCCAAGAGCTGGTAGACGCCCTGTTTGCTGAGATCACGGAGCATGTGGGTGATAGGGAGAGGGAGCTGACTATGCGGTGGTGGATTGAGAATCGGAAGAGGTGGGAGGTGAGGGGTCAAGGAGGTGCGCAACTTCGGGGTGCATCGAGGGGCGGAGAGAGTATGTTTGGGAAGTGGTGGGCTGAGCGGCTGGGAAGGTCTTTGGGGGCTGGGCAGGGTGTAGTTGCAGATGGTGTTGTCGATCAGGGTGAAGCTGAGCCCACTGCGAGCGCTCGATTGTGATGTGCTTGTAGGTCCTGCTCTCTTTTTTTTTTTTAATTTTTTTTTAATTTTAAAAATTTCAGTTGACCAGTTATTTCTTGTACTTTCATAGTATTGAAACATTAGATTATTTCAGGGATTGCTTATGTGAGTATGTAAGGTATGTCTGCATATATTCGGGTGATATGTTTACTCTGTTGTTTGAGCTGTGAGTTTGGTGGCTCGGGTCAAAGTTGTTATCAGGACGGCGACCTACAAATGTCCGCGATGTATTAGGAGTTATATGGATATGCATCCTGATGAGCGGCTCGCAAATGCCTTAGCTCGCTGTAGCTGCGTTTACTGGACAACCCTGTAATATCGTTGATACGCGTGCTCATTAAGGCGCTCATTGATGTCACATGAGAGGGAACATCCTGAAATTTGTACGTACATTGGTGCAAACTTTGATCCAAAACATGTCACTCGTGTTCGTGCCACATAAGTATCATGATATATATATATAAGTTAACCCGTTTGTCGTCCTTGTCGGTCAGCCTCCCTGTGTAGAGGACGAGCAGATACTTCAAGGTATGGCTGAAATACAATCGCTCGCGGGTCCCCTTCCAACTATCCCGGATAACCTTACGCTCGCCCAGTTCATACTCGACTCGCAACACCCAGCCAGGCCGATACGCACGGCTGACTCGCCATGGATCATTGACGATCGCACGGGACGAGGAATCGGATTAGAAGAGGTAGGTGCATGTCTGAAACTAATGACTGTGAAATACGATACATGCAAGAACGGCGTGGGCTTCTCAGGCTATCATTCGTTATCTTTCACTGTGTCAGTTTTTTTACGCTTTGGAAGGTTACTGAACGGAAGGTCTCCTAGCTACGTGTGCGGACGTACGGTCTCGCCAATGCACTTTGCTTTAGATATGGTATAAGTGAGTTCAGAGAATTGTCGATGGTTGTCGTTGCTAGAGTCTAATGGCTGTTATGCTGTTAGAGGAAGACGATGTGGGTGAGTGGTAGCGTTTTTCCACCTATTATCCGAGATTAAGTACTTACTGAACGGCATGTGCTCGCTAGTCCTACTCTTCAGCCCCAACCACGTCGGTACGTGACGCTCTTCATTTTTTTTTTGTTTCCCACTTGCATGTAGCCTCATTTACACACCATGAAGATTACTTGGTAGCAGTGTGGGCTGCTCACAGACTGGGTGCTGTTATGTCGTAAGTCAACCATCACTTTATCGCCTGTGCTTCAGAACTCGGATCAACTTGAGGTTAACCTTGGGAAAAACGTTGCTAGTGGGGCCAACCCTCTGTTCTCCGCGGGCGAGCTCGAGTATCAGATGAGGGAGACGAGAGCGAAGATGATCATCACGCACCCTGATTCGTGGGGGGTTGCGCTTGAGGCGGCGCGAGCGTCGGGTGTTCCGGATGAGAAGGTCGTGGCGTTTGATGTTGAGGGGGCCCCCGATGAGCGCGTGGGCGGTCCGACGTGCGTGACGGTGCAGGCGTTGATTACGCAGGGGTTGGAGACTCCGCCGAGTTTTGTGGAGAGGAGGCTGGAGGAGGGAGAGGGGAAGACGAAGTTGGCTTTCTACAATTTCTCTAGTGGGACGACGGGTAGACCAAAGGTATCAAAAGTTTCGTGTTTGGCGCTCTTCATATCATACCCAATAATTCTTTTAGGCTGTGGCAATACCACACATTGCCCCCATTGCCAACATCCTCCAGCTAGCGGCACATAACAAGGTGAACCAGAACTATTGCCCATGGGAAGAACAAAGGTTTAGGCCAGGAGATATATGCAACGGCGGTGAGAGTTCTGTGTCTTAGGTATGGGTGTTAGAGCTTATTGTGTTTTTAATGCCGTAGCCCTCCCTCTTTATCGTGAGTCTTTGTTTGTGGTGGATGTGGTGTTCTTGGTCTGACCAGAAGTAGATATATATGGCTTGGTGTTTAACGTGAGGGTTTTCATATTACTGATAGTCTCCTAGCATGTATCTAATCGCACACAGAGTCATTTTAGCTTTTTTTGTGGGGTGCGTTGTATATCCATCTATGTGGACGTGTGTCTAATGGGGATACAAAATCCAGATGTCGTTTGTCCTGACAGCTAAATTCAACTTTATCGAATTTTTAAAGAACATTGTAACATATCGTATCACTCATCTCTTGTAAGTCATTACATTCGCATTTTTCATCTTTTGATGGGACAAAGCTGATTATCACGATTGTATACCAAGGCTTGTCCCGCCACAGATTGTGCTCCTCTGCAAAGTAAACCCCCATGCTTCTTGTCGTCACCGGTGCTGAATGGTTTAGTAGCATCCAGCAGTGAAAGATTATGATCTCAGTCATGTGCGGTACATCACATCAGGGGCAGCGCCCTTGAGTCGCGAGCTCATGGAACGTCTTGTCGAGATATTCCCAAATGCCGCCCTAGGCCAGAGCTATGGTCTGTTCCCCATATTTTCTGTCCACCGCCTCTAAAAACTGACGCAATAGTGATATTTGGGCAGGTACAACTGAGACGTGCACCGTCGTCACTTCTTTGGCGATCGAGAAGAAGCAGGACTTGAGTGGCAGTGCAGGAACGCTGTTACCTGGCATCACCGCCCGGGTGGTGAAACCTGATGGATCTTTGGCGGATTTTGGAGAGCCGGGAGAGCTGGTGGTCAAAACACCGTCGATTGCTCTTGGGTATTCCAATAACGAGAAGTCGTGCGTATCCTGGTGAAATAATATATAAATTTAGAACTGAAATATTTTCGACAGGACGAAAGAGACGTTCGTGGATGGGTACGTGGCGATGGTGACTGGAAGCGTGGTTTTTGTACTGAGTGGTTTGTTTACAGTTGGATGCGTACGGGTGATGAGGTGAAGATAGAGAAGAACGCTGAAATTTTTGTGCTAGATCGTTTGAAGGCAGGCACCCACCGCACCCAGTTCTGGTCGTCTGTACTGACTAGGCACCTTGTAGGAAATGCTGAAAGTGAGAGGCTTCCAGGTAGCCCCAGCTGAACTGGAGGGCTGTCTCCTGGATCATCCAGACGTCGCGGACACCTGTGTTGTCGGAATAACCGATGATTACAGCGGCGAGCTACCGCTTGCATTCGTTGTTCTCAGACCTGAAGCAGGGAAGCGTGCAGAAAGTAGTGCCAGTGCTGCGAATGACATCAAACAATCTATCATGAAAGTGCGTGCTCGAATTGTCTGTATTAAAAGGGTGGCATGGTTGACGATGGTGCGGCTGACAGCATGTTGCTGATAACAAGGTGGCATATAAGAAACTGGCTGGAGGAGTTGAGTTTGTCGATATGATTCCTAAGAACCCAAGTGGTAAGCTCCTGAGGAGGGTGTTGCGCGACAAGGCGCGGGAGATGCGGGCCAGCACGAAAGCGAAACTATAGTGCGAGGTGCTCGAGAGTTGTGGTATATAGGGTGTATATATATGTGTGACTGAGAGGGGGTGGATTTGCAATTGACTGCGGGGAAAGAGAGGTGGTTGAAATTAATGATAGATTGTGTCTAAACCGGAAGTAAATCGTTATTGAGTCCTATTAGTCATTAACCTCGATCACAGTATATATCATGATAGCGCTCAAGTGACGCTGGCTCTCGTTCAGTACAGTATACTTATCATGGACTGGTTGTAGAGGCGCGCGCCACCCACCGTAATGGTATAGGTGGTTGATACTGGTCCCGGTTACTAAAGACTACGTACGTCCCACTAACACCTATCTATCGGAACATAACTGTGGCGGCACTGTTTGTAAGTCCACTGGTTTAGTAGTCGCCAACTCGGGTACAAAGTTGCCCACTCGTATAAATTGCCCATGGACATTCCCATACCTTATTGCTTCAAGGCGTTACACAACGAAGCGGTGCTCGATTTGCTGAAGCTTCAATATTCGCGTGCAAGGATCGAAGGAAGAACGTGAACAAATTCACCCCAGAACCATCCGTTTCTTCCCATCCGTTTCTTCCCATCCGTTTCTTCTCCCAGCTCTCTCTCTCGTCGTTCAGCATCATGTCTGAAATCTACGGCCCTCCTTTGCTCCCTCCGATACCTGACGACCTCACCATCCCTCAGTTCTTTCTCGACTCGCACCACACAACGAGGCCAGTGCGCAAGCATGGAACCCCTTGGTTTATAGAGGACAAGACTGGCAGGAGTTTTGGCTTTGAAGAGGCGCGTTGGCAGTTTGTAACGCTACGAGTCTATCTCTGACTGTATGCTACCTTAAAGATCCGTGCCAGAACGTTTGGAATGGCAAATTCTTTGAGATTGCGCTTTGGCATCAGTATGTCTCTCATGTACTTTCGAGGAGAAGTTCTCTGACTGAAAGATCGTAGAGGAAGATGATGTTGGTACGTGAGAGTCGTGTATGACGGTCATTCGTGTCTCAAGCTTTATGCAGTCCTTATTTACAGCCCTAATCATATTGGTGGGCGGAATTATTCATTTTCTGTAGAATGAATGACCTGACTGTGCATTTCATTTACTTAGATTACCCTGTCGCAATTTGGGCAACACACAGATTGGGTGCCATCGTATCGTAAGATGATTCGCTGTGATTCTCGCTCAGAATACTCATGTGTCATAGTGGCGCAAATCCAATGTACACTGTCGAGGAATTACTCTACCAAATAGAAACGACGAAAGCTTCGATTATAATCACGCATCCCATGTCGCTCGACAATGCATTGTCGGCTGCGAAAGCTGCGGGTGTCCCCCAAGATCGCGTCTTAACGTTTGAGGACTCACCAAGTAAAAGTCTCATCACAGTGGAACAACTCATCTTGGAGGGCTTAGCTCAAGAAGCAAGTTTCGTCGAGCGGAAACTTAACCCTGGTGAAGCACGGACAAAGGTTGCTTTCTTGAATTTTTCCAGTGGTACAACAGGAAAACCAAAAGTAAAAAATCGTTTTGAGCTTCATCATGGTTAAATATGACTTTGTTTCCAGGCGGTTTTAATATCCCATTATGGACCTATCACAAATGTCATTCAGACGGCTGTGCATATGAATGTGAACCAGAACTATTGCGCTTGGGAGGATCAAAGATTCAGGCCAGGGGATGTCGGTGCTGGTAGTAAGTTGTATTGCAATATATCATATTTGTGCACATATTGACATCTTTCGAGTTCTCCCTTTCTTCCGTTGAGTAATCTCCTTTCTGAAACAAGGGCATAAGCATAACATTCATTCTTACAGATATATATGGGCTGGTTATAAGTGTAAGATCAAGTGGATATTCATCTTGCTATCTTCCATACTCAATCCATTATAGATCCACTTTATGATTTACAGTGGAGTGAGTACTTGATCATAATCGCCTACAATCAGCCTATTCAACCATTTCGCAGATGGCATTGGTCATCATCCCCAGGTTTAGTTTCGTCGATTTTTTGAAGAGTGTCGTCTCGCACAAAATCACTCATTTGATGTGCGTCTTTCATCTCCGTTCCCCAATATATCGACAAAGTTGAAGCTACCTATGAAGGCTCGTACCTCCTCAAATCGTACTCCTTTGCAAGGTAGTGAACTTGGCATTTGTTCTGTTCTGTTTGTCGGACTGAACTCTCCACTAGCATCCGGCTGTAAAGGACTTTGATCTGAGCCATGTTCGTGTGCTGTTATCAGGAGCTGCGCCTCTATCAGCGGAACTGATGAACCAGCTCGTCAAACTATTTCCGAAAGCGCAAATTGGTCAAGGCTACGGTATTTATATATGCTAATTTGGAAGATCATCTCGTTTACATGAAAACACACACAGGTCTCACGGAATCGTCGACCTCCATCGCCATGCTTCCGCCGGACCAAAAGATAGGCGTACCAGGCAGCGTTGGTCGGCTACTTCCAGGAGTTGTAGCCCGCATTGTCAAACCAGATGGTTCTCTGGCGGGCTTCAATGAACCCGGAGAGCTTACTGTAAAGATGTCTTGTATGGCTCTAGGATACTTCAACAACGAGAAAGCGTAAGTTAGGTTTCACGTGTCCTCAGATAAACATCTGACAAATTACATTAGCACGAGAGAAACATTTGTAGATGGGTATATACGTTTCCAACGAAGGACAGTGCACCATGTACTTACATTTTTCTAGCTGGCTTCGCACAGGTGATGAAGTCATCATTAACGACAAAGGGGACGTGTTTATTGTGGATCGTCTGAAAGTAGGTATTATCTCCCGCGTTCAGCCTGACGTTAATCGAATTCTCGATAGGAAATCTTGAAAGTCAGAGGCTTTCAAGTCGCTCCGGCTGAGTTGGAGGGTTGTTTGTTGGATCATCCCGATGTAGCGGATACATGTGTTGTTAGTGTGCCTCATGATTATAGTGGAGAGGTACCCCTGGCCTATGTAGTACTACATGCGGATGCTGCGAAGCGAGCTGAGGCTGACCCAGCAGAGGCCAATCGAATCAAGGCATCGATTGCGAAGGTGAGTTTGTATAGCTGTTGATAGACTTGCTATCGTTGGCTAATTTTCATATAGCACGTCGCTGACAATAAGGTGGCCTACAAGAGGCTGGAAGGTGGTGTAGAGTTCACGGACATCATTCCAAAGAACCCGAGCGGCAAAATGCTCAGGCGTGTCCTGCGTGATAGAGCACATAAAATGAGGGCAACGAAGACGAAGACGACTGCTAAGCTCTAGGTTTTCATTTTAAGACGTGCCGTTTCCACGATCAAGTTGAATGATTTTGTTAGGCTGGTTGGATTCAACTCACCACTTGTTTTATATTTACACTTTATGTATTCAACACGCAGCGTCCCTTCGTATACTTGAGAATGATATCCATTTGGAAACACACTTCGAGGACTACTCTGGAAAGATCAAGAACTGAAAGGTCACATGATCAATATACGCGTATGCTCCTGGGCCAGTACTAGTACAGGCCGCGTACTTGTTTGCTCTAACTTATAACTTTCATGAGCTCCGGTACTCTGTATTATCAATAAAAGGACGGATTCGTACTCTTCATCATACTTCTCCACATGTCCTCACCTGTCAAGCTATACGTGTATGATCTCAGCAATGGACTGGCTAAACAGATGTCTATGCAGCTGACAGGTCGTCAGATAGACGGCGTTTGGTTTGTATATGTCACTTATAGTGCATTTCTTCACCTGATCTATGCACCTTGAAGTACAGGCATACATCAATCGTAGTCTATGGAAAAGAAATCTTCTATGGACAAGGAATCAGCATCGTGCAACCTGGGCAATCACACGTGAGTACTCATCTACAACTATTGGAAATCTTCGTCCCTATTTACTCGACCATTCGAAAGCATGGGGCACCACTTCAGATTGTTGATATGGGAGAGACGGCTTTAGATGAGGAAACGTTTACTGAATACCTCACGGAAATGCGAGAACATTATACGGCAGACAAAGTAAGCATAGCGATTAGCGCCCTTTACTTTGTCGTATGCTGACATTGTTTTAGTACCATCTCTTAGGTAAAATCATACTGTACACTTGAACGAGCATTAACTAACTGCTGATGCCTGGAAGATTTCAACTGCAATTCGTTTACTAACGATTGCATTGGGTTTTTGACCGGTGGATCTATTCCCAGCTTCATTAAAGGTTTGTCATTTCTAATGCTATAACTACAACCTTTGAACCCGATCTCTTTTTGCAGACCTTCCCGCCGATTTTCTTTCTACCCCATTCGGCGCTGCTCTTCGTCCAACCATAGATGCCATGTTTCGCGGTCAAGCTGGTCCCGCACGCCCACAAGCGGCACCAGCGCCATCATCTTCAACCATGCCTGATCCTGCACTGACTGCGTCGCTCCTACAAGCCGTCGCCGCTCGCGCAGCATCAGGTTCATCTTCCTCTGGCTACCTCCCGACTCCAGCGCCCACATCTCCCTCGACACCGTCTCAGGCTGGCACTGCAAGCTTGACTGCTCCGATTCATGTGTCTACCAACCCAGCGTCTTTCAACGCTCTTCTTCGCAGTCATCGCGCTGTCATTGCGTTCTTTACTAGTGCAACATGTGGACCGTGTCGCATGATTGAGCCTGTTTTTGAAGAGCTTGCGAATGCGAAGAGTAAGAGTAATGGTGTTGCATTCACTAAGATCGATCTTAGTGTAGGAATGGGCGGGTCGGTGGCTTCGGAGTGGGGAGTTCGCGTCACTCCGACGTTCATTTTCTTTTTGGACGGTAAAAAGGTTTGTCCTGTGCAATTATGTCTCTCCGTCGGGTCCATTTAAGTTTTCTCTCATAGTCGCACGAACTTAAAGGCGTCAATGGACCTGAACTGCGCACTCAGGTCGACCTACTTATATTCCAAGCTTTCCCGCGTAAGCCTTGATTGTACTCAATGGATTAATGAGTCTTTCTAACATTATCGCATGTAGCACACCCACACACTTCCCTATCTTTACCTACCATACAAGCCTTATCGCTCAACCCCATCTTGTTTACTCAAGTTCCAGCTCTCGAATCTGTCTCCACCAAGCTGCAAGGATTTATTGATGCTGCACCAACATGGAGCAGCCCGCTACCCAAGGCCGAGGTGAAGCAAGTTCTGACGCAACTTGTGTTACCTTACTTGAAAGCCAAACATGTTTCAAAGCCGCCCCTGCCTAATGTGAAAGCCCCGCTGGACCGTTGGGCACAAGTCACATTGTGTTTGTCGTCGTCATTGGCTGTCAACGATCTGTTCCCTCTGGTAGACATGTGGCGGCTGGCACTACTGGATCCTGGCGCATCTACTTGGTGTGCTTCTAACAGGAGCCAGAGCAATCCTACGAGTATATTTCTCACAAAGGCAAACGATCTCCTGGAAAATTCAACTCCAGCCGTTAATCCAAGGAACTTTTTGCTCACGGTGTTGCGCATGTTTTGTAATGCTTTCTCGAGCGAGGTTTTGGCTCGGGAGTTACTCTCGAGTAACAAAACCAACATCGCAACGCTTCTTGTCAATACACTCTTGCATAGTGACGCTACTGTGCGTACAGCTGCTGCAAGCTTGGCATTCAACTGTGCTGGCTATCTGCAAAAGCTGAGGGTGAAGAAAGTGAGAGGTGAAGAGGTTGGTGGAGATCAAGTAGAGGATGGTGACTGGGAGGTTGAGTTGACTAGTGCTATTATAGAAGCCATTGATAGAGAGGAAGGCAGTGAGGAAGTTGGTACGTCCCAATTGCGTCTATATGGTAGTGCACGGCCTAGATCTGACACATTGTCACTCTAGTGCACCGTTTATCTGCCTCCATAGCTTTTCTTTTGCGACTGTCACCTTTCTATGAGACGCAGATGGCGCCGCTTCTTGAAGTTCTGCAAGCCAGAACTGTGCTCAAGAATAAACTGGAGAAGGGCGGATGTGGACCAGGCGGGGTGACCAAACAGGACATCCGGAAGCTCGTGTTGGAGGTGGCTGAGAAGTTATGCCCATAGAAGAGATATATCGTAATAATTGGAGGACATGTGTACAGACATCTGGGACTGAAGTTGGTAGCTAAGAATACTGTTCTAAATGTATCTGGCTTGAAGGGACAGACGGAGCTCAGGCAGTCCGCCACGTTGCCTGGCTATAAGTAAAATCACGAGTAATGTTACAGTGTTGCCCGGATCGCCGGAAAGCCGCTAAAACCATACAAATCCAAAAAGCTGTCTGCCTGGTTGCACATTGACGAGCTGAAGAGCGTCCTCTCTATCTCCATTTCTTAAACAGCACAAACGACAGTGTATCGTGGAAAGGGCCCTTCTTTTCCATACACCTGTCGTACACGTTATTCGCTCCAAGCTTTCTTTGGCATGCTTAGGTTGTCGGGTAAATTCACCTCGCGGGCTTCAAGACCTATCGTAAGTTGCCCTTGTGTTACCCAAAAGAAATCCCTGCTGAGGTTTAGCAGTCAATGGGAAATATGTCCAAGACTAGGAATATAAGATCCTCTGCACCCAGGAAGTCAGATACCGTTCCGGAGGGTTACTCAGTTGATCCATCTGCGGGACCCATGCTACGGTTCCAGGCATCCCTGCCACGCCTTCCTGTCCCTACACTCTCATCCACAGCACACAAATATCTAGAGACTGTCCGGCCTCACTTATCAGAAGCCGAATATGCTACCACTCAATCTGCTGTCAACACATTCCTTCATTCGCCGCTGGGTGCCGAGCTGCAGAAGCGTCTCGAGAACCGTGCTGCAGACCCAGAGATGAAGAGCTGGCTTTCTGACTGGTGGAATGATGCAGCATATATGGGCTATCGTGATCCAGTGGTGGTTTTCGTGAGCTACTTCTATGTGCACCTAGACGACCCTCGGCGACGTGATCCTGCGAAAAGGGCTGCAAGCCTGATCAAAGCCATGCTTCCGTTCAGGGAACTCGTTGAATCGTGAGCGCTTTTCATTTTGGATAACCCTATCTCTCCCATTCAGCAATCATCCTGCAGCAAACAGCTAGAACCGGAGAAAGTCCGCGGAGCTCCATTATGTATGGATTCTTACAAGTGGCTGTAAGACCAAATTTAATCCCCTTTGCTCTATTTGGGTGCTGCATTCATCACTTCTTCGCATGCCAGCTTCCACTCTTCGCGATACCCTGTCAAACCTTCAGATACCGCCAAGAAGTTTGATGCCAACACACATAATCATGTCGTCTTCGTCCGGAAAAACAAATTTTTCGAGGTTCCCCTCGCTGGTCCGGACGGCAAGGAGCTCAGTGTTGCAGAACTAGAAGTGTGAGTGGCGGACATCCTGAGGCAATGGGTTGATGCTCACCAACCTGTTATCACATGTCAGTCAGATCGAACGTGTTATCCAGCTGGCTGGTAACGAGAAAGGTGTCCCTATTGGCGCTCTTACTAGCGACAATAGGGACATTTGGACGGATGTAAGCCTCCCCATTTCGCTTAGCGCGTGCCCCTGAGCAGGGTCTTCCCATACAGGCTCGTGCAGCATTACTGGCAGCTTCTCCCGTTAACGAGAAATCCCTTGGACGTATTGAATCCTCCGCGATCATAGTCTGCCTCGATGATACGAAACCGATCACCAGAGAAGATATTTCCTGGGCTTGCTGGGTTGGCGATGGCCAGAACCGTTTTTACGATAAACACCAATGTATGTATCTCGCACTCACGCTGAGCGTTTTTGTATATCTGGAGTCTAATCTTTGTGTACGTAATGCAGTGCTTGTCTTCGATAACGGGCGTTCCGGATTCCTCGGAGAACATTCGTGCATGGATGGTACGCCTACTCTTCGATTGAACGAGTTCATCCTTGCCTCGCTGGCAGCAAAAAAGGTGGATCTCGGTGAACCACGCACAAGTTCCACCGGTGGTAGTCTTCCGGAACCGCGCGAACTCAAGTTCGACCTTGACGACCGATGCAAGGCGTTCATCAGTGATTCGTGTCAGCATTTCAACGAACTTGTCGGAAAGCATGACCTACACGTAAGATTTGGCGTTTGAGATGCATATAGTTGCTTCTGAACTATTTTTTTCTTTCTTGATTTCTTTAAGGTTTTACACTATGAAGGATATGGAAAGTCCTTGATGAAGACATTCAAAGCCTCTCCTGATGCATGGGCACAATTGGTCAAGCAGCTCGCATTCCATAAGATGTTTAACCGCCCTGGTGTAACGTACGAGAGCTGTCAAACTCGGAAATACCAGCTTGGCCGAACCGAGGTCATCAGGAGTGCCAGCTCTGAGACCAAGGCATGGGCTGAGGCCATGCTGAGTGCAGACGAAACGGTATGTTAATTATTGATGTTCGTTGAGAAAACAGCCGCACTGATCGGCGTCGTAAAGGATGAACACCGTGCCGCTCTCTTCCGAAAGGCAGTCTCCAGACACCTTCAGTATGCTGCGTGGGCAGCCGATGGTCACGGCGTTGACAGACATTTCTTCGGTCTCAAGAAAATGCTCCGAGAGGGTGAGCCCACTCCAGAAGTTTATGAGGACTCTGCATTTGCGAGGACAAGCCACTGGGAACTATCTACTTCCCAGCTCTCATCCAAGTTCCTTGATGGCTGGGGGTATGGTGAAGGTATTATCCTCATCTCGTACTGTTATGGTGTATCTGACATTATTTCATGCGTGCTTAGTGGTTCCTGACGGCTACGGGCTATCTTATTCCATTGATGACCACTACATTCGCTGGACTATAACGTCGCTCAAGTCCGACGTTGCAGAACTAAAGCACTACCTTGCGGAGGCCGCCACGGAGACGCGGATGATGATGGAGAAAGCCGCGGCGTCAGAGCAACGCAAGAAAGAGGCTGCAGACGGCAAGGCAAAGTTGTGATGGGGCCTGTGTTATCCGCATGTAACGGAGCGTGCATGTAAAAGCGGCCGTAGAGTTGTGCCATTTGTTGTAGATATCATTTACATCGCATCTTTTTTTTCCATGATGAGACTTTCCGGGGAAATGGTAACCATTGTTCCTACTGTATCCTAATTCGCCGTACCTTTGAGGCACGGTGACTGATTTGGGCTATACAATAAACACAATGACGATGGCGCACAGACATCATAAACAGACGGTGAGAACGAGAGATCCATGTCTGAATATTAAATACATTTTAAATGGATCCATGTGTGGTCTGGCGGGAGGTAATGCAAAGGAGGTCGCATTACCTCCTGCCAGACCACCTGAGCACCACCATGCATTTCTGGAACCGCGGTGAACTGCACAAAATTACACTAAACGACATTGAGACCGTCATCAGCCGGGATAAATGATTACGCAAAGCCCCTTTCCCAGTCTGAACTCTATGCTTAGTATGATCATCTGATAGGCCCACTGCTGGCGTCATTAACATCGTGGCTCAATCCCTATCAGCATTGAGGCATAGTGCTCATTAATTATGACGAATCATATGCAGCTCATTATGTTTATAGGTGATGTCTTGGCTGTAACTTGACATAGGAACGGTCAAAAAAAGAATTGTTGGAGTATCTGGCCTGAATATATAGAGCTGAAGGCCTGAACATCGGACGCAATGGAAGCTTCGAATTCTGGGACAGCCACCTGTCGCACGACAAGCTTACCGTACCGTACGGTGCTCCGTCTGATTCGTCGATGGCATCTACGTCCATCATGACCTTGACCCCATTCAATCACAGACATAGTCAGCAAATGAATTGCTACCCTCGGCCTGTACCCGACACGGTTGGTGGTGAGCTGCAAGACGGCTGACCCTCAAGGGAAAGTAGTGTTCCACGGAAAGTCAGCGATTCCCAGGAATACCGTTGAACTTTATGGACTCGAGGCTTGCTTCTACCCAGGGTGTACCTGAGGAGGAAATCAGCCTGATGAGGTGCGTAAGCTGAAGTACCCTTGTCATTCCCACCATTGGAGCCGTGACTTGGCAGAAGCAGGGAAATTTGTGATAATGAAGTGCGCAAATGGGATGACCATATTTGGATGGGTGAAGTGAGCAGGTAACGGCAGCGACTAATCAGTGCGTGTGTTCAGGTGACCATTCTGTTGCAGCTCGTCAGAGGTAAAACATGCGGTGCAGGCAAAGCATCAATCAGGTGGAGGCCGATGTTACGAAAGGGCTGGAGAGGCTAAAGGTTAGGCATGTTCGGGTGAGAGGGGGGGAGAGAGACTGGCTGGATATGGGCTGGAAATTCGAAGGAAATGGTGAGAAGCGGTACTGGACGTCAGTGATCAGCGAAAACAGCTTATCGCAGATGTTGCAGGGCTGATTCCTTGCCGCTCGGAGAGAGAAGAGGAAGATGAGGTGATGCGAAAATTGCGGAGCTGCCATTGCAACATCTATGTGGACTATACATGAAGCCCAGTTGGAAGAATAAGCTTCGATGGCACCGGGGTGATGGAGATAATTCCTCTGTAACGCCCCCGCACCTGGTAACGAACTGCTCGATGCATTATATCGCCGTGAGGTCGCCGCGCTCTCTGGCGTCCAGCGGCTATGGCGCGACGGCCCCGGTGATGGGAATGGGATATGTCCGGCGGAGAGGCCGGGGTGCACATTCACTGGGTTGTAAATCGGCTGGGAGATCTGCTCTCCAGCCAGCTGCACCCAACCGACACGCCCATCGCAGCACCAGTCACGCTAGCCACATGTCTCTAGCCCCGTAGTAATTTTACCGTACATGTTGTACACCAAATGGTGCCAATAAAAAATACAACACCCTCCTGCATGCCGTAATGGGTCCTTTAGCCTATCCTATATCTATCTGACCAACATAGAGTCCGCTCAGTTCGGGTTTCTTCTTAACACCAACTCACACAGACCTCTCTTTCTCTTCCGTATGTTTACTGCAGCCCCGCAACACAGGCAGCCCGCCCTTCGAACCCCTCCAGACTCTTCCCCTGACTTTCGCTCCCCAAAACGCGCCCGAAATTCATCCAGAGACCACCCTCAGTCATCCTCAAACGCCCCTGAACAACCACAGGACCCCATTCCATCCATCAAGAAGGTGCCAGCGAAAAAACAGCCTCTCTCCTGTGCAGAATGCAGGAGGTCAGTAGCCCATCTCCCTGTAAATTCCCCCAATAAATAATCATCCTCATTATTCCCAACAGACTCAAGCTCAAGGTACGCATTCCCTTGTCTGTGCTGCACTCCCATTAACAGTCAGCTCTCTATTTTCCACAAAATCCACTCCTTCAGTGCGACCGTGTGTTCCCTTGCCAGTCGTGTTCAAAGCGTGGATGTGCTGAGATTTGTCCTGATGGTCGGTTTGAGCGCTTGATTTAATTCTAGAATATCTTTTCATTCGTAATTAATATTAATTTAATATTAGGTGCTCTCACATCTGGCAGAGGAAGCAGGTCAATACGATTCCCAATCACTCATCGCCTTTGCTGACCCCGCTTTTATCAGGTTCATCCTCGCTAATACGGAGCAACTCCACGACAAGATAATTACCATGAGCGATCGTATCAGACAATTAGAGGATGCGCTGGAGTCACTACAATCACAGCTGGCACCAGATCCCCATCCCCTGTTGCACCCGGATTTCCTCAAAATTAAGAACTCATTGGAACTCTACAGTTCACAGACAACAGGGCAACGTTCAAATGCTGATTTCACTGCCGATGAAAACCAAGCCAACAGCAGTCTTACTTCTCTGGTCCCTCCACGCTATACGTCACCGAAAGATGATGATCAGAGCCAATCTGGGCGATCGCAGGTATGTGTCTTTTTTCGCACTTTTTTTCTTCCTTTTATTAGTTTTCATATAAGACCCTTCTTCCACCATGTTTCTTTTCCAATTGCGACGTCTGCTGATTTCATCCACCCCAGGGGAGGAGTTCACCTGAGCACCTGACCCCAGGTAATCTTCAACTACATCCTGAAATCGACGCCCTGAGCCAGACTTTCCCGTTCCCCATTCTATCGAATAATCCCATGCGGGAGAAGATATACGAGATGCTACCCCCACGCGCAGAAGCTGATCGTCTGTGCTACCAAGCTCGTCACAATGCGCTGTGGCAGTAAGTTGACTTTGACCTGACACGTCATTTGCTATACTGACCTCCATGAAGGTACAACCTAGACCCTAGCGAAACGTGGCTTCCAAATCTCGTTCACCACATCTATTCAACCCCCGTGAAAGACTTGTCCTTACGCCGGACGTCTCTTTTGTTTATCATGATGGCCATAGGCCTCCTAGTCGACCTAGAGCAGCCGAACGAATCTCCACGTGCGGAGATATATCATCGTCTTGCCAGAGCATGCCTGTGCGAAACGAATTTAATGGACGAGCCTAGCCTGGAACTGCTACAAACCTTAGTAAGAGGGTCATCTCCCTCTCGCCGTGCATGGACTAAACGCTCTCTTAGTTTTATATGATTTGGTATCTTCTCATCTTTTCTGACAAAAGCCAAGCTGTTGCATATGCTTGGAGCATCATGGGGCTGACAGTAAAACTCGCTCATACTGTGAGTGGTGTATTTGTCGTAACGTCCACAGTTGACATACCAGCTTGCAGTTAGGGCTTCGTACGTGTACTTGTTTTCTTTACGTTTTTCATAATACCCATCACCCTGTGTAGACCGTGACAGCAATAGGTGGAAGGTCATCCCGGAAGAAGCCCAGCGACGCCAGATGCTCTTTTGGGAGCTGTTGAATCTAGATGCACGTTTGGTATGTTGTTCATCGATGTCGGAAACATATGTACAGGTCAAATACTTATTTTTATTGAATAGGCGCTATCCCTCGGACGCCCACCATCAATATGTCTAGCCCATGTTGATTGTAGGCGACCATCATACTCCGTGGAAGGAATGTACATCATTCCTGGGACGCAATCGTGTATGTGGTATTCAAATGAGTTGTGCTGTGAGGTACTGATAATTCTCAAGATCACGAGTGGAAGCATGGCTTCTTTCTCCAATGTTTGACACCCGTATTAGTCACAGCTATATCTGCTCGTCCACAGCAGTATTCGACTGTCATGGAAGTGGACAAGACGATCCGTGACTTTCCTATCCCACCAACCTTGGATATCTTTAATACAGATGGGGTAACAGATAACCGCCAGTTAACTATGCAACAAGTATTGGTCTCGAGTGGCCGTGAAATTGGTACGTGATGGCAATTCAGACCGCACGTTATCTTATCTCAAAGTATCCCAGTTCTTTTACAGCTTCACAGAAACTTCTTCACCGATGCACTCAGCGAACCTAATGCATTCTCTTACCGTCACCGGTATGCGCCATCAGCGCTGGCGACGTATCTCAGCGCAACTCGTCTTATTGCCACGCTAGAAATAATGCTTCGCCGAGAACCCCAGCTCAGCAAAAGATTCATGTGCTTCTGGTTTAATGCCTTCTCTGGTGCCGTGAGTATCCGTACTTCGATGTTGTTTCATTAAGTCTCATCTTCCACAGGTTGCCCTTTCGTTAATTATCTCGAGGACTCCCTTCATCAGCTTGGCCCCTTTTGCACTTCGAGAGTTGGAAGCGGTGCACCGAGTATTCAGTCAGGTTGCCGAAGAATGCACTAAAATTGCACAGGCCCTAGTAAGTCTTTGATGTTGATCGGGGACTTCACATGCCATTGATTGTCGACGTAGCCCCTTCTCACGAAAATTACGGAAAAATCCCGTCGTGTCTACACGCAATGGCGTAAAGCTTCGGAAGATGAGACACCGATGGAGATAGACGAGTCTTCCGACCCTGCTGTAACACGCAGAATGCTCGCGCCTGGCCCAGCTGTGAATCAATTGAGAGAAGGAGGCGGGACCAATCCATTTGAGAATGCGCATCCACACTTGTTACGGTGTCTAGAGAAGATTGACAACGTAGCCCCGCAGACGATAGAGGAGCTGTGTGCGTTTACATCGCCATCAAGGCCGGCATCGACTGCGCTTCCGCAGAGCATCACTTCAGCTAGCCAAGCTCACACGTCGGATCTATCGACTGAGATGTTGGCGCTTGCGCTGGGGCAGAACGAGAGCCTCATCGCATCTATCCAGTTCCACTCTACGGACTCTGGTGCGACGACTGGTACGGCTGGTCAGAGAGTGGGTAACCATACTTTCAATTTTGATTTTGGGGCTCTGGCTTCGAATGTAGAAAGCCAGAGTAACACGTATATGTCTTGGTTCTAGGGGTTTGGGACTGGAGTTTTATCCTATAAAACCATAATTATGTTTTACTCTCCAATTTTTTGCTTTGTTTGCTTTTTCTTCTTCTTCACATGTTCGCGGATTGATTGTGTGCACAGGTAGTATTAATGATAGGGCCGTGCGGCATAGTACTAGTAGTACATAGACGTAGACGACGATCCAGACTCTGGACATGTACTGCATAGTCTTGTTTCTTCATGCCCTAGTTTTGTGATAGTCTTTAGTTTGTATGCAACAGTCGCGACCCCCAAAGGTGTCGTGCATATGCGATGGTCGCTATCGTCTTTTGAACCCATGTTATTTAATAGCTGCAGATTCAAAGATTCTCAGGCTTCACACATACGGGAAAGACCGACAACCGAGGCATTACTTACGTAAGATTGTGGCTGTGGTATGTGGCTCAAGACAACTGAACAACAGTTTGCTCCTTGGATCCTCTTCATCGTTGCAGGCTTTCTTTCGCTCTATCATGTCTCGAATAAAAGAAGTATGGTCTCCAAATCTCGAAGCTGAGATGCGCAATATTCGCAAGATGGTGGAGAATTATCCGTACATTGCCATGGTCGTGCTCAATTTCCTTGTTTATTATGCACCCTTTCAAACTGACATCAGGATAGGACACAGAGTTTCCAGGCGTCGTCGCGCGCCCCATTGGTGCATTCAAGACATCGTCCGATTACCACTATCAAACAATGCGATGCAACGTTGACCTTTTGAAGATAATACAAGTTGGCATTACGTTGGCAGACGAGGAAGGAAATTACCCTCAGGACGTGACCACCTGGCAGTTCAACTTCCGATTCAGCGTCAAGTGCGTTGATTGACCTCAATTGTCGGCTCTCTCGTCAGATATTGAGATGGAATGGATGACAACCTTTCAGTGATGATATGTATGCGCCCGAATCTATCGAACTCTTGCAAAAGTCTGGCATCGACTTCCAACGGCATGAAGAGATCGGGATTTCGCCCAATGATTTCGCCGAACTAATGATAACTTCCGGCCTGGTCCTCGCCCCGGACACGAAATGGATATCATTTCATAGGTGAGAAGACGAAGTTCATTTGTTGCCAATTCAATCATGAGTAGGGAACGTTATCCGGAGTGTGCTTTCCCCGCGCGATCTGATGCGGTAGGGGTTTACCCGGGACAAACGTTTGCAAACTTTTTTTTGTACGAGCAAGGAAGTCGCGATATTTACGCTCCCAGGCATCTTATATATTCTTTATCTCACCTTGCTCCATTATCTTTTTCTTTTTCAATCAGACGGCTGATAGTCCTTTTCTTTCTACGTTTAGTGGCTATGATTTTGGGTACTTCGTCAAGCTCCTCACTGCTGTATCGTTACCAACGACGGAAGACGTATTTTTTGATCTACTGCGTACATGGTTTCCAACGGTTTATGATATCAAGTTCATGATGCGGGCTTGCAAGGTCCTGAAGGGAGGCTTGCAAGATGTTGCAGATGACCTCGGGGTAAGCCATTCGCTTATTATAGCATCGCACGTAAATTGACCTAAGTGAAACTAGGTCATGCGAATAGGACCTTCACATCAAGCAGGTTCAGACTCACTCCTTACTGCTTCCACGTTCTTCAAGATGCGAGAACTGTATTTCAATGATCGCATCGATGACGCTGAATACAACGGCAAGCTTTATGGCCTTGGTCAAACTTTCTCCACACCGAATGGTATCACGGATACGGGGCGAGGCGGAGCTACCATAGCCGAACGTGAAGACAGAGGCTTGTCTAGGGAGGCTCAGAACCAAACACCAGGTCCTGGGCCTTCATCCCTTTCACAAAACCAGAATGTCATGGGCATGGGTGGACCGCTACCCACACCAGCAATGGGTGGGGCAATGCCAACACCATTACCGTCAGGAACGGCGTATGGACCCATGTCCGCAAACGGACCATATCTGCGTACATCAATAGGTGTAGGGGGAAGGTAGATGAGGTGGTAATATCTTTCTTCGGGAATTCCCTGGACACTCGACTACATATGTAATTATTGTCTGTATTAAATGTTTCTTTTTGGTTTTCTGTTATCTTGCCATCCAAGCTCTTATCCTGCTGTTGTCTTTTCTTGCCGTGTTCCGGTGAATGCGCGGGAAAACTGCGGTCACTTGTGAGCATTTTCTGTTTGCAGTGCTTTCATATCATCCACCATCTAAATTAAACAACAGATGCAACGCTCGCGGGTACCTGAACATGTCATAAGAGTACTACTACTTTAAGACCTCGGCAACAGGACAGTATTATATGCTACGCTTTGCTTCCCTTTTACCCTCGTCGACCAAAAAGCCAATTCAAGAACGTGATGTGGAGTACTGTCATTACGTAGCAAGTTAGCAGCGGCTGCTCGAAAGTCACAAGTTATTTCCTCACGAGCATCCCTTGGTGGAGCATATACAGCGAGAAAAAAACTTCTTGCTTTTTATCGTTGCTTGAATAAGGGCGGCCTTGAAGCGAGCATTCAATCTGCAAGTAAAGCGGCGTCGTCGGCCTTGCATGTAATGATACCTAAAGAAAAACAAGGTTATAGAGGATAATGATGAACAGATGGGTAACTATGCCATCCTTATTTAGCGTAGGAATGATATTTTCTGATCCTTGCTCATACATCCCGCCCGTAGGTGAATAAGCAGTTGGCCACACGCTGACTAGACAACAACATGCGCGCTCTCCGTGAATGCAAGGCGGGCACATTGAGAGGGACTATCTGTACCCATCCGCTTCCGAGGATCACTGTCGCAGTCATCCATCGCAAGAGTACTATCCTCAACCTGCGTTTTCATTGACGAGGTGACTGGATCGCGCTCCGTTGCGTGGGGCTGCGACAGCGATGCTGAGGAAGTAAATGAAGGTACAGGTTCCAAAGTCGACTGAGATATTTATCTCTGGCGCAGGCACTAGTGGGATTTGAATTGCAGGGAGTCAAAACGGTGTCTTGCATGCCTTTTATAAGAAAACTGTGGGGGTTTGTCACCTCGACCTCGTTGGGCGGGCTTCATTGCGGCCTAGACCGACTGCATCAGATAAGTCACCCCCTTCCTCAGTTCAGGCTCATATTCTGCGGGGTGTTCACCTTTTTAGGATGCTCCGTCTGAAATTATATGACATCATTGACAGGCGAGTACGAACTACGAGAAGACTGAGTTGTTTCATGAAGCTTTTTGATGTGTCAAGAAAATTGCTGTCAGTCTCCACGGGTTGTCTATAGGCCCATGGGTCTCTCGCCGTCCCGTTCCTTCCATGCGGTGAAGTGAAATTCTGATCACCTGTCCGGACCGCGAGCGACCATGCCCTTTACTTGAACGAAAGAAGTATTAATCAGTCCTCTTTTATCCATCCAAGTTTTACCATTGGCTCAAAGCCTCGTGTAGCGTGCCCAGACTGAACTCACTATTTGTCTTCTAGCGGTTCGACCCATTTACTGACTTCCCCTCGGAATAATAGGGTACAGGTCGTGGTCAGGCGCATAAGTGATCTGTGATGCTTTTTCTACAGAACAGGCTGATGTGACAGAATGGTGCGTGGTCCAGGGGATTATAATGAGGTAAGTGAAAACCAGTATCCCGAGCGATTGGACAATCATAGTACTCATGTCTTCTTTTTCTTCTGGTACGATAACTATCATGTGGCTCAAGCATTTTTCAGTCCGCTGAGTTGCAAGATTTATCTCTAACCAAATTCGACATCATCGTTAACGTGGTTCCTGAGCTGAGCACCATGTCTTTTCCATGGACGGGCATATTAATTTACGCTAGACTCAACCGCTTGCTATGAAAAACCCAGCTGTCCGGTAACTACACCTGCTCGATCACCCGAAGCATAGCCTTAATTACCAAGTAATCATTGCCTTTTAGAAACAACGCATATTTCCATGCGATCACAGAACTCTTCTTCTACTGCACAGTTCACCTGGATGCTGAACACACCATTTGTGGTGTTGTCTTCTGGCGTCCTCGCACACCTCGAAGCGGATCGACAAGCACGCCATCATTCATGTGCCCCAACGCCAGTACCCGTGTCCTCGAGTCATTCAAATATCTGATGTCGAATAAGGGACAGTACTTGAGGTTCGGGGTCTTATGATAAAACATACACGAAACCGATACTTTGTGCAAGTAGTACGATACCGCCGCAGTCATTTTTCAGATGCCAGTCGAGAACCAACGCATTGCAGAAAACAGCTGCCTTATATAGATCACACGGTGGCTCCAAACTTCAGATCTCGGTGATGTCTCTGATATATCTGATAGCTGGGCCTGTACACGACTGATAACCGAGAGCCGTCGTGCACATCGACAGTCTGGTGCGACTACGTACGACAGCATCGTTCATTCCACGTTCCTGGGTTAGAAGCATCGTTAATACACACATCGCGGCTATACCCGGACACCGAAGTTTGAATCGCCGTGATATGGGAACCACATTTCGTAGATGGACATTGGCAGCGTCAATTTCGCCGTCACGGGTTTATGCGTAACGACAGTGAATCGGCATATGACATAGCCATATATCTTTCCGCAGGCCATGATGGCGAATGGAGAATTTTCATGGCTGCATGTCTTTGGTAATGTAGACAACCCACTTGGTGTATCGCCTAGATAAATAACGAGAGGATATTCCAGTCTAGCCACAAAAACAGTTATTTTTACATCAAGTGCTCAGCTCAAGTATTTGGGCAGCAGGAACCATGTTAAAGTGAGCTGCATTTCATCCAGGGTGCGAGACTGGGCTCATTGGTCTGCTCACCTACACTTTCCACAAAAGAGCAGACTACACGTACGTACTAGTCTATCAGCAATCGATGGCAATCACAAGTCAACCTGTCAAATAAATTCCACCTAACGGAGAATCAATGAAAAGTTCGGCAGCGGCTGAGAAACGTCGCGTACATAATTGCTAGGGAATATTCCCTTTTGTCCGCTAGTATTAATGCCTTAATTTGGATTTGGTCAGCTATCATCATATAACATGAGCAATTATTATTGCCCACCTTCCCACCAGCCGTCCGCATAATGCTGACCACCATTCGGTCCAGCGGACAACTCAACCACTTCGCCTTCTCTGATTGTAACTTCGTCTGCTCCTTGGGCTTCGTATGTATACAGTGCTCGCACTGCCAATTAATTTTTTTGAGGGCAGTAAAGCTCCAGAAGCCATCAAGACCTACCTTTCTCTCCGGAGCCTTGCTGAGGGGGGCCCTTTTCTGGCCCATGAGATCCAACGGCCTCGATATATGAAGCAGGCACAAGGCCCTTCCCACCGTACTCATCGGCGACCTTGATCCATCCAGAGCCGTCATCTTCTTCGAGTATACGGACCAATATGCCTTCTGGAGAAGATTATAAACATGCATAGTAGAGGGGGAAATCGGATATCGCTCACCATAAACGCTTAGCTCGAACGGAGACGATGCAGAAAAATCGAAGATTACGCGAGCCAATGAAAACGAATCATCCACTTGACTGGCATGGCTTGGCTGCACGAAAGAAGATGGCGTGGGGGTGACATCGTCCAGACTTTGACCAGATGATCCTACATATAAAGGTTAGCGTGCACGCCCCCTTTAACAAACGTAATCGCTACTTTTAGAATTTGTCTTGGACACCGTCGAAGAAGTTCTTGACATTAATTCTGAAGTTCTGTATTGGCCAGGTATACCGCTACACTCGGCAGGGACCTTCAGAGTATTAGAAAATGTCAATATCGAAGAACAAGAAAGTATCTACCTTCAACTCGCACTTAGAGTGCACTGATAAGCCGCAAGCCTTGCACGTTTTGCCTTGTTTGCTCAATCCCCAAATGGATGCCTTCCCCAATGACATTCAGGTGAGTCTCGCAGCCTCAGATAGAAAGCCAGGCCACTTTAACGGACCTTGCAATATCCACACGTAGTCGGGATAGAGAACGACGAACTTTTGAAAGCATGAGGACTTTGACCGCCTTCGTCGTCTGGAGACCGGATTTAGAATCGATGAACTAGGATTTCAGGTATTTACTTACCACCCAATGCAGCACTGATGGTTTCTATCTCAGTGTTGAGGATGCACGCAGAATTGGAATAAAAGACGAGCTGTTGCTTGGCCTCGAGATAATTCTTGTCGTATCATGGAGTGGGTAAGGGTATATTATATGCATCACCGTGCTCACTCACACTCAACACTTCATCATTATTAACAGAATCGTCGTTGGAGGAATATCCTGCTGCAAAGTTGCCGTATTTCTCTACTTCATCTCCTAAACCATTTGAATCGCCATCAGCGAAAAATATCGATTGAACAGCATTCAAGTTATTACGCTTTGCCTGCAAAACTGGTTCTAATTCTTGTAGCTTGTTGCGAGATCTTGCCAGTTTATTCTGAAGAAATATTTTGGGTGCTGGTTCCACGTTCATATCTGCCTATTTCGCGAGTCCAGCAAATAAACCTTCGCCCAGACGGGTTACATACCGTATCGTAATGGCTCGAACACGGCTCAAAGCGCAAGTCATTTGGCACTGTGAAGGGCCTGATATTGTGATCGGCAAAAAGATCTTGGTCTTTGCCTGCGTCGATTGCTTTGAGAGCTGATTCTACGGAGGCAAAGCGATCCTTCAGAGTGTCATGGTGCATTATCTGAATTGTCTGGGCTTGAAGTAAGATGCCCACAAACTTCGTCACCAGTCGTGTTTGTAGGTCCTCTGTCATAAAATTTAATGAGTAAACATACAAGGATTGAAAACTAACATTCTTCTTACGAAACGTCTGAGAAAAAAACCATTTAGCTCTAACTCAGAAAGAGGTTATGGGAAAGAAGACTCACATCTTCTAAACCCGGCAAATCCTCTGTATAAAACTTCGCCTTCATCTTATTAGCTACGGCCGTTGATATCAAATACACGCTGAGCCCCCTTATCAGTCACGGCTATGAATAGATAAAACATCAACGTCCATACTTTTTACTACTGAGCATGTCAACCCGTTGCTGCTCATATTGCCTTGCAGCGCGGTCTGCGTGACGGTCATCCTGAGCATGACCCTATAGCGATGAATGTTAATGATTATTTATTTCATCTCGAAGAGAAGGTGCAAGTGTACCTGCTTCTGACGGTGGGTTTCGACCTCCATACAATCGTTATCATACTGAGTAGAAAAGATCAGTAAAATACATGCGCAGATTACTATCAAATATACCTTCTGTTTAGTCTGTATACCTTGCAAATATAGCAGCTAGAGAAGCAATGATTATATAAATAGACTAGCCTTGTTCCGTTCAGAGTTCGATTTATCCCTTTCCGCGACAAGCCTTTGGTAAAATTGAATTTGCTAGAGTACAGTAGCAGTTGCCACCAAGGTTTATGAGATAATTCATTTTGACTCACCTTTTTCTTGCCTTCTTCGTTTTGACGCTCAACGGTCTTTAGAGATTCTGTGATATGGGCCGTGATGGCATCCGCAAGGTTGATATGATCCTGAGAAGCATTAGAGACAGATGAAATTATTTCATTATAGGCATTATCCAAAGTGCTTGATTCCAGACTGCGATAAGAAATGAAAGGTCCCATTAAGAGATGGTATCAAGCTGACCTTTGTCGCAAAGTGGCTTCATCGTACACTTTCGTTGGGCTGTCGCCAACGACTAGCAACGACGCGATCTTATTCTTCTTGTCGGTGGCTTTTCTAGCGAGGACTTGTAGCTTGGCCGCGTATTCACGTTCCACTGCAGCTCTATCCCGGTACAGTTCACGAACCTACGGCACGATTTGGCTCAGCTACACAATGACAATGCCAGATTAATTTGATGCATACATCAACTAAAAGTCCTAGATGTGCATCGAATAGATTGGCGATGCGATCTACTTGATCCTGGGACAGAAAAGTAGTTGTTACGAGGACTGTAGAGTTAAACACGCTGAATAGAATTTACAGGTAAAGTTTGTCCATAGCTTTCTCCAGAGTTCTGCATATCGTGTGGAGAATGATAATATTGCTTTCAAGGATGATATTGTGTTTATTTCACAAGTTGGCAACGTGAATGAAACACTGCCCAGTCTCAAGACAACGCACTAGTCTCCGCGTCATCGTGCGCCACCATGATCTTACGACGCACTCCCCGGCGGCTTTCATCGCCACACCATTTTCTCGACTCGCGAGGAAAGTCAAAGTCTGTAACTAGATCCATCATCCATAATATTTACAGTAAAGAAACCTCAGTGTTGAAGTCGTTCTCAATTCGTACCAAATGAGCGGATTCAAGTAACAATGGCGTTAAGAGGTCTTTAATAAGAGGTCTTTACCATGTAAGTTTTATACTATATGCTATGTTTCCCGATAAAATCCGAACACGAGCGCATCCCGAAGAAGACCGAACGATGATCGCGGATAATGATAATTGATCCACGATTACAGGTCAAAGAGAAGGCGGTGACTTCGTTATTACGGTAGATAACATGCAGCTCAACGCAATCCTCAAAAAAACGTGGACGCGGTAATTAAAACTCACTTACTAAGTACCTCGAGGCAGCCATTAGAAAACCGACCATAGAGATGGGAGAGACCGCATGATAAATCAGGTGGACCAGCTTCGAGCTATGTTTATGTCCTTCAGCCTGTAAAGTCCGATGTAGTATTCAGTCGGTAAGGTATTTCTTCCGCAGTACCAAGACATATTGCTGAGTGGGTGTGTTGCACGACACACCTTATGATATTAGCGACGGTCCGTTCAGAGTAGGGGTGAATTTTCAGCAGAACGGTGAATGTCCAGTGTGCAGGACAATTGAGTAAGGTAGGCATCACCCGGGCATGGAACTGTGAAATAGATTATATGATACGACCCGGACACTTCACGGTGAAATTTCAGAAAGCAACAATCATTATCGCCAATAAATTTGAAAAATCATACTCAGTGTGGTGTATGATCGAATGGAATAGGGCATAGTCGAAAGAATGAAACCCTCGAAATACGGGCACTCACCTTGTCCGGTGCGGGACCGTCCAGGGAATCAATACCATTGGGTGAGTCATACATTCTAGATTATGGAGAAGGCACATGACGAGCCTGCCTGGAACCGAATGGAAATAACAGGCCATCACGAAGAAAATCTTGTTTGAAAATGTTACCACCGAAGCCCTGGGCAGCAAGTGTCGAGACCAGAGAGGAGCACATGGGTTAAGCTGGGATTTGGGGTGACTTCAAGGGCATCTCGTCCGAGGTGATTGGCAAAGGCTGGCCTAGAGCGGATACTATCTGTGGGAGTGTCTGTTTGAAGAGTATGGTTCCCCATAGTAATCTTATTTTCCACATTTCGAAAGACTTGTCAGAGCCAAGGACGGCCCTGTGGTTGGCAAGGAACGCACAAGTACAGCCGTGGGAATAATATGCTTATCCAAGCCTCACACTTTTCTGCCAGCTTTCCTTTTTGAACCTTGATGCTCTTCGAGGTTTCCTACTATCCAGATGGGCACGAGGCTCATATGGTTTGGGTTCTAGCGTGCTCACACCTGGATCCCAACGCTTGTTTCTGACATCTTATTTCCCCAACCACGCCTGGATTTCAAGCGAAGTGCACATGTCCGCAGCTGTGCTCCTTGCCGTCATCCGTTGTCCTTGCCGCGGACGTCCATTATTAATCTTATTTTCTCCCCTCGATTATGCTCTCCGTCCGGAGGCAGTCCGAACCTCTTTTTCGCGTCTTGTGTCTTTAACAATGCAGCTTCGGGTTGATCCCGCTGATTGCACAGGAATCGTCTTTCCCGAAAGGCGTGTCCAGGGTGAGGTAAAAAAAACGCTGCTTTCAGCGTATATAAGGCCCTCTTGCCTGGTAGTAATAGGCTTTGAGTTTCTTCAACATCTTATCCTCTCGAACATCAAAGCTCCACTCATATTTACGCTCATCGTCCCGACTCCTAACGCATAATGTATTCCTTTGCTCTTTTCTTCATCACTTTGTGTATGTCTTTGGTCGCGACGTTCGCGGCTCCGATCGATGTAAACTCTACGCTCGAAAAACGTATCACGCATTGGGGACGGGTAAGATCTAATGTCTTCTCACTAGTTGATTATTCTCTGATGAGAATCTATTAGGGAACTTGGTTCAACGTGGGGCTTGGAGCCTGCGGCGAATACAACGTCAACAGCGATCCCATAGTTGCCATCTCTTCCGATATCTATGGAAGCGGAGGTAACTGCGGTCAGGTCCGTACTTAGTTACTCGCAGCGCAAGGCGTTTATTGACTTTCTTATTTCAGTGGGTGCATGTCACCAATACTGCGACTGGCCAAAGTGCTTATGGCATGACGCGCGATGAATGCCCATCCTGCGCTGCAGGTAGCTTAGGTAGATTCAATAATTCATTCGTGTGGATAAGGCGCTCATAATCTTTGTAAAACAGACATGTCACCCGGTCTCTTTGAACAGATCGGGGACCTTAACACCGGCGTTTTGTCTATTTCATGGAATTTCATGAACAAAGACTGGTCGCCATAGACTTGCAATCTCCCTTAGGGCCGCCAGCGCTATCATCGCTTTCTTTTTTTTCTATTGGGCTTTTGGAATATTACGACAGACATCAACTGATGATGTTATAGATGCGCATAGGCGCGTTTTTCGCTTAGAAGAAACCAGAAGTACTTATCCACAATTTGTATCTTTATGACGCCTGTTATTCGGTTGTTGCTTTTCTAACTTGGCTCAGGAAGCCTATTAACGAATAACTTATATGTATCTGGCCTTTGTACTGTACCTTACAGAACATGAAATTGATGACATTTGGAATAGAAATATCGTTACTGAGCACAATAGACGAAGCTGGGTAAAGCGAAAACTATATTTATTCTTCAAGTTTATCGGTCTTCTCAGCTAATTCATTTATCGCGTTTGTGTGATTGTGACTAAGCACGTGATCGTCACGGGACGCGTAAAGCAGTTGTGAACGTAAATAATGGTGGTAGTTCCTTCATCTCTCGCATCACCAGGATACTGAAAACACTGGCCTGCACTTATGAGCGTTCCGTGTATAGCGGCTGTTCGCTCAAAAGGCAACCGAATAAAATCATGGAGGATTCTTTATGGAACACTCGCAATATATGCAAGGCCCAGACAGCAGCGTCGCGTTGATCGCCAACACCGATGGTGTGTGTCCCGCATTGCAGTCAATCTGCAGCTCAAGTCAAGAAATCGTCTCAAATAAGTACATCATTGATCGAGCGGGTTTTCAAAGATTTACCACTGGAACCTGGGCTATAGCAATGCGCGTATGGAAGATTCGAGTGAGTAGGTAAATTGCGTTATTCAGAATAAAGGAGGGTTGATGCAAATGGTAAACTTACATCACCTTCCAAAGCATTGATCTTGAGAATATTGCCATCAGGGGTCGGTCAACGTTCCGATCGTTCTAGGGGGATGTGCATTCACATTAGTATTAGCGTCGACGACGTTCCATCAGCTGATACAGGAATGAGCTCACCTTTTACATCGTGCAACACTCACATCCCCCTGAAAAGCACACGCAACGCAGGTCGGTTATGACATGGCTAGTCTGATGTCAGCATCAGTCTTTGGACATCCTTTCAGATTCGCTACATCTATGCTTTGAGTCTAATCGTCCTATATAACTCACCTAGGAGTCCATGGGCCTCTCTGTACCTCACTATAGAGTGCTACATTCCATAGACATCAAGGGTGCCGTGTACGCTGCATGAATAACTTCACTTCATTGTTGATAGACGTACTGTCATCAGTGGGAAAGTGCCTGCTTCAGCCCACCTGTGCGAATACATCGAGGGCGATAGAGTGACAACAGCCGTGTTTCACGGACTTCACACTATCGTTGGAGGGAGCACACAATGAAGGTTTTGTGAGCTTCAATTTTTTTCTTTAAATCATCCGCATGCCAACGGGAGATTTTGACAGCTCTGGGAATACACCTACTGCGGTGGAGCCTCCTAATTGGCGAACTGGGTCTTCACTACCTGTCGGAGGTGTTGATGCCTCGAAAAGCAACCCGGAAAGCGCACTTTCGGTGGAATAGCCGGGCCCTGATTTCGCCAGACCCAAGGTTCTAATGTGCTCACAGCGGGGCGTTGAGCAGAACGAGAGTACACCACGAGTATAGTAATTTTTTTGTGCCTTCGAGATCGTCGAATTTGTTTCTATCTACTTGACCCCTGATTTTAGAGAAGGTCAAAGAAGCGACGAGTGGCACCTCATTTTCTGTTCTGTGGGTCTTTCTAAGAATTTTCAGGGAAGGAGGCGCTTCAAACACTATCAACAGAAACTGCGAAATGTTCCTGGAGTAGCCCATGCATAGTTGCTTTGCCAGCATGCTGGATCAGACGTCATTTGATCTAGACTAAAGGCTATATGCGACATCGTTCCTCTGTTGTTATACCTCTGCAAGTTATAGGTGAGTATCGTACTATCTCCTTATAGGCAAAGTGTACCTTTGCTTACTCTCAGTTTCTCTAGGGAAACTGAAGCCCTGTGTGCTTGGCCGCCAGCAAATGTGTGTATTGGGAGACATGCATCGACTGCCTCTCGACGGTGATTTGTACAACTGCGTGTTCCGCGGGGCAGGTGTAAGTGATTGACACGCTCCCCCTGAATCGAACTAGTTTGTACACGACGTAAAGGCACACAGCGGGTCCAGCGGTAATTACTCATTCACGATCACCATAGAGCGTTCCGATGTCGCGATAACACACAGGGAACGCGAGAACTCGTGAAAGCCGGGAGTTTTTCATTATAATCTAACTAGTCTACCAGAACAGCTACATGTTCTACGCTTACACAGCACCATAAAATCTGCATGTTTAAGAATTTACAGGGTAAAGTAGGGAACTACTCATGCACTCTTCATCACCGTTGAGTAAATATTAAATATTATCCATGGTATTTATTTTGCAATATATCTTTCTCTACAATCAATTGGCACATTTCACTTTGGCCACTTCGATCAAAATACTTGGTATAACCATCACTCTCGAAGGTCCAGGATGGCGGAATGTTTGTTCTCCCTTTCATCGTGGCTGCTGCTGCTATCGTCCCGTAGATCGACCATCTTGTGTTGATGCTTTCTTGAAAACTTTGAGATAGTCTCCTCCAGCATAACCAAAGGAATATGGAGATTAACCAAACGCAGAGCATGTAGTGAGTGGATAGCATCTATCGTCCAGACACGGCAGGTAAAATTTATGTCGTTCTGCCTGATGGGCAGACGCCCCAAGATGAAACCAATGCGAACAGCATCATCAGCCCTTTCAAACTTGGCAATAAGAACCCGCGCAACCAGTGTCTCGCTCAAACAATGGTTGACGATTCTAGTTTCGAAAACCCAGGGGTTTTGTCTTCTATCATCGGTTCTGATATGCCAGAGAATAGAGTCTCTGCGAACATCCCCGCGCTCGATAGGTTTGTCTTTTGGGGCGAACAGGAATCCCCAGTGCAGAGCTGAAGTACTGAGTCAAGGTCATATTTTCGGGACAGTTAAAGGATAGACCTTACGTGAGATACGATAATTGGGGTTCATAGTGTTGAGTGTTATGTACAGTCTGAACTTGTTCTTGGAGTGATTGGGTGCCATGCGAACTTAAACGAGCGTAAGATGCTAGGACGCGAAGTCGATATATACGCGAGGCAAAAGGGTCGGTGGCCTTTACAGGGAGGAATTAGATAAATAATAGTGATGAAGACTCACCATATATTTAATAAAGTATATATAGGAAGTAGGCTCAAAATGTGGCGCATATGATACCAGATGGTCGGATTGTTTTGTTGGAAACCTGTGCACGTCCAATGGTGCGGCCACACAATTGATGATGTATCCCACTTGCTAGCATATTCCTGGCCCCACAAGAAGCATAATAATAGAGCATGCCAAACACAGCTATGTGAGCGCTACGTCCACGAAGAAAGACTCGTAGGGCAAAGGGCATCGAGGAGGTGCACTGCTACGGATAAATTGCCACAGGAGTCAGCCTATGAACTATCCATGAGATGAGCCACTGGTGGATGGTCTTGAATATTGAATAGTGGATGCAAACTACTTGAAAGCCCGATATTCATAAAAGCAGTAACTGCCAGTGAGACGTTTGGTGAAGCACAATTGAGATGTAATTCAAGCCATTGTTGTAGTGACCAGTGTGACCTGTATTGATCGAGCCGCTGGCGAACGTTCCCGTCGTCGTCGACATGGTCCACTTGAGTACGAGTGAAAGGAACCGTGTCTTAGGACGTTCACAATTGTAGTAGCTTCCCAGGTGGTCGTAGTTGTGGGTATGAATCCTAGGACGTTTAGACGCTGGAATACACAACTTGAACGCCATCAAGCTGAAAATGGGTAAAGGCTAAGAAAGACAATTGGTTAAATTTCTGTCCATTGGCGGCACCGCAGCCCCACCTCTACACGTGCACCGCGGCACAGCACGCACTGCAGTGCGGCAGCAGTCCAAGTCAAGTCGACGTCACTGTTGTAACTTCAGACACACTGGTTCAACTTAGGATCTCGAAACTTTGCCCTGTGCGTGATGAACATCATCATACTGGGCTGACAGGAATCCTCTTTGACTTAGGAAGTCCCACACTGCCTGCGTGTCCGTGGTCCAGGATCATCTTTCCAGCAACTTTTTGTGCAGATCATCAGTATATGTGAATTGATGCTATTTGATCACAATGTATAAGACAGCCCCTCCATCCTGCTAATGTATAATGGAGGCACCAGCGTACACGCTTGCAACGGCGAGTAGATGAACCCCACCTTATGCTTTCGTAGGTACATTCAAAAGAACATTACCCCCACTACTTGGAACGTAGGAGATGTTGCTGTTCTGAGAGAGCGATTGAACGATAGCCTTGCTAGCCTCGATCTTTCGCAGCGCGACGAATGCCTCCCCTGCCTTATCAAGTGCTTTCGATATCGTAAAAGCTGCTTCAGCCTCTCCCTCAGCGCGGATGACGGCTGCTTGACGCTCTTGCTCGGCCTAATATCCCTTTGAATAAGTATATCCCTTTGACGTGAACGCCACTCACTTTTTCGACAATGAACTTGGCACGTTCAGCATCTGGTAAATCACATTATAATCCATAAATACGCATAGTCTGTCATTAATTACCTTGCTGTGCAATCTGCTTAGCCTCTACCGCCTGCGGATAATTTTGTGTTAGTAAGCGGCTAGCATTACCGAGGAAAACCTATTGCCAACCTGAGTGAATTCCTGTTTTGCCCCATTGTCAGCACTATGTCGCCTGCTGGAAAGTAAAGAGAACTTACTTTTCCGAACGTCAAATGAGTGATAGAAACATCTTCAAGTTTCAGATTGAACTCTCCCGCACGCTGTAGCAAGTCCGCCCTTATTCTTGATGAAACCTGAGTGTTGGTTAGAGCTGTCCACACCGAGGCTCCAATAACCGACGACACCTACCACCTCACGCTGCGTGATGAGCTCAGCAGCATCAAACTGCGCCACGATAGCTTTTAAGACTTCATTTCCGATTGAAGGAAGCACTCTTTCGTCATAATCCATTCCAAGACTTTGATAAATTTTTGACAGATGGTCTGTGTCCGGTCGTGACAAGACGCGGAGCGTAATGGAAACCATCTGAAGATCTTTCGACCCAGTGGTTGTTGATATATTCTGAGCGTTTGTTATTAGGGAGAAATTGAGAGGTTTGCGTCGACTTACTCTAGGTTTTATGCGGCAGTCATACAAGATCGCTTTCTGCAACCACGGAACAAGGAAATGTGTGCCTTCACCAGTAGCCTTCCAGTTTATGCGTCAGAATCAATCCAGTAGTCCAGTGCCATCAACTATACCTTGTCCTTCACGCCTGAAAACCGGTCGAACATCACTGCCCGATATCCACCGGGCACATCGTATATACTGGATTGCACGACGGCAAACGTCACGCCAAGGGGAACTAGTTATATGATGTTCAGAGCCTTGAGGTGCATGATAAAAAGAAAGGGCAGACCTATAAGACGGCTTGCTAGTTGTGCAAAGGCCATGACAGACAAGTTAGAGAGGAGACCGCGTCAGAAGAGAAGTGAAAGTAAGTGAACAGTGTGCCGAGACCACGTGACGCGGCAGACGTGTGTGTGATTTTAGCGGCAGGCTGTTAGAGTCGCGCTTTCCTGCTTCGCCATTCTGGAAGTGAGCCAGCTCTCCCTTACGGCTTTGATTGGCACCCCTATCTGATCACGATGGAACAGCCCGAATAGTCAGATGGCCTCACACCATATATTATGCGCCCATTTCACCTCTCTCCCTCCTCCTCCCACCACAACCCTCCTCCATACTTGGATCAGAGCCTCGCAGCTCACTCGCCATGTCACTGGGTGGTACAACTACCGCTGATTCACTCGGATCCCACCTCGACACCGTGCATGCCACCGTTGCACCGACCTCGGAACATCAAGGAAATGCACCATCTCCCAGAAAACGTCAGAGGCGTTTCAAGGATCAGGGCAAGTCATCAAGCACCCCTACCGTTAGAAGAGGTCGCCGTGGTAAACTAGAGCTGATGCCCACCATGAATTTGGACGTCCTATATCATGTGAGCGTCCCGTGTGCCTCTTTCTGGTCGCTTACGACGTTATTAATCATCCCCCTGTGGTAGATTCTGAGCTTTCTTCTTCCAATGGACCTTCTCAATCTCGCTCGGACAACAAAGGATTTCAGGTTGTTGCTTATGCACAAGTCTTCTTCTTTCATCTGGAAAACGTCTCGTCTGCAATTGGAGAGCTTACCAGACTGTCCTCCGGACTTGAGTGAACCTCAATTTGCTAACCTAGCATTCTATCCTCATTGTCATGTACGTATAACGTCCCAATCCATTTTCATTGCCGCTTTAGCTGTGAGAAATCTGCAGAATTGTGATAGAGTAGTGCATACAGTCATGTGGCGCTTTCGTGCGAGGTACTGCGCAGCATGCAAGAAAACACGGTAAGTCATGTTTCGGGTATGGATATCCATCATTCTCACTATAAAGGGATATATCAGATTGGCAAGTGTATGCGATCTTCCGCACGCTTTGATAAGAGTGATTGGCCTGCATTTGCCTTTACCAAATTACCTACGTTTGCCACATAGCAGCTCGATGTCCAGACGTAGTACGTGGTTGACTTATAATATATGCAACGAGTTTACCATCGTTAAGCTTCTCAGGTACAACTTACCATCAACCTGAGGTGGAAGGGCTAAGGAGTAGCATCGAGAGCTTGCCTCCGAGTGAAATCACCGCATACGTCGAGCAGCGATGGCAGGTCGCATCTACTGTAGAACAGGTTCGTGGACTATATTACTTCTGTGTTGTTGGTATCAAGTATAGCACATGTCGATCAGCATGCAAGGGAATGCGAGGACTGGTTCCAGTCAGTATCCATCAGTCGGAAAAATGACCTTAGGAATGCTAGGGAAGAGCGTATGAATGGGTCGGTAATCTAAACTTTCTTGCGTCACCAATTAGCTTAACATTTCATTTCGTCAGCATTCAAACGTGGCTAGTAGAACGAGGATGGGAACCCGAACTAAACTATTTTGGCTGGGACATGATTGCGCACCTTTCTGCTATCAGAGAACCAAAGCCATTAACTGCAAGAGGTACGGTCTATTGTTGCTAGTAGTTTTGGTTATTAAACAAGCTTTGATCACTTGCGCAGTTCTTGCCAACATCTCCGCGCCTCTTACTACTTGGATGACGGATTGGAGAGATCTTCGCATTGAACGGACGGTCTACTCTACCCGACGTCGTATTCTGATGGACGAATACAGGCGTTTTCATATGCAGCCATTTACTTTAGATGAATTCTGCGACATCATGCCTCATGTGGCTGATGTCTCTAACTTCCAGCCTTTCGACGATGTAATCCGTTTGCCTGCCGACGTTACGGTTACCGCTGAAAGTTTCAATGCAGCGTTTGCCCAGCTGCCGATCTTGGTGTCCGCTTGGCGACGGAGAATCGAAGCGGAGCTCGTGGAGCACTGTTTACCCCCACGCCCTTCTGCAATAGGAAACATAACAGCGGACCATTTGACACCAGCATCACGACTCAGACTCGCCAGCACCGTCTTCGTTCGCACAGATGAATATTCCAGACACTGTGCCACGATGGTATATCCCGACGTGCTAGCAGACAAGTGTTTCAACCGATTACCTGAGACTCCTGACCTCCCCGATGCCGTGTACGAAATGCACGAGACCCTCAATGGCACTCCCTGGTCAGTGAAGATGGATGACGGTGTTCCCTCGATCAAGCTATTCGAACCGGCCGCAGATATAATTCGCGCGTGTGGGATGAATCCAGACACTGCGACAGTCAGTGACATGAACTTACTAGATGCAAGGGTAAAATGTGTACCTTGCTCTATGAAGGGAGGGTACTCCGCCATGACATGGCACGCAGCCGTAAGAACTTTATTCTTTATTGGTGTTGTTATATTGTGCTTACTCGATGCGTCCTAGATTGACCACGCCGCCAATTGCCACCACTCAGATACCAAAGGAGCGAAACCATTACAGTTTGCTCGGATTGACAGTGCACCCTGCAGTACAATGATACTGAAGGAAGAAGAAGTGATACCTAACGGGGTGGATGACGTGGCCTACAGATCCGAACTATATTGTTGCAGTCTTTGCCAGCGGAGCATTGCGGACGCCTCTTCTATCTCGGTCGTTTTGACGGAGTATTCTTGTGAGTTTGTGGAGGCTTGCTTACAGTAAACCGTGTTACAAACATGATGTCGGTGGTGAAGAAGCCAACACTGTGTTCGTTACTTATTGGACCTATCCCACCCGTTTGCTGTAACAGCTCTTTGCTCCTTGTATTGTCCATGCCTCTGAGGATTTTACCCCCTTTCTCGAATATCGAGACATTGTCGCTTCCAAACTCACAAGACATGCAAAAGAAATACTAAAGAAGCTCTGATTATAAGAGACTACGGGCATAGATACATTACAATTGCAAGAACGGGGAGCCTACGTAGGAACAACAGTGACCTATCTGACAAGACATACAACGATTCACTAGAACAAAAGGCGTGGCTGAAAATGACACTCGGAGAATTCAATCTACTTAGAAGAGGAACGTACTGTCAGTGATTTGGTTCTGACAGGGGTCCATGAGGCTATAAGTGCACGTTAATCTCGTGTCCTATTCTTGTCACTACGCAGACATCCAAAAATAAAGTAGCTTTTAAGCATCGCTAACAAAACCACGAACACGACTAAGAAGAAAGATATATATTCAAGAAATGGAAGCCCACTCTCGACTAATACACAGTACATGGAAGAGGTCGTCAAAAAGCCGCACCCGGCCAAATGCACTGAACCATTTCCACGCAAATCAAAGTCCAAGGTCATGAGGCAGGAGACCAAACATGCATCATCGAATCAAAAAAAAGTGTCGTTACAAACCGTACGAGTACAGGCGGAAGAAAATGGAGCGTTACAAAAAAGGGGGATGAGAGATCGTCCGTAAGCATTACAGATGGTATGTATGCAGACACCAAGTTGTATGTTTTTATATTTTCGAGATCTTAGCCAACGCCAACAAATTGAGAGTACGTCCGTGAAACCAAGACCAAAATCAAAAATGGGTCAGATTAAAATCAGATTGGTGGAATGCCGTCCCTTGTTCAACTGAAGAGCGCGATGGAGGCAATGACAACCACGAGGGAGCACGCGTTGAACCTCGAGGCACGCCACGCCGCGTTTGTCTGTGTCTGAGTGGGAGACCTGGCGCTTGTCGTCGTCACCGTCGAGCTCGTAGGAGTAGAACTGGTTGGTGCACTCGACACAGATGAGGCGGCCGATGTAGGAGTGGGGCTTGGGCTTCCAGAAATCGGGCTGGTAGTAGTTGGTGGACTGGCTGGAGAGGAGACACTGCTGCTAGTCGGAGAGCTAGGGGATGAGGTCTGGGGCGGCACTGACGAGGGAGTCGCAGAGGGAGTGGAGGATGGAGAAGCAGATCCGGATGATGAAGCTGAAGAGGTAGGAGACAATGAGGACGACACGCCATTGTTGATCGTGAACTGTGGGCTCGCATTCCCAGAGTCTCCAAACACTGGATACTGTACGATCAGAACAAAGTTCAAGATGATAATGGAAAGAATGGGTACTTACGGACGATGATGTAGTTGCTGCGGGTGGGCACGTCAGGGACCGTTATCTGGACTTGTCCGTCTGTGTATTTGAAACCTGAAGCGAGAGGGGAGCCTAGCGAGTAGCAGCGAGGTCAGCGCGCCATCGGATATCAATTTTAGTGCACGTGGAACGGATCGCAGTGTGATTGACACGAGTAGTAGTGCCACTGGAGGAACATGAGGACGACTTACTGAGGTTCAAGTTTTCACTATTGTTTGCGAGGTATCCCAAGATCAGCATTCCAGTGGTCGTTGTTGGATTACTGGGTATATCAGAGGTATTCCTGTGAGGGATAAGTATGAGTTGGGAGTGTAGCTATGCAAGTTAGCTATGATTTCGATACGCACCACGTCACAGTCTGTGTCTCTCCTACGTTCCAAACGGTGCCTGCAATAGGACTGGTAATTGGGGGATCTACGACATCCCGTTTAGCTAGAGGCACGGCGCGAGCGAGATCGAGAGAGGCATAAATCATAAGAAATATGGAGAAAATCGTGAAGATATTTGCATGCATGGTCGTAAAAGGGAAGCGTAAGGTGAGGGAGAAGACCTGAGAGGGAACTTGGAAGTCTCTTAGACAGGTGCAGCTGCCATCATGCAGTTCATATCAGAAATGCCGTGGGAACAGAGATGTGGCTCGGGTGTCAACTTTGCCTTGCCAAGGTACAGAACCGCGTGTTATGCCTTGCATGGTTCCTTCGATGACCCGCCATCAGCGCTCTCTTTCTTTCTTATAACTCCATTGTTGTTGTCCTGCAGGAATGGTCCAGGGATATGGTCCTGGCGCTGTGTCCAACAGTCTGATCCACTTTGCCACTGCCCGATCTTCGAAAAGTAGGGAGGAATGACACAGCGGGTTCAATTACCGCTTGGTTGAAGTGTTCTGTTGGCTTCAGTCTGCGATTGGATGATTGGATTGATGCTTTGACAGGTGCGTTGACTTTATTGGGAAGTATGCTGGGAACAAAGTCGCGTCAATCAGTACCAAAAATACTTTCCACCGTTCTTTTCAGCTTGTGTTTTCAAGTTTTATTGGTGGTATCGAATGTGGGTTAGTTATTTGAACACCTGCATATGACATTTCCTCATTTGCTTGCATCTGGATTCACCCAATGGGATGAGGATAGACGAACGGTAAATAGTAGACGATATTGCATGATTGTTGTTACGCGTTCAAGTTGTCGGTACCGTTTCACCTATATATAATCTTTCACGCAACGTTTCCACCAGAGATTCGCGCAACGCTTAAGAGGCCCTGAGGCCTGAGGTGCGAAAGGTTCGAATAAACGGCCAGCATTTACTAACTAGAGTCTTATAGAGGCAAGACCAATTAACACCTTCCATCATCGCCCCTCAAGGCCATGTCACGCCCTCGTTCATGTAACTGACTTGTACATTCGGGAATTTGATTCTGGTGGTGGTGGTGTGCCTTATTACCAGATGTTCTTCCACATCGCCAGATTTACTAGGCCTACTATCGTTGGACAATAGGTGCAATTGGTCTGGGGAGAAGTTGAATAACTCACCAGTCGTTGAGCTTTACACTGTCGGAACTTGACCAGTAGATATAATTTTTAGTTTTCTAGCTGCCTATGTAGAAAAATAAGCAAGAACTTGAAGCATTGGAGCAGCGGAACAAAACCGAAAAGACGACACATGTTTTGGAATGGTTCTGCAATTTCTGGTCACACTGGGTCACAGCGGCACTCTTACAAGTCAAATTCCGCCAGGTCACACCAAGTCCTGACGCTGGTGGTATGTGCGGTACGTACCGAAGCGGAGCTAGCGGTCCTTGATTGATTATCTTGGTGTGTGATTGCCTGTTTCGCCTAGTCACGACTCCATCATTGTTTTTGTTTCTCCAGACGCTTTGAGGCCCCAATCAGCTCAGTAAGTATCTGGCATTGTAGGGGCCTACCTATTGACATTTTCTAGAAAGATATTGCAATATTCCCAGCACGAGATCTGGTCAAATCTGGCCATCTTTCCCTCAAAATTCACACTTCTGGAGTTCAAGAGCATAGTGTCAGGTCTGTCGTTGTTGCTACAGATAAGCTATTCACTAAATTCTTTCACAATTATATTCTCTATACTATATTCTACATCTGACAATTTTCTAGCTACCTGTACAGTGATCGTTGAGCCTCTGGAGGCCCAAGTGCATATCTCTTACAGGTTGCATCCGGTGTCCAACGATAGTATCATGGAGCTTCTGATCGACCGTCAATATCCACGGCAGGGCGCTATCCCTTTATTTGGTGGTGCAGGTCCTGATATACTTGCTCAATACTTCCTGTAGATACGTCTCGCCACGTAAACAGAGTAGAGAGGAACATATCTCCCTCTATTTTTATGCGTTCACTGCTATACTCATGTTGTAAGGTGTCGTTAATACTTTGTCTTTTCTATGTGATAAAGCGCAGTACAACACTTATCAAATGATTGATACACCAGTAAGTAATATCAAGCCGAATCACTAACATACATGTTTATCAGTAATTATTTTGCCGCATAAATGGAGTTGTCAAAGTCTTCAACAATCATTCTTCCATCCTAGGCTTGTCCCCAACCTGCTCGGCTAGCTCGTGCTTATCATATTTGCCAATATGAATTTGCGAGATCACTCGTCGCTGTTTTTGTTTTGTGAGGAGGACAAGTTCCTGACCAAAGATGAGGTGGGGACTTTGTCGTAGGGACTCGAAAAGTCAAAAAAAAAAATGGTGAAAAACTTAGTATACAAAAACACATTTTTGGAAGTAGTAGAACACTTTTTGTTGAGAGACATTTTCTCGAAAAAATTGAGTTGAGGTTGTTGTTGCTCTCACCACCATTTTCTGGCGAAGTTCACTCACAAAAAAAAACCCAAAATTTTCTATACATAATATGTTCTACTAGCTGCAAATTGCTTTTTTGTATATTAACTTAGGGACATATTGTTTTATGGCTTTTGAGTCTCTACAATGAAGTCCCCACCTCATTTTTGGTGAGGATTTTTGCGTCCTAACAAAATAGTGACGAGTGGTCCCTGTAACGACCAAAGTTTGTATACTCTGGCGTGGCATGAATGTTATGATTTCTACTCCTTTTATGGACTACTCATTTTTCCTTACTCATTGGTTATACCATCGGACCAATGACTCATTCCCTTCACGTACATTTCTGTTTTCTTCGCAGACTACATTACCTAGTATAGTAGTTAGCCCTCAACAGGCAAGCCTCCCCTAGATAGGACCTAACTCCTATCACCGATCTTATTTCCTATAAATACCCTTGTAACAGTAGTAGTATTTCTTCAATACAATTCTATGCAGTTTACGCTTACAAAGCTAGACTCATAAGATCAGACTTTTACTCAGAAGAAGACCAACTCTTGTTGGAAGAACTCTACTCAGAACTACGTTCTTGAACTTGTCTTTGGATAAGTCTCTTTGAACCCTCGACGAAACCTCAGACTTTGTTAAGCACTTTGTGCATAACAATGAACAGTTAATTCACAAATGGTCCCTTGTCTTTCTAGGTATTCTGTCCTCTCGTTACTGGTGTATTCACCGCC